GTTTGGGAAAGATGATTGGTAAAATGCACACCTAAGTATTTATTTATATAGAGCCTAGTATCCATCAATAGGTGCTCGCTGGCGCTTTGACAAAATCAGAACAAGTCAAGGAACAAATGTTCCGACAAAATCCATAGTCTAGAGAAAGGCAATGCGAAAAAGGTGTGTTCTGAGGAGACACTTGAAATCCTCCTTGGATGATAGTGGTCCTTAATTCTGAAGGTAGAGAGTTCCAGATCATGGGACTGCAAACTGAGGGGCGATCAGACATCACAGAGGTGGATAGCAGTTGATTGAGTTGGTGATCATTGGACGATAGGAGTGAGCGTTCTGGAGAGTAAAGGGAGATCAGGTCCTTTAGATATGATGGATAACTGTCATTGAAGAGACAGTCATGAGTCATGCAGCAAATCTTGTAGACAATCCAAGAGGAAACAGGGAGCCAATGCATGGCTTTAAGATGCATGTCATATGCTCTGATTTAGGGATCTTAGAGATACACCTAGTTGCCGAGTTCTGAATTCTCTGTACCTTGAAGATGGCTTTGTTTGGAAAATGTGCATATAGGGCATTATAGTTATCAATCTTGGAAGACACAAGGCACTTCATCAACAGCTTGGTGGTAGGTGTATCCAGAAGGTAACGCACTTTGCCGATATTATAAATGCTGTGGAAAAGTGCTCCGCTGAGGAGGGATATGTGAGTATCCATTGTCGGGTTTTTTTTCATCATAAGTGACTCCCAGAGCACTGGTGGTTGGAAACACTGAAGTATCTTCGAATCGAATGCTAACAGAATCAGGGTGGATTTTTCGTTGTTGCTGTCTTGAACCCATGATCAAGACCTCTGCTTTTTCATCATTAAGTTTCAAGTAATTGGAACTCATCCAGCGCCTGATGTTGGCAATCCAATGCTCCAGTCTTGTAAGGTCGAGGAAGAGGTCAGCAATTTTGAATGAGATATAAAGCTGGTTGTCGTCAGCATACAAATGAAATCCCATTGAGCGTTTCCTTATAATGTCACCTATGGGCAAAATGTACAAAGAGAAAAGAAGGGGGCCAAGAACCGAGCCCTGAGGCATACCCCATTTATTTGCTGGCTTATCAGAAAGCACATTTTGAATTTTCACAGACATTGAACAATCTGAGAGATTTGATCCACTGAAGTGCAATTCCACGGACACCAAGGCGTTTACCTAATCCGCAGAGCAATAGTATCAAAAGCGGATGACAAATCCAGGAGCACAAGAGGAGTAACATTTTGATTACCCATGGAGGACATGATATCATTGTGAACCTTTGCAAGAGCAGTCTCGGTGCTATGGCAGGGTTTGTATGCAGATTGGAATGATTCAGTAAGATTGTTTTCTTTTAGATGACGCTGTAATTGTGATGCTACTATCCTCTCCATACACATAGATACAGGGGATACATTTGACACTGGACGATAGTTCTTCAAAACATTAGGATCCAGTCCCGGTTTTTTAATGATTGGAGTTATCAATAAAAACAATAATTGTTTAGCAAAACATTTTATGAAAAAGATATTATTACTCAGTTGCTTTCTTCTAACAGAGGTTCGAAACAATATTATTATGTTATGACACAGATTGAAGAAAATCTGAAGATGATTGAAAATGGGAAGAGGAAATATTAATAAGATTTAACTGGTCAAATACATTTATCAAAGCATTTGAAACAACATCTGATCCTAAGTTAAGAAGGATTCAGTGCAGGCAATTACATAGAATTATACCAGTCAATACATATTGAAGTAACATGAACCATGTTTATAGCAATCTATGTGCATTTTGTAAATTCGAACCTGAATCAATACTCTCTCTGTGGATTATGTTGAAATGTTCACATGCTACCAGAATTATATTCCACTGTGATCTAGTGTTATTTGATATTTCAGAATCCTTCCAAACCGATGCTATTATTAGCTAAACTTCACATCTATAAATGTAAACTTACAAACCGAATACTGCGTCTATCCGTATTTCAAAAAGAATTGAACTTTTAATGCAAGATCAAATCAGATAAAAATCAGATATTATAGCAAAGCAAGGTTACTGGAATACCATAACAAATGGAAACCATATGACAAACTTTTTCAAGTGTAAACATTGATGATGTGAATTAATTTTTTTCTGTATTATTAGATGTACTCTTCATAAAAATTAAGCAACAAGTATTGTTTTCAGTATAATATCTTTTATCTTTATCTTTTTGGCGATACTTTACTGAAAGGTAAATTTTCAACAAATACACAACCTTTTGTGACTGTCAAATTGATTTATGTGATAACATTGATATCATCACCCGAACACAACCATCCTCAGAAACAACATGCAAATGTGTGGCATGCACATCGGTTGAAAACTGACGGTAAGGAGAACCTTTCGACCATAACGACGTCACTTGACGGCAACTGAGGTGGCTCAAGCAGTGGGAATGGTACAGGGGGTATGACCCAAACCGCTGTTGCGTATCATTTTAATGTTCACTGCAGCGTGATTTCAAGAGCGATGACTCGATACCACCAAACTGGACTCATACCAGAGAGGCCACGCACAGGTCGTCCAAGGGTCACAATTCCTCGAGAAGATCGTTATTTGGCCACACTCGCCCGGAGAACTAGGTCCACCACGACCAGATCTCTCCAGAAGGACCTTCAGAGAATTTCAAGAAACAGAGTTTTAACACAGACAGTAAGGAACAGGCTTCATGCTGAAGGACTAAGGTCCAGATGACCCAACAAGGCATTCCCTTGTCTGCACATCATCGACAGTTGGGGCTTACTTGGGCAAATCAATACCGTAATTGGAAGGTCTATTGTTGGCGGAATGTTCTCTTACAGATGAATCAAGATTCTGCCTTCAACGATGGTAGGGCACGTGTCTGGATAAACAGCAATGAAAGATATGTCAACTATGTACAATTGCTGAACACGATCATTACGGTGGTGGAAGTTTGATGGTATGGGGCGACATCAGAGTTGGGCAGAGAATAGATTTTGTAGTCATTAGACGGGGTACCATGACTGGTGTATGGTGCAGGGATTAAAGTGTCACACCTGTAATCATTCGTCTGACGCAAAAAGCGGGTCCTAACTTCATCTTTATGGATGATAATGTCCGTCCACATCGAGCATGAGTTGTTAGTGATGTTCTTCAGATCAACAACATCACACATATGGACTGGCCAGCAAGGTCACCTGATCTTAATCCCATTGCACATGCTTGGGACATTCTTGAAAGGCGTGTTAACGGTGTCCATGTTCGCCCCCAGACTCTGGATCAACTTGAGCAGGTTTAACAGAGAGAATGGCAGAACAGCAACAGCAACTTGGCAGGCTCATTTGATAAATGCCAAGACGTGCAGAAGCTTGCATTCGTGCCCATGGTGGTCATTCGCGTTACTGAACACTGCATCGCTGAACTTTTTTAATGTTAAGATTTTGCTCCATCAATGTGGCACATTTTGCTTTTTCACGGGTACATGCTTTTGATGCTTTGTAAATCTGTTATTGCTCTATACCATTCAATATCATTTTGTTAATCGTGTGTACATAGGTTTCAACTTTCTATTGCATCATTCAGTCATTTGCAATTTCAATAAATGAAACTGTAATGAGACAAAAAATTCGTGTTGTTAAAGTTTTTTGTGAGGAGTGAGTGTGTGAGTGAATGTTGCATGTAGAAAAAGACAACTCGGATGTGTCCAGTTATTATATACTGAAAGCCATTAAAAACGCAAAAGTTCTATTGAAGATTTTTTTACTGCGATACAGAGGATGTAGGGATAAAAGGCTGTTATTCTGGCCCATTTCAAGTTCGAGTCCCGGAGCATTCCTCTCACGTGAACTTTGATTCTTAAAACTGAACCTTTGACATTTCTCGTAAACACAACCACATTCATGAAACACGTTGTGCACATGCATTATCTGCACCCAGGCCCTGTAAAAGCACAAGGAATTTTTGAACTCAATCACTTTGAGAAAATGCCACACTTGACACATGACGAAAGGAATCAGATTATCGGTATGGTCAGCCAAGGTGCTTCAGATGTGATGATTGCAAGGCACTTTAATGTGCATCCATCCACTGTAAGTCGACTCAGAGAACGTTTTCGGGCTCCCGGAAGGGTTGCTGATGATCGACCACGGCCTAGTGCACCACCTGTGATAACAGCTCGACAAAACCGAAATATCCGAGTTTCACACTTGCGAAATCGGTTCCAAACAGCTGATGATTAGGCAAGGAGGACAATTGGGATAAGTCAACACCATTTCAGAGCCCAAAAGGTGCAAGGACGCCTTGCTGCCTTCAACATCCGGTGTCGTCACCCGTACCGTTGTCCAACCTTATTGCATCGCCACAGACTTGCCAGACAGCGATGAGCAGCAAATGGGGCCAATCTTGGCAACAGGACATGGCCAGATGTCATTTTTTCAGATGAATCCAGGTTTAACTTATCCCTTGCAGATGGACGTCAACAGATTTATCGGCGTAAAGGAGAAAGACTTGCGCCAAACTGTGTCCTTGAAAATGATCGTTTTGGAGGGGGTGGTGTCATGATCAGACCACAGACCATCAGAGGCTGCAGACCATCCAACAGCTGTTCCTGAGATATGTGTGTCTTTCAATGCCCCAAAGACTGCGAGCATGTCTTGCAGCGCACGGTGAACACACACGACATTGACTGCAAGTGAGCCCTCCTTTGTTTGATGTCGTTGTTGCGTCACTGATGTTGTTGTTGACTGGACATTTTCAGATGAAATTATTCACAGATGTTCACTTAAAACATATCTGCCAGTTAGGTTTATATATGTTGGAATTAGTGTGAGTAAAGAAAGTATGAATGTCAAATTGCATTTTTAATGGCTTTCAGTATATATCTTTATTTACATTGTACATGTACATGTACATGTTTTGAAAAACAAAAACAAATATTACACAATCCTGTCAAGATAGAGCAACTTAAGTGTGCAGTAGGCACCTTATCGTCAGTCGAGATAGGCAACAGCTGACAACTGGAACAGGTATACCATAGGAACGACACACAGTCACAAATTACCCTGTAACTGCGTAATAAACACGTCGTTTATTTACTCAGGTAAGAAACTTTACTTTCGTCTTAAGTTTAATCTATCGTACCTTAACTATATGTTACCTCCAGGTTTAGGGTTTAGGGTTGAATATTTTAATTTAATCTAATTTTATTTCATTAATACTACGCGGCTTTAAATATGTAGTTGTATGCTGTATATCCTGTGTAACGAATCAACATGTGATGTTTGATTACCTGATATTTCTCGCATAGATATACTTTGATAATTGATTGTGATCATGCTCCAATGGAGGAACCGCTCGAGTTTTTAAAGAACATGAAAGTTTGTTCGTTTCCTCCATGTTATTATATCTATAAACTACCTTCCTTGTTCAACAGACCAACTTCTAAATGCCACTCAAAACCTGCTTGATATCTTGAGTGTAATCTTCTAATTTTTAACCGTGAAACGATAAGAGCTCGTGTCACAGTGTTCTGTTTTGTTCAATCATGCCAGTTACTGCACTTAGCCGTTCCTGAAGTGACAGATTCTGCATGTACAAAACCCCATTTAACTGAGTTAAAAACAATATCAGAACAACGCTCCGTCTGCTGTATGTCACTGAAATGTACAGCCACACACTGACACGTTTTACATGGAATGGAAAATAGAATACACTATGCTTAACATTTATTTTATCTGCACTTTAAAAAAATAGATAACATGAAAAGCATGTGCATTTCGTTGAATGGCCTCTGAAAAGAGTGTGACGAATCGTCACGTCTCGCTACTTGATTGACAGCAAAGTTGATTCGTTAGTTGGTTTCTTGTTTTACGCCGCACTCAGCAATGTTCCAAAAGTATAGCGGCTGACAGCAAGGAATTACCTGGGTAGGAGAGTGACACCGAGTGCAAACAAAGGTTGGGCGAGAAGCTCTTGTAAAATCCTTAAGAAGAATTTTCACATTCGTGTTAAACTGTTGTTTTTAAGCTGGACATATTCCTCTTAGGATGACTCTCCTAAGCTACATCCCAGAGTGGATTCCACAACCAAATATCTACAAGGTACATTGGTGTTATTTTCAGGATTTGAAAGAAGATGGAGGACAAAAGCTACCCCGGTTGGTCGGACGAGTCCAACCCTGCCGTCTTCACAAAGATGCCGGAACAACCCAAGGAGAAGAAGCCAGGCCATCTCTCTGGAGATCAAATCAAGAAGTTCTTTCACGAAGTAGGAAAATGAAGGAAATCAACGGACATCACATGATTTGTATTTTTTTTCAAACAGGGCTTTTGGTATCCGATGTAATCATTTTTGTATGTCAAAAATGGCTGCCCTGCGGCCATATTGAAAGTTCATATTGATGCTCTGAACAGTCTTGCTACACCTTACATTAACAAAGATTCCACATTGTGTTTCACCTGAGTCTGTCAAAAGACTTCGGAAAGCCGCAAATGTAAAACATGAGGCAATTTCAAAACAACCCACATGGTCTGTTACACCATGAATTACTGAATGTTTTTAACTGAAGTTTATATGTTGAACATATACGGGCCATTAAGTTATTATACCATTTTCAAGATCAACATCGACACTGGGATCGTCCAAGGCTGGGGTTCAAACCTATTCACAAATGGGGTGTGGCCAGGTTGCCTTGTCAAAGCTGTCTTATCCTAGGAGTAACTTCCAACGTTAACCTTTGACATCGCCAGGCTCTTGCCAGGTACCCATAGCCGTTACAGTCATGTCACTCATGGTCAGATAACATTTACACTACTGCGGAATTCTGCACTCCGGCATAAGGTATGAGTGGTCGTGGACTTGCACAAGTCTCTAAGGTAAAAATTAATAGTTTAAATGATAATTTCTAAAAGATAATAGATTTAACACACAGGATCACAGGCAGGGGCCCTGTACTGTCCGGTTGCCTCTCAGAAGGATAGAATTACTATACATCCCTGAGCTCAGTATTCAGTACAGCCTTGGAGCAAGGCTAGAGTGGTCGCTGCAGACGCCGGTGTGACTAATTCCTTCGTTGTGTAGCATGAGTCAGTCGTCCTCTTAAAGTCCACAGGTAATACAAGAATTATGTTCAAGACCATACATACTGGTAGCATTCATTCTCAAACCGTAGTTCATCGATGTTGTGCAATGTATTTTATAAATGAGTATCTTATGCGAAGAACCATAGGACATCTCACAATTAGTACAACGTCCACCAGCCATATACAGACTATTATTTGCAGGGATTCGTAGTAGTGGAGGATTTCTTCTCACCTGAGGATCTTCAACCTTGCCGAGACGCTGTAGAGAAACTTGTGGACGAGTTTGCACAAAATCTACACAGAAAAGGAAAAATACAAAGTACATTTTCATAAGTATACAATTCAACATTAAATTGCCTTATTATCTTTTGGTACTGAAACAGGTCCTGTGTGTTATAATGAGATCACGGGTGGCCACCATCTTCATCCACGCGACATTTTGGTTAACAAGAACCGGTGGTATAAAAGGATGGGAGTTGACGAAGATGCCATTGTTGCCGTTTTTCGTTTTTACGCAATATGCTAGGGAATGGGTTTGGAGAGTACGTAAATTGTCCACAAGGTCGGTTTGTTTGTTTGTTTGTTTGTTTGTTTGTTGTTTAACGCCGCACTCAGCAATATTCCAGCTATATGGCGGCGGTCTGTAAATAATCGAGTCTGGACGAGGCAATCCAGTGATCAACATCATGAGCATCGATCTACGCAATTAGGCTGCGATGACATGTGTCAACCAAGTCAGCGAGCCTGACAACCCGATCCCGTTAGTCGCCTCAAACGACAAGCATGGGTTTCTGAAGACCAAATCTTCACGGGTGACTAAACAGTGAATCAGAAGAGAGAATAGTGGGTTAAGTGCGGCGTTAAACAACAAACAAACAAAACACTGTTTTAGCAGACCCTTCGACAGCATCAAAATGATTTTAAAGCTGTGATGTCACATGACAGAAGGCTTTTCATAATAACTTTGGTCATATTGACAAAGGTTACTATTGTCAACACTACCGTCCGTCCAATGAATAGCATGTACCTAACAATATTAGCATTGACCAATAACTGGAAATATCATGTTGTTGAGTATACTCTTTAACGGAGGGGACCCAACTGTTGAAGAGACGTCACCTGCGATAACATAACCTACATGATGGCGCAGTAGGATGAGTGTTGGCATGGCAACAATAGGAGGAACATTTTGGTGGTTCCTGTAATTGAACAAATATTGAAGACGTTAAGGGAAAGTGTTTTCATTGTTTGAGCTTACATATACGATCTTAAAACATAAGTCACACTTAGACATTTCGAGCAGGTAGTCTCGTGCTGATAACGCCCAGCACTCCAGTTTCTAACGTAAGCACAATGTGTCAGGCATATTTCTGATGTCCCCCTACATGATTTTTGTAGCAGATTTCTTGAAGCTGCTTACCACCCCGCTCACTCACACTGGGTTATGTGTTTTCTACATAAATATCATAAAATCAAAATTGCAAACTGATTCAACAACTGTTTGCATTCATGAGGCACTTACATGTCAGCTTGTTAAAGCGAAATGAACCAGTTCTTGTTCTAGTATCATTGTATCAATTCTTTAGAATTTATGAACATATTTTATTCAATGTTAAAAGGGATTGGGCACAAGTTATGTAACTTATTATCGCCCGCTCCCATCAGAAACATGAACAATAATGAATGGACGTAATGAATGGACATAATAATATTAGGACATATTATTGATTAATCGAAGCGCTTACTTCGAACAATGTATTTATGCACATGTCTAAAGATATTTTCATTAATAGTATTTGACAGAGCAGGGTTGCCGTAAAGAATGGTATCAATGTCCAAGTGAACTTTTGATAGTTCAAAGTCTTGCTTCAGATCAAAACGGCAGCTGACAAATATTGGACATTTTAAAGAGAATGTCCAAAATACATAATAGAATTGTAATCTCACCTGTGTCTCTATCAGGCCTGCACAAAGACAAAGGACTGTTCCAGAGGCTTGGTGCCATAGAGAATGAGTTCCCTGGCTCCACCATACTGACTATCAAGCAGAGCAGACTTGTACAGGTAGGCACTCGGAATGAGCCAGATACCAACATTAACATGTGATATGAAAGTACAAAACCAATGATTCTCTCCCCCACCCCCCTCTCTCTCTCTTTCCTTTGAAACTTAATATCTTAATATTTCTATGTGCAAAATCGCTGACCCCCTACCTCAACAGAACAAAATGGGTGAACCCCCCACCCCCTAAATCATAATATATCTCACGCACGCACGCACACACACACACGCAATAAATTATTAACGATCCCTTACTACGGTTCATGGTGCGCGCGCTTGCGTGCGTGCGTGCGTGCGTGCGTGCGTGTGTGTGAGTGTGTGTGTGTGGAGCGCAATAGTGCAGTGGTAAGGCGTCTGCCTATCTCGCTGAAGGCCCGGGTTCGATCCCCGGTGGAGGCACCTATTGTTGGGTCCCGAGGTGGGCACATTTCCGTAGTATCCTTGGACAAGATACTTAGATCCACATTGTCTCAGTTCACCCAGCTGTAAAATGGGTACCCGTCAGGATGTGCTGGCAACGTGAGTGTTTAGATTATTGCGCCTAACAGGCAGCATGGCTGTATGATCCCCAGGAAGTTGAACAAGTATCCGAAAGTACGATAGTGTCCCATGACCGGTAAAAGTAATGTACGTAGCACCGTCGGCGGGCAATGTGCCTGGATATGAGCGCCATATAAGCGGACTATTGAATTAAATTATCAGTAAATGAAAACGACCTGCCTCTTTTTCTCAGTCATAGGAAATCTCTGCTATAGGCAGAGACTACTGCGCGACTCGTGTAGTACGGTTACATCTATAGGATAAGTATGTCATTATGAATTGCTATCAAGTAATGACCTCAAATCTCGTTGTCTTATTCTTATAAGGAATTCAAAGACCTGTGGACCAATGAACGACTACTGAATGCAGTTGAGCAGCTGATTGGTCCAAATATCATGGGACACCCAGTGTGGAATCTGCGCTATAAGACTCCGCAGAACGAGGCTACCACTGTACCTTGGCACCAAGGTGAGTCTCTATTCGGGCGATGTTTTTTCGGTGCATGGTAAAAGACCGCCAATAATAGTGACACAAACAAAGTGTGTTTAAACACATGCCACCATATCCACATTGCATAGATCGATGGTCATACTGTTGATCAGTTGATTGTCTGGTCCGGACTCGATTATTTACAGACCGCCGCCATATACTTGGAATACTGCTGAGTGCGGCGTAAAACTAAACTCACGCACTCACTGAGTGTGTTTAAACGTGTTTCTCTCCACTGGAGACTAAATTATATATAAATATCCTTTGGCTACGCCCTGTTTAGCTGATTTTAAGTACGAATAAATATAATGATCAGTGGTTTGTTTGCACGATAAACATGCCTGTCACAAAGTTGTCGTTTTACTAACCCCAATGCCAACCGCAACCTCAATCCTAACAACCCCGTACATTCTCACCTAATCACTTATCATTCTGGGGCGGTGGGGTGGCCTAGTGGTTAAAGCGTTCGCTCGTCACGCCGTAGACCCGGGTTTGATTCCCCACATGAGTACAATGTGTGAAGCCCATGTCTGGTGACCCACGCCGTGAAATTGCTTGAATATTCCTAAAAGCGGCGTAAAAACATACTCACTCACTTCTCAACTTTAGTACAATGTGTGAAGCCCATGTCTGGTGCCCCACGCCGTGAAATTGCTTGAATATTCCTAAAAGCGGCGTAAAAACATACTCACTCACTTCTCAACTTTACAGATGCGGCCTACCTGGAAAACAGCACCTACGGCGTGTTACAGCCGGCCGCTTGGATACCCCTTCTCGACACTAATGAGACTACTGGTTGTATGGAAGTAAGAAATCTTATTCATTTCCTGGTAGAATGAAAATATCTTGTTATTAATGTATGGAGTAATGTAATGATATAAACAGTCTTATAAACTGAAAACTGAGAAGTTTGGTTGGTGAAATTCGCTCTTGAGAGTTATTCAACTTTGACGTGTCAGGATCCGCTTGTCGTGAAACGAAGTCCAGATATGATCGTTGTTCTGCCAAAATTATTCTCCTAAACCTGAAGGAAAGTAAACATGTTTGTATTGTGTTACTGCGGGGTTTTCTCCCTCGAAGTGGACAGACCGTGACCTAACTGAAAACACACAATTAACTCACTCACTCCAGATGATTGTGGGCGGACACCGTTCGGGGCGTGTTGGCAAACACACATGCTGTTGGGCAGACACGTGGTACGTCATTCTGCCAGAGGACGAAATGTCTGCGGCACTTGGTAGGTACACGGGTCTTATACAAAACACACACAATGTAAGAGATAACAATATAATGTACAAAATGTCGATCAAAATGGCTGCCGTTGTGTTGAAAAGTGGTTTGCTGTTAGAAGACTGGGCCCCGATCCACAAAGTATTCGTAGTGGTAAACTATAGAGTTACGACAGGTCGTAACGTTACGAACGCTTTGTGGATTGGGACCCAGGAACTTACGTTTACAGTATCGTTTATATAAATTGTTTGTAAATTTTTGTCAGATCCAGTTTCCAAAGAGTAGACCCCCTTTCACCATATGGGTTATTAATCAATGCTGTTACAAAATTGTATATGTGTCATCACGAATGTGTACATCATGTACGTGTTCAGAACGGCAGAACATAGAGATATAGTGTTTATAGCTGTATGGGTTACCTGGTTGTTGCACATAAAACTACGCCTCTTCAAGATGGAAACAACCAAGAATAAAACTTAGTATGTATGTATTAGTAACATATTTATCACAGGTTGCAAGAGAGCAGGTTGATTTGGTTAGATTCCTGATGTGATATGTCTCAGACACATTTCTCTGTACGGAGTTACGTCCCTTTAAAGCACCTGGATCTTTGATCGAGGAATCATGATCAGAAATGAGCTTTGTGAATGAGTGTTTGTACCGTGTGTTGCAGGGGTTGACATGGAGAGAGATAGAAGGATATGCCCAGTGCCGTATGGCGGGATGTTGTTGCTCAATAACCTGGTCCCCCACAGAAGGCGAGTGCTAACAATACCTAATCGGGATTACGCCATAAATCTTCATGCTATGTGGTTAGAATTGGTCTTCAGCAACCCATGCTTGTCGTAAGAGGCGACTAAAGGGATAGGGTGGTCAGGCTCGCTGACCAGGTTGACACGTCATCGTATCCCAATTGCATAGATCTATGCTCATGCCGTTGATCACTGGATTGTCTGGTCCAGACTCGATTATTTACAGAGAACCTCCATATGGTTGGAATATTGCTGAGTGCCGCACTAGGCAACCAACCAATCATGGTATATGGAGATCAAACGTTATACCTGAAAAACGTCGGTGTAAACGTTAAATTTTCAGCCAAACATTAACAGCCTTCAAAGCCTATTTCATGTACATCAAACCTGTCGTCTCTCACGGTTTGGAGGTGGGACACATCTCTATTGTGAAAAATCACGTTCTCAGGTCTACGGTTATAGATGCACAAGTCTCTAAGGTAACAATTATTAGTTTAAATGATATATTTCATGAAATAATTAAAATAACACACTGGCGTCCTTACTGTCCCTTTATCTAGACTTGCCTCTTTAAAGGATAGAATTACAATACATCCATGGGCTTAGCCTTCAGTACAGCCTTGGAGCAAAGCTAGGTGGGGACTGGAGGTGTTGACAGCTCTGTGTTCGTAGAAGTCGTTGAAGCAGCAGTAAAATCCCATATATATATATATGCCCAGCATCCCAGGCTTAAACTTTTCGCGTTTATGTCATGTGTATGCCGAGCTTGATGGCAGAAGGTAAAAGACTATGAGGTGTGAAGCAATACAGAAAACTCACGGTATGATTCAAATAGTTAACTGAAATCGTGTTGAAGCTTTTTACTGAAGTAAATATTTCAGAACAGGTCCCAAAGGAAAGCTGCCTGTAGACGCATGTTCGTGACAATTTAAACATGTAAACATGACGTAAACATGAAACAGACAGACAGACAGACAGTATTTATTCAGTAAAGAGGCCCTAATCCTAAATACCTATAAAAAGAAACCGTTTCAACAGGGGAACCATTATAAAACCATTTCTCATAATGACGAAGAGGCCCCCCATTTCTAAAGACAATAATCTTGGTTTTGTTTAAGTTAACTTTCATCCCTGTACTATTACAAACATTTAATTTCTTTTGAAGCAAATTACACGTGCCAGATAGTGCCGAAATGTCATCTGCAAACATAAGTACACATAGATTCGAGAACAATTGACCTACCTCCAATTCTAATTTTTTACGAAGATTATCAATAAATATAAGAAACATCTGTGGGCTTAGAATACATCCCTGCCTTGTACCTACAGAACATTTAAAACAAGATGAAAGGCCAAGTTTAGTTCTGACACAGGCTGAAAGATTGGAATACATTGATGCAATAATACATGTATTATAAAACTTGCCCGATACACCAGCCCTATGTAAAGAGGCTAAAAGAAAATCACAAACATGACACACTTAATACAATCAATGCAATATTAAAGTACTTTTGTACCAACCCAAGAGATTAAACCTGGTTATAACAGGTTATAAAGTTTCATTTGACCTTGAACTCACTGCAGCTGCATCGTTTTTCATCCAATTAATGTTATAAATATATTCTGCAGAACAAAGAAGATTGTACACACTACCCTTGTCATGCAAAATCTCCATTGGCTCCCAATCAAATTCAGAATCCAATACAAAGTATTCGTTCTTGTTTTCAAATGCGTCCAGGGACTGGCTCCAGTGGATCTTTCACAATGTGTGTGTGTGTGTGTGTGTGTGTGTGTGTGTGTGTGTGTGTGTGTGTGTGTGTGTGTGTGTGTGTGTGTGTGTGTGTGTGTGTGTGTGTGTGTGTGTGTGTGTGTGTGTGTGTGTGTGTGTGTGTGTGTGTGTGTGTGTGTGTGTGTGTGTGAAAACTATAGAATAGAATAATACTTTAATGCCTTTTCAGGAATTTGTGTTACATCAGCAGAGCTACTGACACATCAGAGAGATACCAAACATATTTACATAAATTCTTTGATTTAGGTATCTTCACATTTGTTTAAGAGAGATATGGTACTTGGAATAAAGGATGTACGGGCTCTCTTAGTTTTCACAATTGGAACTTTGTAGCGGCGGCCTGAAGGGAGGAGGTTGTATTCCGAATTTAAGTAGTGAGTACGGTCAGATATGATTTTGACAGCTTGATTCACGATTTGCCGCTCATATATTGATGATAAACATTCAAATCTGACTCCAGCGATTTTACTTGCAGTGTTAACAATTTTGTCTATTTTAGATTTGAGATGGACTGAGAGAGACCCGTACCAACAATGGAAGGAAAATAACCCAAAGTAACCTAATTTAGTTTTGACAGATAGGATATAATATTTTATCAAGGCATACGATCTACAGGTCCATAGTTCTGTTTGATATTTTCAGCCTACCCAACCTATCGACTGATATCCGTTGGAGCTTGGACCTGCGATGGCAGGCACCTAACAAGCCTGTCGGTTTTTACGGAATTCGGCAAGGAGTCCTCATGAGGTCTGCCAAAGACCCTGACCTCAAGGTCAACTGGGACGAACTTCAGGAAACAGAGAAGAAAGTACGATTAGTAGGGAATTAGTGACTATTAGCAATATTCCAGCAATATCGCGGCGGGGGACACCAGACATGGGTTTCACACATTGTACCCATGTGGGGCTTCGAACCCGGGTCTTCGGCGTGACGAGCGAACGCTTTAACCACTGGGCTGCCCCACCGCCCCAGTAAACATTACGTCACCGTCGTCATGATATTACCGAGTTATAACACCGATATCTAGATATGGATAATTGATTATTCATTATCTACGCAGTGGGCACAAAACTGAGTGACAGCGTGTTGTTTCATGCTGCAGTCAAACTGTAACATCTTTGCTATAAAAATTTTTTGTGGTTGATGGAAATTTTATCAGAGACAGAATATTTTACATTTTATGCAGTCATTTCTTTTAAAACGTTGGTCTAATTCTTTTCTCTGAGAACTGGACAAAGGCATATGTTCCCATTGTTTTCAGAAACACATTTATTGTATGATTTATGTGGGGGGTTTTAAAGATTGTCCCAAATGTTTGGTCCCTTGACATCCTTTCTTCCATCTGATATAGTTGTATGACCCGGATGTGGACGAGTTTGACACAACAATGCCGAGTCCGTGGATGGAAAAATGGGAGATCACGCATGCCAACAGACACACTGCGAGATTCCTCGAGTACAAGCTGAAACCCTGGAACTGAATGCGTGGTCCGACACATCAACAGCATCAGTCGAGTGTTCAGTTATAATCGTTCAGACTGATGTCTGTTTTCATTTATGCCCAGAATTTAGATATATTTCTGCCAAGCACGTTAAATACATTAGAACATTACATAACGAACATTAATTATTCGCTTACACGTTGGGCCATTGGATCAGTTGGCAAAATATAATATCAGTATTGTAATTTTTATTAATAACAGAATGTACTTCGATGCAAACTAAAGATCCAGTTTGCCAGAACATTGGGTAAAAATTTCAGTTTGGATTTTAGGGTCATGTGATGTTGACAAATAAATATGAATCTATTCCATCGTGTTTGAAATATATATGTTACTGTGTTCATTGATTATATATCATATAATTATATGACCCGTGTAATCCAATATTGGTGTAGATTGTTACAACTTCCTCATGACAGATTACCTTTTCAAAGCTACCTTATGCTTAAGTCATTAGATGATAGTGGTAGAACAACATGGGCATCAAAAGTTAAAAGTCTTCTTTTTAATTTTGGTTTTGGAGATGTTTGGTTGAGCCAAGATGTTGGTGATGTAAAGATGTTTATAAGCTTATTTAAACAAAGATTATCAGATAATTTAAAACAGTCCTGGTACTCTTCCCTATGGTGTACTATAATTGCCATCGCGTGGCGCGTAAAAAAAGAACTACGACGTCGCATAAAAATGAACAGTGGCCTTCTAGGGTGGTATTTGATTGGATATAGGTGTAAAAACATTTTCGGGTCGACAGAAATGTTTATCGGGAGTGACTGAAGCATTTTTGCGTTTAAAATCCTGTTTCGTTTAACGATTCTTCTTTTGGACGTAACCTTGGTCAGCCACGTTCAGAGGCCGATAACCACTCGGTATAGTCAGACGTCGCCCATGACGTTGTCCACGACATCGCCCACGACGTCGCCCGTTATTTTTGTAGGCAAAATATATTTTACAAAGCGACGACGCGCAAGACGTCGTCTTTTTTATGCGACGTCGTGGGCGACGTCGCCCACGACGTAGTTCCTTTTTTACGCGCCACGCGATGGCAATTATAGGACACCATACTTCCCTGAGTAATTCCCCCAAATGCAACTATTACCAGTATTTTAAATCTGCATTAAATGTTGAACGTTATTTATCGTTTAATCTTTCTACACATTTAAGAGCTGTTTTAGCACAATTTAGGGATAGAAATTTTAAAATAGCTGTAGAAACTGGGCGTTATAACAACACTGATTATAATCAAAGATTTTGTACATCATGTAAATCTAAAGGTCTTACCTATATTGAAGATGAATTTCATGTACTGTTCATTTGTGAATCCTTTTCACAACTAAGAGAGAGGGTTATTACAAAGTGTGTTAAAAAGCCTTACACTGTATATTCTTTAGCAAATCTTTTCAAGAATACAAATGTAGACACTGTAAAATCTGTTGCCTTGTATCTATTTTATGTTAAAAGGATTATTACAAACACACTTGAATGATCATTGTGCCCCTGACTACACTGGAATTTCCTTTTGAATGTATTTTGGGCCTACGGCCTTTTACTGGGAATAAACTCTGTCTGTCTGTCTATCTGTGTTCATTGATTGGTTGGTTTGTTGTTTCACGCCGCACTCAATAATATTCAAGCTATGTGGCGGCGGTCTCTAAACAATATATTCTGGAGCAGACAATCCAGTGATAAACAGCATGAGCATCGACCTTCCCATTTGGGATACAATGATATGGGTCAACCATCAAGTGAAAAAAACTGATGGCACAACAGTCTCGTTTCCTGCTGGCTGGGTTCCGTCCTATTGCGAAACTTAGTACAATAACCAGTCCAGAATTTTGAGACCGACTCATTCAAATGGTTATATAAATATTAATCAGTATTATTTGATACATCTTATCACTTGTATATTGAAAACACTACGCTCTTTCTAATCCTTGCAAACACGTCGTGCAGCGTGCTCTGTCGTACAGCGTGTTCTGACAAACGGAAATCTTGAAATCGTGGAGATCTCAAAACGAGGCACGGCCGCTGGAAAAGTTTGGTGGTCTGGTACGGACTTGATATTTTATCAATCACATTGTACGTTAAGAAAATACATTTAATAAGCGCAAAAAACACATAACAGGTGTAACCAGTGAGCCGGACGAATTGTGAATCATTGTACGACCTCTTCAAACAGGATCAGTTTGTGACGTCTTAGTTAAACGACTTGCTGCCTAAACCTCAACATAAAATATAGAAATACGATTGTTTAAAACTCTAAAATTAAAATCAATTTGTAAATACCATTTTCTTATGAAACAAGGAAGTGGAATTCAGTGTAACCATAGTTGTTTGTAGTGTCTCTTTTCACTTTCACATGAGAAAATTCGAATCGGCTGAAAAGTATCTAATTGTCTGTATTGGTTAATGAGACTTATGTTTCGGTTTGTCAGCGAGCCTGACCACCCGATCCCTTTAGTCGCCTCTTACAACAAGCATGGGCTACTGAAGACTAATTCTAACCCGGATCTTCACGGGTCGTGTTCATTGAAGATGACCGGGGCACAATGATGAGATTGTGTTTTATTCCATTACATCAGCTGCAGGATTACACCAAGATGTAGAAGTGCTGTAGACAAAAAGGACGTACATGAAGTGGATGAAATAATATAATAAAACGCCTAAAATTATTTTTGTTATAATTTTTGCGACAATGTTGGGATATCGCTTGAAGCCACATCATCCCATACTCACTCACTTACTCACGCTTGGTGATGGCAACGACCTTGGTGATGGCAAACCAAGAAACATAATCGGGTGATGTTTTCGTTTCAAATCCGTGGCCACAAGTGGTGACGAAATGCACAGGAATTCTCTATATCGTGCGTATCTGCCACGAATAGTTTATGCTGCATGTGTTAACATCGAATTTCTGTGGATCTAAGCGACGGCGTAAACTGTTGATATTTAGTCCTGTGATGAAACCTATCATATTTGAAAATATTTACCAAATATATATACATAAGCCCATAAGAAGCACGCTGATTAAATCCACCTGTGGCCATCTAGACATGCCAAATCATGGACGGGAGTCATTTTTCAATTCATTTTATCCTTGCGTTATGGGTTCTCGGGCACCTCAGAACATCTGCTGTTGTGTCGATTATTTACACTTGTAAATCATGCCACTCATAAATGATAGGAGCGGTGGTGTAGCCTAGTGGTTAAAGCGTTCGCTCGTCACAGCGAAGACCCCGGTTCGATTCCTAACATGGGTACACTGTTTGAAGCCCATTTCTGGTGTCCCCTGCTGTCATATTGCTGGAATATGGTAAAAGCGACGTAATAACCATACTCACTCACTCACACGCCCGCTATGGAATAACGTCAGTGTTATATCGTTTGTGTGGTGAGAAATCTCACTACAGTCTCCTTTGTCGTAGAGCATGCAATCAGATGGGACTGACCTGATGCTGACAGGGAACTCTGTTGATTAGAGATCGTCACTACAAGGAAGAACAAGTCTCATCTGAATATAGCTAAAAGCGGCGTATAACTAAACTCACTCACTCACTCACTATAAACGATAACTTCAACCAATCACAAGCTGTGAGACGCAGCAACCCGCGTCATAGTCCGAGTGAGCAATCCCGTCTGAATACAAACGATGTCCGAAAACCAATGATCCGACGATATTGGGTCTGGGATAGAGACGTGCGATCAGGCAAGCTCATTAATGAGTGAGTGAGTATTGTCGTAACTGGGATTTGGGTGTTAGTAAACCCTACTACCCGTTACCTATTAAGATGGCCGTTCCGCATTGTCAGGGGTGATGTAAGCTCAAGTTACACACTTGGTCCATGGGGATGTTAAGTCTAGGAGTGAGGGGTCAGACGACTGTAACTCCTCAATAAACACATTTCATTCATGTGCTGGCACTCTAGCATACAATGAATAACTCAACACCAGGTTTTATACTCACATAGATTTACTCGATCCCTCTCTTCATTACAAGGTGCGTGGTCTGGACAGGATGGGGCAAGCTCTTCACCAGATATGGATATCGATCGCGATGCGAACGCTCTGCTGACTTTGTAACCCGCACCACTTTCTAGTGCTGACGGTATCTTTTAAAGGTGTTCGAGCCTGCTCCAACCTTGTCACATGACCCTATACAATCCCTCTGATTTGTTAAAAATTACATCATTCCATGGTCTCATGTCTTGCCTCGTGATCGGAAAATTACTTAAACTCTCATCTGTGATTCATTGTTCATTAATACCTAAAAGGACTTTCCTGTTCTGTCAATAAGATTTATCCTGTTGTTTTGATCCCTTACTTTATTACCAAGCCGTAATAGCATTGCTTTTCTGATGCAATCACAGTAATCCTCACTAACTAATTTGTGATACGTTTCTTGTATAACAGATGCCTTTTTTAATCTTATAACAGTGTGGTTTTATGCCGCAATAACAATATAAAATTGATGGGGACACCAGAAATGGCCTTCACACATTGTACATATGTGGGGAATCAAACTCGGGTCTTCGGCTCGACGAGCGAACGCTATAACCACTGGGCTACCCCACCGCCCGGCCCCGATAATGCACGGGCCACGCGTTTATAGGTAAACAAAAACATGTATCCAGATAGCGCACAAATTGTGATGTTTTAACACTGAAATCAACGACACACAGAAAAGAGCCTATACCGCAATGGAAATGGTAACATAATTCATTACATTACATATACGTTCGTCATGAACGGTGTATAGAATGTACTTGGCCAGTGGTTTAATGAAATGGTGCAATAAATATAAATTACAAGATGTATATGAGTATGAATTGTATGAAACATTAACGTTAATAGAACCTCTTTGTTGTTATGATACATTTTGCCATACTTCTGAACATAAATGTGTACAAATGGGCATGAATTATCACCATAGATATTTTTTTAGATCAAGAATTGCCCACCAATAACTGATGAAATAGATTTCTTTGAGTGGCATTCAGTTGGTGTGATGAAACAACGAGGCGAGTTCTATGGATATATTAAAGAAGTTGTATATCCATAGAACTCTAACTCCTCGTTGTTTGATAAATTTGAGCTCAGAATTCTAAGGGAGGCCACTCTTACTCCCTGCTTATATCATAATCTCCTTTGAATGCAGTACAAACATGTCGTCCTACAAAGGTACAAACTGTTTTCTTTTAGTGTTTTGCACTTGGTAATCTAAAGTACCTATTTCGTTTTAGTGATCCTGTTTCTTCTTTTCACAAAACTCGTTTTGATTTTGTCAGCAGCCAGGTTTAAGCTGGGCCCCGTCTAGCATATTGCAATATATACGCAAGGTGGCGCGCGGAAAGGGAGCTGGGAACCAGCTTACAGCCAGGTCATGTATGTGGGACACGTGCGACACATAACCGTGTTGAGAGCCTGGATTGGTGGAGCGAAAAGATATTTGACAACCGCGACAGTTAAAGGGATAAGTAGTAGAGGCTCGTGTATTTCATCAGCTCTGAATTCACATTTCCAGGGACAGCCAGTCATAAATAGGAGATCTCAGCGAGGATTATCCACAGAGTCAGAGATGAATGGAGACCGCTGTAATGACGTGAGAATATTTCAGTGTTTGTTTTGTTTTTTTCATTTGAGCTCGTGATCACTCCTTATAAGTTCATTCAGTGCAGTGAAGGGAGACAGAGCAATTAACGCGATATAGCGAGACAGCGCTGGAGACAGCGCGGTAGAGCTATAGATCTATAGGGCGACAACTGCCCCGCAGCGAGCAGTGACGGCTGCACCCGGTAGGCATAACCACTCATTTTTTATTAATAGGAATTTTTCAACCAAATTTTATGTGTTGCTAGAGTGAAGTTTCAATAACAACAAAACACTTTGATTTTCATACCCAAATTTTTTATTAAAAAGTTATTAGATTTACAAGACACCCACCCTCAGAAAAGAAAAATGTCTATCTATTTTTGCAATAAAAGTGATATATCTAACACATTCAACAGCAAAATCTGTCGCTGACAGTGGTACCCATTTCTGCTGTTTAATTACCATTACAATTTTGCCATGTATGACATGCATTAATGACTAGAAAATGACAATACATGCATACAAGGCAAGTTTCATGTTAACTAAAGTCTCTGGAGTCAAAATAAGTAAAATCAAGTAAAATAGGGACCTCTTGCTCCTTTCTACAGACAGCGTATGTACCACAACGAAATGAATAAATAAGGTTCTAGAAACTCCTACATAATACATAAAATATATATCACAGGGTTGAAAACAAAAACCTGGCCCAAGGAGCATGTAGAATCTTAGCTAAGCCTTTTTATATCATATCCAATATCTCATACATGATGGATTGATAACATTATATAACATATCTGATATTTATATTAGAGGCCGTGGTCTAGGTGTCTTTTGAATATGATCATAAATACTTAAGCAAATAGTTTCCAACAAATACAGTTTCAGTTGCAAGTTATTTCATGATCCTGGGTCATATGAATCCATTTTGGCAAAGATCAATGCAGATCAATGCACAACATATGATGAAGAAACATTTTCTTTGAAAGAGTGCTATCCAGTCCTGCTCTTTCAACTCTATCACAAACTGTCAATATATGGCAGGTATAAATGTTTAAAATATATCACAAAAACAGCATACAGGTCAAGTTGCATGATAATAATAAAATCTGAAGAAACAATAGCGACCAATCTCTGTCACTTTGCAAAACATAAGTAGTCTGGCTTCTTCTCTTCAGCTGGTCAGCCCTGGTCCTGAAAATTAAGGAAAATAAAAATTAACATATTTTCTTAACAGTATGGCACTAATTAGATCGTGACAATTTAATGGCCCAAGGCTTAAACAGTAAATAATTGATTACATATTATTGTTATTTCATCAACAATGGCAATTTTTATATAACTTAAAAAAATGTGGAGGGATTTTGTAAATGGAATGCAACTGAAAACAGAGATAATACAAAAAATGGTCAACTGCCAAATGTTGCTAACTTGTATATACTAACAGTAACACACAATCAAATTTACTGTCATTCACTGTCAGTAGTATTTCATTTTTGATAACCATGTCAATTTCACGAAAAAATAGGTCAACCCAGTGTGCACGTTATTTAGGCCAAGTATATATCATAATTGGATTGATTGGCGGTAATAAATGGTGTATATTTGTTCATTAGTTCAGGATACATCATATTGCAAGCATGAAAAATGTTGTCACTCACCTATTTCGTAGAAAGGCGGTATTTCCACGCTTGCTGACAAACACGATCTCAGCTGGCAGGCTCTGTCTGTCACTTGATCGCTAGGGAAAAGTACTTCCGGTATAGACGGTGGGGTCCTTTTCATTTTTATTTCGACATGAACACGTTGTTAAAAAAATACAATTCATAGTGCAGATTGAAGCTTGATAATTCGTCTACCTATGAGATTTTTTATAGACGTGCGCTTTGCATAAATATGTTTTTTTACACTTCGGAAGTTTTCACCTTCACAAAGTCAACATTTGACGTCACATTTGTCAAACTATGAAAAAAATTGTCTCTAGTTTTGTTATCCGTCTTTTCATTGGTGTATTTGTATTCTTTGTGCAATCAGAGGCAACGTTACAAATGCGCGTAAAAGCACCCCCCTGTTTTGACACATTTTTCTGACCTTGTTTTTGTGCTTACGAGAGGAGCTGTTTCGGTTATCTCCCCTGGCTGGATATCCCTACACCCGGTAAAGTGCATTCTAGCACTGCATGTTTAGTCTATGGATAAATGGTTTTACTATCCAGACAATAGCAAGTGTTTAAAACAGTTTTTTTCAGGTACCAATTGTTTTTTTAATTTTTATATACTCTACAAATAAGAATTTAAATTGATAGTTATTGACTTAGAGACTGGTGCAAGTCTAGTACACATTTGTAAAGGACATGTAATTACATAGTTCATATGAATAAACTCGTAGTTTAGTTATATGCTGGACATGTAAATACAATGAAAGGTACTTGTAATGCTAACAAATAGCATCAACGATTCCAGGTATACTGTCACTGATGGGTCTTAACACTAGAAAACTATTAAAAGGGGAAAAAGTGACAGGTCCCTGTGTCTTAACACTATATATACAGATTAATTTTTAAAATTAACTGTCTAGTCCATTATAATTGAGTTTTATGCCTATTAAATGTACATGAAGGATTTTCTGTTTTTCATGATCAATTATTGTTTTGTTGAAGTTTTTAACTCCTGACATAGTTATAAAGACTATCCCTAAAAAATGTCATGTACATGCCTATCAACGAAATCAAAAGGCTAGCTGTAATAAATTCCCGCACTGTCTTTACAATGTGAAATTTATGCAGGTCCTGTTATCCCTGGCTAGTAAACATCATCAGGACCACTATATGTAAGTTTCAAGCAGTGGTCCTGGTGGCCAGTGAATTTTGTATCCATAGTTAAGTAAATCTAGGAATGTTATTTTGGACCAGTGAAGTTCAGACAGGACCACTAATGATTTCCTGTGGTCTAAGAGAAATTTTGAAAAGTTTCTTTCCCTCCTTTATTATGCATCATTTCTTCTGTTTCTCTTAAACATGATGACAGTGCTTCCTTGTTTTACCTAGACTTAGAAAACTGAGGTTTCTGAGGACCATTATTAATACATTTCAAGTGTTCCAACTGGAAATGTGAGGGTCCTGTAAAGTATTGAAATGTACATGTAGTGTACTGTATGGTAGGATTTGATAAATGTTTTATTACTGGATAATATATTTGTCAGGAATTTGTTACATTGAACCTAACTGTCTGCTTTCAGTATATATATTTGTGCGTACTGGACACCACATAGACATCAAGTATAACCTTGGCATTTACTAAAATGAATGTTTGTGTTCTTGTAGAAGCAGGATGCAGCTTGGTGCAAGCCAGGGTTTATCTAATGTTGAAGTATGCTTACAACTGGTAGAATTCCAGGTAGTTTGGCATGTTTAAGGAGCCAAGTTACATCCGTGTTAAATAAGTTATATAATTATGCTTTCAAAAATTACAGGATTACCCTGATTGGTTGGTTTCAGAAAACTCTGCGTGTCGAGCGTGACAGTTTTGGGGAGTTAAAAGTGCCATCTGACAAGTATTATGGCGCAAACACAGCACGGTCTCTTGTGAACTTCGATATCGGCGGCGAAACAGAAAAGATGCCGGTAAGGAGTTGTGATGACTGAGAATAATAAATTATGAGTGAGTGAGTGTAGTTTGAAGCCGCAGTCAGCAATATGGTGGCAGTCTGTAAATATACGGGTGTGGACCAGACAGTCCAGTGATCAAAAGCATGAGCATCGATCTACATAATTGGGGTATGATGAGGTGTCAATGAAGTTGGCGAGTCTGACCACCTGATCCCATAAAAAGTCGCCTCTTACAACAAGCATAGGTTACTGAAGATCAATTCTAACCCGGATCTTCATGGATAATAAATGATGAGGTGAAACATCATGAATGATACTTTCAATATGCATTAGTCATCTATAGGGGTGGGTATTGCAGAGAATTTTCATATTGCGATGTGAAGGCATATATTGCGATATGTATTGCAATATATTGCAAGAAGTATTTTTAAACAAAAAATACTTATAATCGAGTTAATGCTTGATTTATAAAGCATGAACACAACAAAATCACTATGCTTGATTAAACTTTAATAAAAACTTTTAATCATGACAAAATAAAAATGTAAATAGTATTTGGCACAAATGAAACAAGGAAATATCCGAAGATTTCAGAGTGTTACGCAGTTTTCCGAATGCAAGTTAAAATACCGGTTTTCGATCAGCGTATCGCAATGCGTATCGTTTTCATGTCTGAACCGGTAAACCGGTTATATTGCGCAGCCCTTGTAATCTATGTAAATTATGAATAGTCTGTGCATTTACTAATTTTGTATTTTTTAACTATTGAATATTAGTCAGTGCGTCTGAAGTATTCAAGAGGCTGTTTAACGTGTTTAATATCTTGCATTGATTTTTACCGCATTCTTACTGAAGAGTATTTCCAAACTCAATTACATGGTTGTTATTGTCATGGAATATCATTTGAATCACTTAAAATCATGCAATGTCAATATTTTTAACATTTGAAATAAGAACTATTCAGCATTAATGAAGCGATATACGGTTTCATTTACTCATTAGTCATGGTTGAAATTTTCACAATAATGATATACTGCATGCTTGTGCTATATACAGAGCCTTTCAGTGTAAGTGAAGTGATAAATCATTTCTTTATTCATCACTGATTCAGTGGAAATCTGCACATTGCCATGTACAACATACTAGTTCAAAGACAATACGTACACACACATATTCTACCTGGCCTGCATCTTACTTTGTAAATCAGAGGAAAGAATTGTCGGCACTCACAACTGTGTGACAGGCCACTGTGTGGTAGCCTAGTGGGTAAAGCATTCGCTCGTCGCGCCAAAGACCCAGGTTTGATTCCCCACATGGGCACAATGTGTGAAGCCCTTTTCTGGTGTCCCCTACCATGAACACAATTATAACTTATTTCACAGTTGAAAGGGGACTATATATGGTTGTGTAGCACAGGGGGTTGGGGGGGAGGTTGTGTGGTGAGGGATCATGTATACAGTCCCCATGGCCCCATGAGGGTTATAATGATCCACTCTGCTGGAACCTGTTCAAAGATTGTTTTTATTTTGGTTGCGATTGAAGCTGTTTGTCACTTTTAGTCTGCCTGACACAATGTAAATGACAGTAAGCATGGTGAGGGTAATAATGATGATGTATTCATCATAGATCATATGTGCATATTCTGTGGTCAAACAGAATCATAGACAGTTACATTTCCGGGTCCCAATCCACAAAGCGTTCGTAATGTTACGACCCAGAGGCCCAGATAAGCTGCGTATCCGGGTAAAATACGCATAGAAAATTTTCAATTACGCATTGAAAGAAAATTGTTGCGTACCAATTCAGCATTTAAAATGTTAGATACTCAACAAGTTTAAAACAAATGCGTACGGAATATATTTATAAAAATCGCTTGTGTAATGAAAAAGACATCGATTGCTATCAAGTTGTACTGTTAGTATAGGACAAGTGTTGTACTGTCAGTATAGGATGAGTGCTTTTTATGAAATCATTTCCATTATATTTAAGTTGGTTTTGATTAGGTATGACATAAGGCAGAACATACCTGTTCAGTAAACTTACTCAATGACATATACTTAGGTGAGTAAAATGACTGAAATACTCACATATTTGAAAGCAGTGGGTAACGGAAAATGAAATACCCAATCAACATTCATAATACCCACTCCAAAAAAATACAGTGGGTACAGTACCCACATGAGCTAAATCTTATCTGGAGCTCTGACGACCTATCATGACTCTATACTATACCATAGGCTTACAAATGGCATAGTACTACAAACGGTTTGTGGATAGAATACTTGGTATGTTTATGATTAAGTAATTTAGAGGACTGTTTGCTCATCGGCCTCAATAAACTAAAATATAAGTGAGAAGGTGTTGGGCACAAGTGATTATTTACTTTCAGATGGGGGCCGGCAGTGGGGTAGCCTAGTGGTTAAAGCGTTCGCTCATCACACTGAAGACCAGGTTCGATTCCCGACATTGGTACAATGTGTGAAACCCGTTTCCGGTGTGCCCCCCCATGATATTGCTGGAATATTGCTAAAGGCGGTATAAGTCTAAACTCACTTACTACATTCAGATGGACACCTCTAATGGCTGAGACGTATGCATCGAAGACATGATTATCAAAACATAACCCCATAGTATTTATTCGGGTAATGAAGAAAATAACCCACACAACTCATGGAGACATAGATTATGTGTCCCTCATGAAATTCCATTGATCATCTCTCGGCTATCTGCTAGGCTGTAAAATATCTCTGTTGTTAACTCATTAAGCCCGAGAGACACTTCACTACTCAACACCTGGAGCCCTTCGCTGATTGCCCGTCTCGCTGTTGCGAGGCTAATTAGTGCTATTCACACCTGATTTCCCTGGCAGGTTTCGGGGATGACAGGAAACTGTCTAGTCGTACAATCAAGCTCTGATTGTTTAATTGTGTCGTAAAGATGTAAGTTAAAAAAAAGCAATGTATTGCAACGTATTGCAACGTACGTTTTATGTAATTTCATATCAAGTTTTTCTTGTAGACCTTTGCCGGCTTGTACGTTATATTTTATCAACATATGTATGTATTCTTTGTATGTAAGAGATGAGACATACATAAACAAATTGTTTCGCTTATATCATTGTGTGAGGTATAATTTTACAAAACATCTATGACAATGACAGACTGTAAAGAAGAATTTACTTACATGCTTTATAATCTTCTACGATATTAGCAGTTTTGCTGATACATTTCAGTGTATACTGAATATTTTAAGGAAAGTACTATTACGCTGGTCTGTGACTAACATAGAGCACATTCATAGCTTGGCACTTTGTTTCATCTAGATTTAATGCAAAAAACATACGTTATCATACAAACATACATGTAAAAATTGTATAATACATATTCCTTGTATAGACATAAAACAAAGAGTCACGTGATAGGGCGTCTTCAAATTTCCCGAATAGAACATTTCGCATCTCAACTGTTCAATATAGTGGCTGATCATTTGTTATCTGTGACCAGTCGTATCATGAGATACCTGTCACAGAGGAAGGGACAGGTGATGGGGCCTGGGCGAAATGTCTGAAGAGCACGTTTGGTCACTCAACAGCTTGGACATGTTGGATAGAGATTGATTATTGGCTATATTGTTGACCAGTCGATATGCTGGGTTTCGGCGTTATCAACTCAAGCTATCATGTAACAGTTTGTGTATTGTAAACATACATAATTGTAACGATCTATGACATATACACATAAGACAAATAGGAGTAGATAGATCTCAGATCGAAAACACATTTTAGTGTTTTTCGATAAGAAAGCAAAGTGATTGAAATTCAACCATTGAGTAGAGATAGTATTTATTTTCATATACATTTTATGCACAAAACTAGTACATAAAACATAATGGTTTGCTGTATAATCTTCACCTTGATACGAATGAATACGTTTGAACAACTACAGAGCAAGATATCAAGAGACTGGTAACTGGTCATGTTTTTGTTGACATTTAAATTACGACCTTCACTTTCATTACTTTTTAAGTTTGATTTGATAGTTTGCGGCATAAGAAGCATTTTAGTATTCACTCCCAATGAAGAGTACCAGACACTTTCCTCTGTAAAAACATCTCATAATCCCCTTTCTCGCTGACATGTGCTCATTTGCCAAACACTGTATAAGCCTATGATAATGATTAGCAATTGCTATCAAAACACTTTAAATACTTCTTCTGATTAACACTAAAGGTAGCAACTCTCGTACGAAAAGCTAATCTTTGCTCAGTACTACTAAATTGGTTGGAATAATAGGTACAGTGCGATTTTTAAAAGTGCGACACACATCTGCGTCTCTCGCTGAATAAGAGGTGCTTTCTGTTGTCTCCCATGTGCAGCTCTCGCTGAAAAAGAGGTGTTTTCTGTTGTTGCACATGTGTGGCTCTCGCTGTGAGAAACTAATTAATTTGTCGCACATGCGCGTCTCTCGGCCTTAATGAGTTAACTAATGGCCTTCTGTCCACAGGTTCCGGTCATCCAAGCATTCGGCATCTTCAAGAGATGTGCGGCAAAGGTCAACACAAAGTTTGGCCTGGATCCTAAGCTGGCAGAAGCCATCCAACAAGCTGCTGAAGAGGTCATTGACCAGAGTTTCTAATAGTTTTTACTCAATATTTCATTGTTTACTTACTAGCATGAGAGGGAAAGCCTTGCCATGTTTGTGCTGGGTTCTTATCTGAAGACCATATAGATGATAGATGTCCATTCTTGTGTGCAATTTAACATGCTTGAACAGGGACTTCACAAAAAGTTTACAGCGTGTGTTTGGTGGACTTGTTGCATCAAGAAATATCTGATGTTTTTTGTGAACTATTCTAAATCACTGATTTGGCCATGGATGGATGATCAAGCAGTACTTTTAGATTCTCTGGCACCCAGATCTGCATATTGCTTACTTCCCTTTTAAACACTATACAATTTTTAACATCCATGTCACATTTCACAAAATACCTGTGAAGATCCATGTTTGAATTGGACTTTGGCAATAAGAGGCAACTAACGGAATCGGGGAGTCGTCCTCGCTGGCTTGGTTGACGCATGTCATCGTATCCCAATTGCATAGATCAATGCTCATGCTGTTGATCACTGGATTGTCTGGTCCAGACTCGATTATTTACAGACCGCCACCATATGGCTGATATATTTCGGAGTCCAGCGTTAAACAACAAACATACAAACACAACAATGCCAAATCATAGAAATTTTGAAATTGTCGTGTTTTTCTCTTCCCAACCAATATTTTTACAAATTCAGAAAAAAGTAGTTAAAGGTTCTTGTCATGTTTTCAATAATATTTTGGTCACCAGTCAGTGTTTTGTGAAAGGGGGTGCGGTGGGCAAGCTGGCTAAGGCACCAGGCTAGTGATCCAGCGAGGTTGAGGTGCCGGGATCAAGCCCACCTGTGACCAGGTGTAAAAACCTTAGAGTCAGCTTTGTGTGCAGACTCATTCAGTGTTGTCACAACCCCTAGTGTACATTACACAACCCTGTGCACTTAAAAGAACCCACGAATCCGTTGGTATATGACCAGATGGTGGCCACATGAATACGTGCAAACACCTAGTTGCAGGTACAGCAACGTGCAGTGAACTTGGACAAAGTACTTTGACTGTGTGTCCCAGTCCACCCAGCTGTGAATGGGTACCTCGTTAGGATGAGAAAGCCACAATAACTCGGTGCTCCTTGTGGCTGCAAGAGTTGTATACTCCCCAGGGAGCTGAGATTGATAATATGAGGTGCTCTTGAGATTGACATCCAATGATCGAGGGAAAAAATACCAGCGTCTTGAGCAAGCACTAGTTGCCTGGATATGTGCGCTATGTAAATATCCTATAATAATAATAAAAAACCCAACTACACAATGATAAAAGGAAAGGCATGATGATATTAAATGTATTTTCCTGTCCCCATCAGGTAGCAAAGGGTGAGCTTAACGCCCACTTCCCCCTGGTAGTGTGGCAGACAGGGTCAGGGACTCAGACCAACATGAATGTGAACGAGGTGATCAGCAACCGGGCCATTGAGATCCTTGGGGGCACCATGGGAACCAAAACACCTGTACATCCTAACGACCATGTCAACATGAGCCAAGTGAGCACATCCTGAAACATCACTGTGGAATGCCTGTAGTATATTTTACTGTAGTGTGTCTCACAGTCCCTGAACCTCATTATTTCCCTTTCTGCCTGGATGAAACAAGTCTAGATTTCCTCAGGTTCAGGAATCTCCCTTCTCACTGGGGTTCCTTTTCAATTTAAAAGGAACTGTTTGCGTCTATCAAAATTATGTATATTCAAAGACTAAGCATTAGTCTAATTTTACTGTAAAAATTGTTGATGATAGAAATAGATCTAGCTAGCTATCAGCATTAGAGTAAATCTTCAGACTTCCATTTTACCTAACTAAAATTACTGTCTGATATTGAACAAAATAATAAATTCCTCAAGGGTAATGTGCCCAGTGATATTATATTTTGCCCATGAAAATGAAGCCTGTGTATGTCTTCAATACAATATGTACAAGCTGGACATGTGGTTTGGATATATCAATATTACATGACCCTTGTTCAGTCTCTGGAGTTTTCAAAACATTTCACCCAAACAAACAAAATTCTGTATTTTGTAGACATTATCATAATTAACAATACAAATGTTCCATTCATAGCATCCATTTGTTAAGGGACAAATTTCTGGCTTTAGGGCAGTGAATGCTTCAGGGTGTTTGTCATCTTGGAAAAGAAATGTAATATGGTGAATAAGAGCTGAACGTTGATTTGATACATTTCAGAGTTCAAACGACTCCTTCCCTACAGCTATGCATATAGCAGTAGCAACGGAAATCAACAACCGTTTGTTGGTTAACCTCCAACAGCTGCATGAAGCACTCGGGGCCAAATCCAAAGAGTTTGCAGACATCATCAAGATAGGAAGGACTCACACACAGGTACAGGATTTGTTCAGTACACCAGTTGCCAGAGTCCAGACATTATCCTGTAAAAAACCATGACATTAGAACTGTGAACCAAGGTAATGACTGTATGAACATTCACTTTGTTTGTTTGTTGTTTAATGATGCACCCAGCAATATTCCATCTATATGACAGAAGTCTGTAAACTAACAAGCCTGGACCAGACAATCTAGTGATCAACAGCATGAGCATCAGTCTATGCAACTGGGATGCAATGACATGCATCAACCAAGTCAGCTGGCCTGGCCTCTTGATATCATTATAGTGACACCAGGGGTGGAAATAACTTTAAAATTGCTAGTGTACTCCGGTACAGTGGCACATGTAAAATCACTTGCCCTGATGATTTTTCCACTATACCGTCCGTTTTCTTGTTGATTCTTTAAACAAACAACATAATTAACATTGGAAAGTCAACTGGACACCCGGTACAGTGTGATATACAAATTTGCTTGCCAAACAGAAAAAACGCTGGACTCAGGCGTCGGGCAATGGGTTATTTCCACCCCTGAGTGAGGCGGCTAAGTTTCTATTTGCAATGTGTTTTTCATAATAAAAGCACAAAAATTGGCCATCAGGAAGAAAAACATGTCTGAAATAACTTCAGATATGGATGCACATCAGTTTTTGTACATTTTCACATGTGCACTAACCAAAAGATGGTCTAAGACAGTCCTGAAGATGCCCCGATGGGGTTAGTATTAGAGTCCTCGCAGTCCATGGTAATATATCGGTGGAATTGTTCTTTAAAAGGTTGATGACAGTTCGAGAACGGTTAGGTCTGCATTGTCTGCCATGACTGTTGGACGATTGGGAAGGTTATCCAAATGTGACACCACGTCTGTATCCAGTACTTCCTGACGATAACGTTGACTATCATTTGACGCTTTTACTGTAACGAGATCCCACTTACGATGCCATACGAAACGCACCCCCACACTATCACTGAGCCACCGGTTCATCTGCATGTATCATCTCCTGGTGCTACAGCATCTCCATACAAGACAATAGCTGTCGGCAACGTGTAGGAGATACCAACTTTCATAAGACCAATGAACCCTATGCCATTACAGTGTGCGAAATTTACGCTGGTCCTGTGGTCCCTGGCTAATAAAAAATTCATCAGGACCACTAAATGATAAGTTTGCAGTGGTCCTGGTGGCCAGTAAAGTTTTGTATTGATAGTTAAGTATCCAGTGAAGTACAGACAGGACCACTCATTACTGTCCACTCACTGGTCATGTGTTCTAGTGGGACATTTTGAAAGGTTTCTTTCCCTGCATTACCTCAAGTTTCAGTTCTTGGAGTTTGCACCACACCAGACTTTTCTGCCTGTACCTATCAGTGGGTGAGAGAGTATGGTTTTACACCGCTTTTAGCACAGTGGGGGCACCAGAAAAGGGCTTCACACATTGCACAAGCGAAGGCTATGCCATCTCCCAGTTCCTGTCAGTGAGGGAGGGATGTCTGATCAGACGATGTACCCTCAGACCATTGGGACAAAAAGTGCCCTGTCGACATATATTGAAGCAAGTGTAACAGCAACATCAGAAGAGCCAGCTGTTACCAGTTTGATTATAGACAGAGCTGTCACTGTTCAGATGTTGAAGCCTGGTACTGTCAAAATATTTGATGAATATGCCAGTGAGGTTTTCATACCACACGTCCAGGCACAGATATGAGTGTCACACGTTTGGGTCTGATGTGGGATAGATACAGTCCACAAGCAACAGTCCAAGCCTGTCTGGGCACGTGTGTGAAGATGTCATTAGCTTTGCTACTGTACCAAAAAACTCTCAAAGGGAAGAAAAGAGCAACAATAGCAATTTTCCTATTTTTTAGTCAAAGGGTCTTATTCAGTCTGTCTAGGATCAGGCAGTTGTTGTTAAAGATGGAGAACAGGTAGGGTGTGGTTCCCAACAACATGATTTGTCCTCACTTGTCCCTTGCGGCCATCAATAAGACGATATTCACATCATACTGATGTTGCTCATGCTGCAAACATGCCTATGAAAATATCATGTTACGAAGTGTAAACACAGCCATGAAAAGCTTATGTTACAAACAGTCAAAACATGGCCATGAAAAGCTTATGTTACAAACAGTCAAAACATGGCCATGAAAAGATTATGTTACGAACAGTCAAAACATGGCCATGAAAAGATTATGTTACGAACCGTAGCTACAGATGCAGTAATGCTCAATACATGCCATCCCACCAACGCATGCAGCTGTTGTACATCAGGTCAAAAAGACATTACCAAGTAGCGCATATTTGGTCAGTCACTTTTCCACAGCCTTAACTGCCATCTCCTATTGAGTGCAAGATCTGGGTTAGAATTGGTCTTCAGCAACCCACACTTGTCCTAAGAGACGACTAACGGGATTGGGTGGTCAGGCTCGCTGGCCCAGTTGATTTTTGTCATTGTATCCCAACTGCATATATTGATGTTCATGCTGTTGATCACTGGGTTGTCTGGTCCAGACTTGATTATTAACAGACTGCCGCCATATAGCTGGTATATTGCTGAGTTTAATAACAAACCAACCAAACCTATTGAGTGTGTCTGGACACTGCAGGGAAGTGGACAGTGCCCTAATGGACAGCACTTCACCAAGCATCAAAGTCTGGTCAGGAGCTGGTCTCTTGTGGCTGCAGAAAGGGGTGTAACAACAGTCGAAACAGTCCTCGCTTCAATGCACAGGACGTGGTGTGATGGCTAGTGTTCATCAATATTGTCTTTTCAAGACATTTAACCAGAATATGTTGTTTTGTTTTGGTTAAGATTTCCCCTTAATGCATTAATGGCCATTCCAAAGCTAAAACAGTAGTCAGACAAAGGCAAAATAGTATTTACTGTCTGTGCATGCCAGTGAAGATTCGATTTAGAATTGGTCTTCATCAGCCCATGCTTGTCGTAAGAGGCGACTAACGGAATTGGGTGGACAGGCTAGCTGACTTGGTTGACACATGATATCCCAATTGTGTTGATGCATACTGTTGACTGGAATCCCATTCCATTACCCGTGAAGGTCGCAGAATCGATGCTCATGCTGTTGATCACTGGATTGTCTGTCATCGTCGATGCTCATGCTGTTAATCAATGGATTGTCTGGTCCAGACTTCATCATTTACACACGCCATATATAGCTGGAATATTGCTGAGTGCTGCGTAAAACTAAAGTCACTCACTCACTCTATTCCACACTGTTGATTAATGGATGTCTCAATTATTTACAGACTGCTGCCTAATAGCTGGAATATTGCCGAGCGCTGCATTAAGCAACAAACAAGCAAAACCTTCCGCACATGCGCAAAACGAAATTATTTTGATTGCTACCATATCCTAAAATGGTCACTATTCATCAGTCTGTTAATGTGTAAAGTTTTATGCTTTTAGGAACCGTTCATAATTTATAGCTTGGGTGGATGATGATGATTTTATGGAGGGGATCACCAATTTTGTTCATGGGAGGTAGGACGGGTCAGCAATTTTGTACATAAAAATTATGGGAAAGGGGGGTGTCATTGATTTTGTACATGACATGCAGGGGGTGGGCACTTAATTTGTAAATAAATTTTAGTGGGGTCAGTCACATTGTACATGCTTCTCCATAAAAATCATCATCATCCCCCTAGCCATAAATTATGAATGGTCCCTTATTGTTAAATGCAAATTTTATCTGTTTAGTCGCTCCACTATTAGCCGCCTCTTACGAGACAAGCTGAAGCTGCTGAAGATAAATTCTAACCTAGATTTTCACTCTTTTCACATTTTGAGAACAACGTTGATGATCAATGTTTACATTGATATACCAAATATATGTTGAGCTTCTATGTTGGAGATTCAACTGACATAATAGTGCTCCCTGATGTTGAGCTAGCAGGTTAAGAAAGTGTGCTTAAGGGAAAAGAGTTTACTTTGCTAAAAATTGCAATCATTCATATTCCAATTAGCAAGATCTCCCAGAATTCTGTTTAATGCTGATCATGTGACACAGAACCAGTTGTCTTGCCACTATGACTCCCATTCTTTAGTGAATCAGGAAATCCTGGCAAGAATCATTGCTGCTCCCATTCTCTGTCACTATCCAGCTAGGTATCAGTGGATTTAGACTTTGTATAGTAGATGTCAGAGTATTTAATGAATAGGTTTGACAGTAGCCATTTTGCCCGTTGTGTTCAATTCCCCACATAAGTACAATGTGTGACATCCATTTCTGGTGGAATATTGCTAAAAGCGGCATACAACTTCACTCACTCACTCACTCACTCACTCACTCACTCACTCACTCACTCACTCACTCTCCCTCTACATGGTCCAGGTAACCTACCATTGATCATCTCTGTACTGTTGTTGCAGGATGCTGTCCCCCTTACTCTGGGCCAGGAGTTCAGTGGCTACACCCAGCAGATGGCGTATGGGATAGAGAGGGTACAGGCCACATTGCCCCGCGTACAGGAGCTTGCAGCTGGTGGGTTACCTCTCAATATCACCTCAAAGTTTGCTCAACATACATTCTGCTATGTGCCACATTTCATTGTTTGACCTTGTGTTTGCCCTGCTTTTAGTTTTTCTCAAATGGAATACTTGCATATCTGACTGAGGAAGCTAAACATTTGCTGATATTACATCCCTGAAGATGATGCCAAAATTTGTTAAAATCATTTGATTTTAGTGCAAGTTTGTTATTCATAGTTATTATGCAGACATAATTTCATTATCATGCTGAGCATGTTGAAAGCAATGTTTTATGTGAGTAGTTGTTGACATGTCAGACTGCTGGATACATCCGGGTGAGTTAAGGTGCTGGTGTAACCATTTGTGAGGGGTATTTTATTCAGTGAAAGAGTGAGTTTATGGTTTTACGTCACTTTTAGCAATATCAGCAATATCACGCATCTGAAATGGGCTTCACATTGTACTGTGGGAAATTAAACTCGGCTTCAGAGTGATGAGCTAATGCTTGTACCCCCCACCTGTGGGAGTTATCCAGTTATGCTGTTATGTATTTTGATTTGTAAAATTGCTTCTCATCATTGACTTGGATGGCGCTCAGCATAAAGGTGGCGCGTTAAGGAAAGATCATCTCAGGGTCAATACAGTGTGTCTGAGCTGGGTATCCATGTTTATGGAAAATTGCTAAACTCACCCACTGCAGCATGGGATCTGCTGGTGCAGTAAAACCCGCATTAGCTGTATTAGTGCAATAATTGGAGACAGAGACATTAAAGCCCCTTTCACCTCATCTCACATTGCTGGGTGGTGAGGTAGCCTAGTGGTTAAAGCGTTCGCTAGTAACATCCAAAGACCCGGTTTTGATTCGCCACATGGGTCAATGTATGAAGCCCATTGCTGGAATATTGTAAAAATTGGCATAAAACTAAACTCACTCACTCATCTGTGTGAAGCCCATTTCTGGTGTCCCCCACCGTTATATCGCTGGAATATGGCTAAAAGCGGCGTAAAACCAAACTCACTCACTCACTTATCTCATCTCACATTACTGACTTGGTTTAACAGGAGGCACAGCCGTTGGTACTGGACTCAATACAAGGAAAGGCTTTGCTGAGATGGTGGCTGCTGAGGTGTCTCAGTACACAGGTAAATGTCCCAGTATACCTGTGGTTGTCTTGGTAACTATCGTGCACATGGTTACCTCCCTTGCCACCAGCTCATGTCTCTTGTTGACGGTACTGACAGTACAATGTTAATCAAAAAGTTGGCAAGTGTTTGTTTTCACTTTACTTATCAACATTAATCTTTCTGATTGTCAAATTTGATTTGAAGTTTCAAATCCTGCTTGAACACCTACTAACTCTTCCAATCCACCATGTATATGTATTGTATATTATCCTCTGATCTGTTTGGAGCACCATGAGCATTCACAAGTGTGTGGATACAGGTGCATTATTCATGGCCATTACTATCATATTATGATTATCCCCTGCAACATGTGTTTCGGGGGCGGGGGGGTAGCCTAGTGGTTAAAGCATTGGCTCGTCACGCCGAAGACCCGGGTTCGATTCCCCACATGGGCACAATGTGTTAAGCCCATTTCTGGTGTCCCCTGCCGTGATATTGCTGGAATATTGCTAAAAGCGTCGTAAAACTAAACTCAGTCAGTCAGTGTTTTTCGGGGGTGTTAAAATATGATTACACAGTGCCATTTAGAAAGTGGTCAAATGTAACATATGTTATGTTTGGGAGTACACTTTCTTAGTAAAGTACAGTTTCTAGTACTTTTGTTGATTGAGTCCCATCCAGGATTCGAACCCACACCCTCACACCCTAATCACCGGCACACATGTGGAAGTCGGGGTGGCTGAGCGGGTTTGGCAGCTGACTTTGTGTGCTGGCAATTAGGTGCCTGACTCTGAGGGTGTGGGATCAAATCCCGGATGGGACTCAACCGAACAAAAGTACTAGAATATCTGTACTTTACTAAGAACATGTACTCCCTAATATAACATGTTACATAGTATTAAAATAGACTGTTTTTATGGTAGGAATACAATTGCCATGGTGAGTTGGTAAGCAGGCATGATATATGGGAAAGCATATCACAATGCTCAAAGAGAAATCCATCAAAATTACTTAATTATTGAATTAAATCTAACCTGACCTATTGTAAAACCCCACAAACAAGCACTCAGTCTGACTGTATTATCAATATTTTATACCAACCAACAACCTCATATTTCTACTTCCATTATAGGACGGTGGGGTAGCCTAATGGTTAAAGCGTTCGCTCGTCACGCCGGAAACCCACGTTCAATTCTCCACATGGGTACAATGTGTGAAGCCCATTTCTGGTGTCCCCCACCGTGATATTACTATAATATTGCTAAAAGCAGCATAAAACTATACTTACTCACTCACTCACTCACTACTTTCATTATAGGGTTGTCTTTCATGACTGCCAACAACAAATTTGAAGCACTTGCCGCCCATGATGCCTTGGTAGAGGTCCATGGAGCACTGAATGTGGTGGCGTGCAGTTTGATGAAAATAGCCAATGACATCCGCTTCTTGGGGTCTGGTCCTCGGTGTGGGCTGGGAGAAATCTCACTGCCAGAGAATGAGCCTGGGAGTAGCATCATGCCAGGTAAGTGACGGGGGGCGATATTCTGTCAGGTGAGTGGAGGTAGTAGCTCTCTGTCAGGTGAGTGGAGGTAGTAGCTCTCTGTCAGGTGAGTGGAGGTAGTAGCATTCTGTCAGGTGAGTGAAGGGAGTAGCTGTCTGTCAGGTGGGCGAAGGGAGTAGCATTCTGTCAGGTGGTCGAAGGGAGTAGCATTCTGTCAGGTGAGTGAAGGGAGTAGCTGTCTGTCAGGTGAGTGGAGGGAGTAGCATTCTGTCAGGTGAGTGGATGTAGTAGCTCTGTCAGGTGAGTGGAGGGGAGTAGTATTATGCCAGGTGAGTGAAGGGAGTAGCTGTCCGTCAGGTGAGTGAAGGTAGTAGCACGCTGTCAGGTGAGTGGAGGAGAGTAGTATTATGCCAGGTGAGTGAAGGGGGGAAGCTTTCTGTCAGGTGAGTGGAGGGAGGAGATCAGTGAAGGGGGTAGCATTGTATGAGTGACATTTCTCTCTTTTTGTCTGGATATACAAATTTCTGGATATCTGATATTTTGTCAGTTATCTCCCTTCCCCAAAATCAATGGAAGCCAAAAAATACCTTTTTGACATAATGCATAAGATTATACAAGTATTAGGGAAGTCAAAATCTACATTGTATCCCCTCAGCAAACTCAAGTGAATGAATAAGTGATACAAAACTTGGCTAATAAATAAGCAAATTAATATAAATTCACTATTCATTTTCAATTTACACTGTGTTTCCAGCTCTGCGAGGCTTTGTTTTATATGCAGGGATTAAGATGACCATGTGTATTTTCTTGTCAAACAAGCCAAAAATGCAATCAGGAGTGCACACATTTTCTCCCTATCTACAGGTGATTCAGTTGAAGTACCTGTTTATGTAATCCTAAGAATTTTGATGCTCTAGTCCTATTAAAATTGTATCTGAAACTGTCATGATGTCAGGAATAATATATTTTCATATCATGTTATTTTACTTGCAGTTTTGTAACTGGTTTGTGTAATAACAGGATTGAATTAGCTCAGTGATCTCATGACACCCGTCTTATTGGATGCCAGGTGATGAATTGCTAAGGAAACATTGTCAAGGGTGGTCGCTGTTGGGTATCTGGGGCACAATAGGGTGTATTTTGCATTTTTCATAATTGAAATTCATAGTCAGGATCCAGAATACAAATTTCCTGCTCAATGAAGTATTTTATGTGGTATTTACTTCTTTTCACATAAAAGTAGGCAAGGTGTTAAAGCGTTGAAGTCATTTAGGTTTTTCCCCACATGGGCACAATGTGTTAAAGCTTTCTGGTGTCCCCGCACGTTGATATTGCTGGAATATTGCTAAAAGCGTAAAAACTAAACTCAGTCAGTCAGTCTTTTCACATAAAAGTAGGCAAGGTGTTCTGAAGACATTTAAGTTTTCATTTTAAAGCTGCTCGAATCACACTGAATATACCTGGAGATGAGTGCACATGAAATACGAAGTAGGTTTCCATATATAAGACAGTGGTCAACGATACACCGGCCCATTTCGTTGCTATTTCCCCATTCATCCATTCGAGCCATTAGGTTTTATGCATTGTTAGACTTGTAGGTTCATTTGCTCTTGTGGTGTTATGTAGCTTTTGAGCATTACATTGTTGTTAGAATTGTAGTGTCCAGAGGTAGACAATTAGCAGTATTTAGTAGTTTCATTCCAACTTCATTTTCTTCATTTAGAATCACTTAAGAGAATCATGTTTAGTTCCTTGTAAATCATCCATAGTTTTCTCACTGATAATAGTTGTCACGTTTAGTTACTTGTTTAGGCAAAAGGTTCAAAGTTAAAAATTTTAGTTGATTAGGTTTTCATTTACATTGCATAGCTCTGCACAATCGTTTATTTCCACTGCGCAACACAAGGTGTCCGGATATCTAGGGGTTGGGATAAGGAGAGTTCCAGTGTAAAAACCATAACTTTAATAAATCAGTTTCGGTTCTACCTTATGTTAATCCTGACATTCAACAGAATATTTTTCCATAGATAATGAAGCCATGAGATTGTGTGATATGGTTATGAGACTGACATGTATTTGGTACGGTTTGTACTGTGGTCCACAATTCATTTGGTATGCAAGCTTCCTATGGGGATCAGGGCTGTGGGGTAGCCTAGTGGTTAAAGCGTTCGCTCGTCATCGCCGAAGACCCGGGTTCGATTCCCCACATGGGTACAATGTGTGAAGCCCATTTCTGGTGTCCCCTGCCATGATATTGCTGGAATATTGGTAAAAGCGGTAAAACCATACTCACTCACTCACTCCTATGGGGATCACAGGATTGGAAGTAGGTGGGGTATCATTTCCATGTAGTCTGCTTCTGAATACACAATATAGTCAGGTTTTAGACAAATTATGACTAGGGAGTGGTAATGATGTACTGTGTGAATGACCCCCTAAAATTTATGTACAAAGTGACACTCTTTGCTTGTCATGTACAAAATCAATGACACCCCCACCCCCCCTTTTCCATAAGTTTTAAGCATAGTTTTTAATACTTTTACGTACATAATTGCTGACCCCTAGTACATGTGCACAAAATTGATGACCCTACCTCCCCAGAACAAAATGGGTGACACCCCCCACCCACCCCTCACCCCATCAAATCATCATCACCCCCAGCCATAAATTATGAACGGTCCCACTAGTAAGCCTCAGATGCTGTAAAACTTATCAATCCTTTGGTTTCTAACCAAGTAACGTTTGGATTACCTGACTGGGTCAGCTGTCTCCCAGGGGGCATTTGTGGGGAACTTCATGTTCATGTGGATTCAGGTTTCCATGATGTACCATTTGTTGCTAATTGTAGGTCATATGTGTTGAAGATTTCATTCTCTTTCCCAGGCAAAGTGAACCCTACCCAGTGTGAAGCTATGACAATGGTGGCCGCCCAAGTTATGGGCAATCAGGTTGCTGTCTCCATCGGTGGAAGTAATGGACACTTCGAGCTCAATGTCTTCAAGCCCATGATTGTACGGAACGTACTCCAGTCAATCCGTCTGCTTGCGGATGCGAGCCTGTCCTTCACCAAACACTGTGTCACTGGCATCAAGCCAAATAGAGAAAGGATAAGCCAACTGATGAACGACTCTCTCATGTTGGTCACGGCCCTCAACCCTTACATTGGCTATGACAATGCAGCAAAGGTCGCGAAACATGCACATAAAGAAGGAACAACCTTGAAACAAGCAGCTCTTGACCTTGGTGTTTTGACAGAAGAAGAGTTTGATAAATATCTGAAGCCTGAGATGATGCTCGGCCCCAAGTGAGAAGTTCTGTTACAACTATAGTGTATGATAATCAGAAATGCTGTGTTCATGATGGTATTTGGGTTTTGTTGTCAAATTATACAGGAAAGTATTCTTTTGTTGGTATATAAACTGAAATTCAAAAGAAAGTACTCACCTGGTTCTATGGAATTATTTTCCCCAAAACATATTTTTGAAAAGGTGTGGACTTTCTTTTGTATATTAGTTTGTTTGTTATTCCTGGCAGAAAGTGGTATTTTGTTTTCTATGTAGCATATTGATATATTATTTTGAAGTACATGTTTTTATCAAATATGAGGAAGGACTGTATCAAATATCGAGACAATCAAATTTGGTAATTATCAAGAACGTGTTGAATGAACGTATATATTTGAAAGGGAATCCAGGAGGGACACTTAGACATATGAGAATCTCACCCAAGTGTCTTCTGATATCAACACGAGTTGATAAAGTTACAAATATCCGAGGCTTGCCAAGGATAGTTTTACTTTATCAACGAGTGTTGATATATTTGATATCAGAAGACGAGGGGTGAGATTCTATTTATCATCAAAATCACTTCGTCATTAATTTTCAATGAAAAAAATATACATCTCTGAACATATTAGACTTACAGTGCAGACATGGCGTCATCATTGTTACGGGAAGGTCAGGGCATTGTTAATCTACTGTAAAAGCGATATCTCCTAGAATATGATATGATATTTGACAATCTCGGGGAAGGGTTATAAGAAATGATATAGATATTTGGGAGAATCATAATGAAATGGACATTTTATAAGGAAATATAAAATACTTTTGCATTTTGTCTTTTCATGTAGGGTCATGAAACGTGTACAGGGACATGGAGAGGGTCATCTGACAATATGACTAGCATGAGAGGAGGGTCATTATTTTCAGTGTGTTAATGCATCCAAAATCTCTGTCCCATCCCAGGGCGGTAGGGGTAGCCTAGTGGTTACAGTGTTCGCTAGTCAAGCCGAAGACACGGGTTCGATTCCTCACATGGGTACAATGTGTGAAGCCCATTTCTGGTGTCCCCAGCCGTGATATTGCCGAAATATTGCTAAAAGCGGCATGAAACTAAACTCGCTCACTCTGTCCCATCCCTGCCTGTAATTACCGGTAATGACTAGTCCATTGTGTGTCTGGATTTGTAGTCCTTATAGCCATTAAAAGTTTCAGGGAAACGCTACCAAACAGGGTGTGAGCAATATTTTCTTGAAAACATTCCTGTGTGCCTCTTCTTGGAGAAGTTAAGACGACCTTTGTACCATAACGTACCAAAGAAGATATTCAGGGTTGGAACATTCTGTTCCTGCATGTATCCTACACTGTAACTACCTGTCAACCTGGACTGTACCTTTGAACTGATACTGATGGCTTAATTTCCAACTTAATGAATAAACAGTAATGTCAGGGTATTTATGTATATACTGACAGTAGGGGTGCTTATTGGCCCAAAAATTAAATTCCAATATGCTGTGATTTGGTATCTATAATGATATACGCGTTAGTGTGATTTACAATCAATCAATCAATCTGTATTCACTCAAAACCACCTACGGTAAAAATCAAAACATAAAACAGATACATTACACATAATACATGCGTGTTAGGAACTACTGCTTAATTGTACATGCAGGTCTTATTTCAACATTCTAAATCATAAATACCCGTGTTGGTCCGGGTTAGATTACTGGCCTTCAGTAAACCATGCTTGTCGTGAGAGGTGACTAACGGGATCAGGTGGTCAGGCTCGCTGACTTGGTTGACACATGTCATCGATTCCCAATTACGCAGATCGATGCTCATGTTGTTGATCACTGGATTGTCTGGTCCAGACTCGATTATTTACAGACCGCCACCATATACCTGGAATATTGCTGAGTGCAGCGTAAAACTAAACTCACTCACTCATTCACTAAATTATAAAAATACATTTACTCAGTATGGTCAGTGGCTGCCATTTTGTGGTCACGATAAAGGGGAGATAACAATGAACGAGGGAAAAACCTCATTTGTAGCATAATAATAATAATAAAAAATTATAAAAATACATTTACTCAGTATGGTCAGTTGCCATTTTGGTTATATGACAGAATTATTTGTAGGTTATATGACAGAATTATGAGTGAAACTTGTTATGTTTGTTTTTAAAGATTTTGTTGAGAAGGTAAAGGTCCAAGCTTTGAAACTGACTTCAGCCTTGGGCCAAGCCAGAGAGTTGTTATGGTTCTGGCCTTAGTTTTATATGTACACTTTTATATCGATGTGTATTTGCACAACACTTCATATAAACTGACAGCATTGTTTTGTGACCTGCTTTAACAGATTTCATAGTAAACATGTTTACATTGTAAATAACCTAATGAACATGTTGAACATGAAATAGGGATCTGTCTTCTTTACAGAAACTCTGGAATATGCATGATTTTATTTTTGTTTATTGTTCAATAATGACTATCAATGTTTATCACTAAAGTACTGTCGGAAATAGAAAAAAACTGTTTTTAGGCTGTTACCCTGTATCCCTAAAATTTACACAATTGCAAATAACACATGTCGAAAATAACCCACTTCGGCCTAACAGGGCGTTCAGTGGGATGCGTAATAGGATATCCAGGAAAGCATGTTTACTCGTAAAATCGGGCAAAATTACGAATAAGTGCTGAAAACAATAGATCTGACTATAGATGGCAATTAGGTCGCTCAGCCAGGTATGAGAGGACCGTCGACTCACCTGGCATGAAGTGCATTTGCTGCATACAGAAACAAGGGGGTCATCTCAATTATATTTTATGCTTTTCTTTTTCATGTGTGTTGAACATGTCTCATCTATTGATTAACATCTTACGTGTCTTTCTTTCATAAAGTTTATGTTGAGATATGTAAAAGAGGATGATACCCATAGAAAAGCTTAAATCAGACATCGTATTAAATGTCTCAAAATATATAGGTGGCATGACCACCCGAAGATCAACAGGACTGGATGTTTTTTGTAAATTATTATGACATGCTGTTTTCTTCCACAGTTTAATTACCCTAAAGGATTATCTTAACTCTATGCCCCAGCCCCACCCTACCACCGTCTGCAACACTGGTCCTGGTTTTGCTTTTGAGATGACCCCTCTTACCTGACTCCGTGGAAGCTACATCCTTAATAGTTTTATCATTATAGTTATTATTTTGTATGTCAGCTATCATTTATAATGAAGCTAAGTTTAATTTCAAAATGGGAATTTAAAAGTGTCCTTTGTAATACATAAAGCCATGGATAGTTCCAAATAAGTCGCATTGCTCTTTGAAAAACCGGCATTGCTAATTTCTGCACTAATCTCTCAGTAAAGTGTAGAAAAAGGACTTTACTATCTCCCTACCATTGAGACTGTAGTTAGGCCGAACTTAGTTTAACAGATATTTCATACTTTCACATGTTAACTACTTAAACTGTAGACATAAATGCGAAGAAAAATTTTTTTTTCTATTTCCGACAGTCCTTTAGTCATGTCATGAATATAATCATCAAAGTTGGGAGTGCGTATGTAATTAGCAAAGTTTGGAGTGGTATCAAATAAATCACCTTGGTAATGTTTTAATATTGACCGAAGTTCTTTCTTATGATAGTTTACATATATTGTTTTATATGGGCCCAAAACCCACGATGTTTGTATGTTGTTTCAGCAAAGCAGGATTTGAAATAATGACAGCACCTTTAGTTTATGTAAACTTTATTTCTTGATTTGACTGTGATTGTTGTACCTGTAAACAAATTGTTTACATTAAAATCCTGTACTGTATGGTGCCTATATTTTGTAAGAGGTCAACAGGTGTATTAAATGTTTCCCTGTCCAAATATAGTTTTGCTGGATATAGAAATGAGATGTGTCTGTCCTTAGGTTTAGGGGTCAGAATTCATAACCCATATATGTTATGTCTATGGAGAAATCCTACAGCATTCATCTTAACAATGTAGAGCTGATATAGCATAAGGGTACTACAATGCTTTATATCAGAACTGCTTTCATTAAGGAAATAATGAACAGAATTGGTTTTCTAAACCAATAGTGTAAGGGTTACAAAATTGCGTATTCAGGGTTAGAACAGGTCCCCAGCAACCTATGCTGGTTTTATAGGCAACAACCCATGCTTGTCGTAAGAGGCGTCTAATGGGATCGGGTGGTCAGCCTCGCTGACTTGGTTGACACATGTCATCGTATCCCAATTTAGTAGATTGATGCTCATGCTGTTGATCAAGGGATTGTCTAGTCCAGACCCAATTATCTGCAGACCGCCGCCATATAGCTGGAATATTGTTGAGTGCAGCATTAAACAACCAACAAAACCAACCAACGTAATTCCTTCGATTGCCTGTCATTGTTCCCTGATGGCATGGATCACTGTTCACAATATCGGTAACACTTGATTCTGTGGTTCAAACTCCATTATTGGCAGGTTGCCATGTCGTGGAATACTGCTGGGTTGTACAACAGCTCACACTAACCCTCACTCATTTGTTGACAAAATATTAGTTAAGAATCTGGATTACAGGTACAATCTGTGAACCTCTATATGTGGAGTCGGCCATAGTATTGTTGTAATATTGTTAAAAGCGGCTTTAAACTATGCCTACTCAATTACATGAATAAATCAATCATAAATGAAGATTGTTCTTGTTGAATTTGGATGAACCTAAAAACACGAGATAAAGAAAGAAATTGCTGACATGGGTTTTCCCATGCAGTGCGGATTCAGGATTTTGGAGAAGAGGGAGGGGTGGTGCACATAAATCATGAAGTCCAAAGGGAAAGAGGGAAATGCAACCCCCCGCACGCACACACCCTCTGGATCCGCCCCTGCAATGAGATGACCTCAAGAGGTTGACTTTTTCTTTCCAATACCTTATGCTGAGATTGTGCTTTGTGGAAATATTTCAAGTATTGATGGTCCTGGCCTTCCTGTGTGTTGACTGTAGGCATGTCATGCACATTCACTAACAAGAAGTCCATCAAGACTTGTAACATTGACTTTGTATACATAACTCTGCAGAGTTTAAAATAAAGTAATCATGGAATTGCAATCGTATGACTTAATGTATGTCTGGAGCCACAGAGACGGATTTTACAAACGTGTGTCAGATACTATATATAGTGATCACTGGATTGTCTGGTCCAGACTCGATTATTTACAGATCGCCGCCATACAGCTGGAATATTGCTGTGTGGCCTTAAAGAACAAATACACCAACCAACTATTTATCTTCCAAGGAGTATCTATTTCAGATGAATGGTAAGTGAAATGCATGACTTCAAGGATCTGTTTCAAACAGACCCCAAAACCAGATATTAGCATCGAATCCATGCATATGTTGTTATTTCGCAACATTCGCAATGAGGTTGCACATTAACACAACGCAAGTATTGAAGGGTCGCCCATATGGTTATGGTCTATACAAAAGAAGGCCTCCTTTTCAAACCAAAAAGTATTAAGCAAAGCCCCGGCCTGTTTACGTATGACATTGAATTAATAAAGTGGTTGACATATAGTAACAGCATCTCGCGCCGTCATGGTACAGTGGCATGCATTCTGCCGAGAAGCCGAGCCTGTCATTTTAGTAGCCTCTTACGCCGAGCACATTCCTTATGACAGGTGGTGCAGAACACTCTGTCTATTCTACATATACTTAATACTTAACTCAAGAATCAAAATAGGTTATCAACTAATTATGAATTATAAGAACCAGCTAAATAATATTCTTGGATCTGCCAGGACGATGGATATATAGCTAGCTTTCTTAATTTTCAAACCAGATTAAAATGGACAAATATATTAGCATCTAACACTAGATATGAATGCTATGGTAGTTTTAAGATTAGCCTTGAAGAGTAATAGATTCCACATTGTGTTTCTTGCAGCCGACTTTGCTCGTGCTGGAGTTGGAAGTACAAGGCTAAATATTGATACCGGAAGACATCATAAAATTGCAAAGTCTGAAAGGGTATGTAGATACTGTTACTTGAACAATATCGAAAATCTGTATCATTTCACCCTTATTATGCTGTGTATGAAGAGATAAACATCATGTGTTGGCCAATTTCCGGGTGTTATTGATTATTTGAAGCACGGGAATGAAATATTCCCGTGCTTCAAATACACAATAACACCCGGAAATTGGCAAACGCATGATGTTTATCGACACTGTAAACACAAAAGTAAACCAAAAGGCCCACATAGGTTTTACTGTCGGCACTCCTTGACATCGAGTACGGGTACAGCAGTGAAATGTTCCCATGGTAGCATCTGGAACTGCTCATTTGTAACGTCATTTCGACTTTACGTCACAATATGATTTGAATGACGTCACCACTGTTGACGACGCAACAATACAATGGTGTGTGCGATGTTTGCAGGTAATAATACGTAGCGAATAGTCTTGCAATTTCCGGGAATCGAATACCATTCGATCACGTTTGTCATCCAATCAGATTAAACAACACGGTGACTTTTGGTTTACAATTAATTTTGAAAAGTCACTGGCCAGGAGGGCCAGTTAAGTAAAAATGTTGCTAGCCCACATCATACTTTACTGGCCCTGCAAAATATCAATATGCAGTCAGAATTAGTGTGATGTTTGGTAACTGAAGATGTTAAACGTTACATTTGTATTGTAATTCCTAACCTCTTTTGCGCAACCCCATTAACACTTTCTATATAGAGATCTTCATGTGACAAGAGATAATAAATATCACGAAACATTTGCGGACGGACTTTATCACCTTAATAGTTGACATCATCATATTCATGTGCATGAAACAAAGAACAAATTATCTGAGATTTTCAGCTAGTCAGTCGGGATAGCTTTAACAATTATTATATATTACTGGCCCGATTCACAATCAGCTAGCATTTGGCTAGCTGGCCAGTAGCTATTTCGAACGCTGCTTATATGCCCATCCCAAAGAACATTCGACAGCAATGCATACCAAATACATATTTACTTCGACCTTCAGCACAACTCTTTATTTGCCTTAAAACATAACAGATGTTTAATTTGGATAGTTTGTGGTTATGTGTCATACTTCAAATATGCCTTCAAGAGCAGAAACAGATTGAAATTAAATGTGAATCTTTTGTTAAAATGATCCTATACTGCACCATATGCACATCATGTATATGAGCTTACGGCCTTTCATGCAATAAAAGCTTCTTGGTAAAGAATGAACGTGGTATGTTTCGCAAATTAAGCAATATATTATTTTAACACAAAAACACATCCATAACTTTAATACTTACTTTTTGGAATTTATTTCAGAACGTATACAGAATGTTTCAATTCGGTTTCGTTAACAGTGAAGATGTCACATCTACGAATTGGTTTATTTTCCTCCGTCAAACATTATTCTTCACATGTTATCTGTTGCCTTTTCGTGAAAACCGTGTATCGTGTACAATCTAGCTATATGATTTGCCAGTGAGTGAGTGAGTTTAGTTTTACGCCGCATTCAACAATATTCTGATTTGCCAGTAGCTCCGAGTTCTCACATGGGGTGTTAACATGGCTACAGGCTCCCCTGTTGGCAGCATGTCCAGCTCGTAAAATCTATTGGCAGACCCGGCTTCAAGAGAAAACACGTCTTCCTTCTACAACTAGAATATACAATTTGATCAAGGTTTGGACATGTGTTGTCATCTAAGTAAAAGATAATAATGTTCAGGTTTTTCAAAGTCTTTTCTGTAAATATATCTGATTATCAAGTACATATTCATAACACACATTTTAGCTATTTGGCCATATTTTGAAAAGAGAGCTTGTTTTTGACAGTTCTTCAATATTTAGACAAGTCTGGGTGATTGTATTTGTTGACATCCCTGCCACATGAGGGCTACATGTGACGGGTTTTATTGGCTGGACTATTTGTGAAGTCTTGTATTGAACCGCGATTCTGTCATTCTGGTGAACTTTCGTGAACATCACTCTCCACTGCTCCGTTATGTTTCTCATCACAACCACCAGCATCGTTCATCTCGGTACTCTCCTTGTTCGCCCTCTTCTTCTTCTTCCACAGGTTGACAAGTGATGCCAGGAACATGAAGGTGCAAGCGATGATGCCGACGCTGAGCCACATGGTGGCGATTCCCACAGCTAAAGCCTCCTTGTTGTATAGCTGACAGAACTGAGCCCCCTCCGCCCCTCCCCACAGCTCACAGGCCGAGTCGACCACCACGCCCACTACCAGGGGTGCTGGTATAGTACCTGGAAAATGAATTGATCTGTATTTCGGATCCGAAATACCCTTTTTGATTTTCCAGTTGTATAAATTTCAATCCTAATATATTTCCTGAACCCATTTGTGACCATAAGAGTAGATCACAAGTGACGGCTCAATCTCTGCCTCTCAACACCAACAGAACACTCTCTCTCGCTAATGAGCTTTAAGCACCCAATCAAATTTCTAAATATACAGCCTCGTCTGCACAAACCCTTTATGTATTTAATCCAGTTTGAATGGTGTTGTAAATATTCAATTGGCAGGAAAATATCTTTTTCCAGAATGCTTAGACTTGCGTTGGTAAGCCGCATGCTACAAGACGTTCCGATTGGACCGATGTATCAAGCATAACAGAACAGCTTAATTTAAATGGAGGCATTAATCTTATTTTTTTCTGATAATAAAACTAATTCTCATTATCCAGATGTGATGATGTGGAGGTTAAATATCATAGGCGTCGTCACGCCATCTAGCGACAACCAGGGCAGTTTGATTATCTTAATTCTTAGTTATAACATAAAGAAGTTGGCATTTAGAAGTGAGACACAACAGGCAGAAAACCTTCACCTGAATAACACATCAAGAAATACCTGAATCTCTGTTCAAAGCAGCGTCAAACCAACATCCTTCACCCACATGTACTTACATCATGGCTAGTCCTCACATACAAACGACATCAAACTTACCTATCACCCTAACAAATATCATCTTTATTCCGAGGGCAAAGGGTTGAATATCTGGATCCACGCACCTGTTCAAGATATGTACAAAGTCAAATAATTATCACATCAGATATTGCACTGCAATAAGTAGACATAAAGCCTAAACGACCATTCATTTACCTAGACATTTTGTGGAATTTCTTCACGAGGCCGGTTGTGGAGAAATTCCACAAAATGTCTACATTTTCATTTCATAAGAGGCAAAATAGTCGTAAAACTAAGCTTTACATATGGAAGAATCACAGAAAATCAAACTGGCATTTGGTTCATACTCAAAGACTTTCTTGCCAACAAAATGGAAAGTAATGACGTTGCTTTCAATAAATATAATCTATGGATAAATTGTATATAAGTGACCATTAATGAGTAAGTGAATGTATGCTGATTTATGCTGCAGTCGACGATATCCCAGCTACATGACAAGGCCCCTGAAACCGAGGGTCACATTAACATGAAGTCACAGTGTCCTGCTCTACTACTGGACTACACAGGTATCAAAATGGACAAACGAATTCCTTAAAGGGCCACTGATCCAGAGCGATTATTGTTAACGGAAATTGCTCTGGATCAGTGGCCCTTTAATGCTCTATCTACCAAAGTGTACTGAGGTTAGCCAATGGACCACCAGTCCTCCTTGTTGTACTACTAAACGTAGAGACAGTGGGGAATGGTGCACATGCACGTCCTCAATGCAGTACTTGTACTGATGGCGCAGAAGGGACCACGGGGCCTTAATGCAGTACCTACCTGAGTGTACTGAGAGCATGGACTACTTGTCCCCAGTGATGTGCCCATCTGCCTTTAATGAGGACACAGAATGGTCAGCCAGTTCTGAATGTTGTATCTACCACAGTATGACGAGGACAGGGAATGGACCGCCTCAATGCAATACCTTCCTAAATGTACTGAGGGCAAGGGAGGGACCACTTGTCTCAAAAGCTGTAGATACCCGTCTGTTTTGAGGTCAGGGAATGGGCTACTAGAGCTACGTCCATCAGTTCTCTGTACCTACCACAGAGAATGGTCCACCGATCCTCAACGCAGTACCTTCCAAAGTATAACGAGGGCAGAGAATGGGCTACTAGTCTCCCAAACGGTTCCTACCTTAGTGTACTCAGGGCAGTTAACGTGGCACAGATGAAGATGGCGATGTAGACCAGGAACAAGCAGGGCATGACGAGGTACACTTGCCAGCAGTCGGTGGTACATTTGCCCGCGGTGGCGGTGGCCAGAGCATCTGTCACGGTTGTATTGAGTCCAGCTGCTATACAGCTGCAGTTGGTGTAAGTCTGCAATACAAGGTCGACTCAGTAGCAGCTTCTCCAGGTACCGCAACTCTCTGCACAACTTTCTATTCCAGGAAACTACAGTTAGTGCCAATGTATCTACATAAATTCATATCCTAAGATAGCATTCAGGACGAACATATTTACACACCTTCGAAATTAATTGTTTCAGCTTTTTACATACATGGTTATTCAACCGAATTATGCCATAACATATTTGTTCTTGAAGGCCGTTTTCCATCAGTGATCAAAGTTTCACGGATTGAGGAAGCATATTTATTCGTATGGTCACATATGATGTATTTCAGAGATTCATCGAGTGTCTGAATTGTTTTTACGGCTCTCTGAAGAACAACCTAGATACATTATGCCTGGTCAGCTTGATGGCGAAGTGAAAGTGCCAAAGCCGTCAGATGTTTACCACTGCGGTATGAGTGAGTGAGTGAGTGAGTATGATGCTGACAAACCTAGGATATAGATGTATTATATATTTTTACACAATCAGGTTAAATCTTAATTTTGAAAGCACGACCAGGGTAACCTGAAGAGCGGTCGACCTTACAGGTTCCTATAAAGTTGTTGATTATCTATAGAAATAATTAAGACAGAATTTGGTGTGGTATCACTATTGACAAGGCCATCCCTACCATCACATCTCCATCGCTGCTGCTGTCCAGACAACCTGCGTGGCAGGGGGAGAAGTAGACGAGGCCGTCGCTGCTACAAACAGGACTGAACGCCTGACCTTCACACTGGCACTGACCTTGACAGGACGCGAGGAATCCTGACACATCGCTGGAATGAAAAAGTCACTGCCGGCACCCGTATGTGGAATCCATTTTGATACAACACCGTCAGATACACTGACGGTATCGGATGTCATGAAAATCATCATTTCGTTGAATTGCACGTGAATGATCGACTGACAGGTTTTAAGTGGCATGCCTGTCAGAGACGCACATCAAAATGCCAAGATTACCAGCTGTGGAACGAGAACGAGGCATTTGGATGTTATTCGAACAGCTATTTTCAGAACGTTTGGCTGTACAAGGCAATCCATCATCGCGTCAACCAGACCAGCCAGACAGTGCTAGAATAGGCCAGATCGCATGATGACTATCTCCTGCGCATTCACCATTAGTCTGTCGGACAGACCCTGAAGTAAATATATCCAAGAAAGCCCACGCAAGTCTAGAAAATGTGGCAAGTCTAGATTTCCTCAGCTGAAAATGAAGAAAGTCTCAGGGCCCCTTTTCATTATATATTTTTTTTTACTATGAACTTTTTTTCAGTAAAATATGTTCATTTCAGAGACTAGTTGTTAGTCTAATTCACCATCTACACAACCGGATGCTCACGGTGACGTCAGCAGCAGCAACATCGTGATGAAATGGCTGGGTGCTTACGGGCTTATCGACCATTTCGGGGTGTGTCAGGAATCTTCTACGTTGGGCGAGGAACGTGAGTTGCTGGCAAAGTCGTGGGTACGATATCTGTGGTGTTTAGGCAACACAATTTCTCACGGTCAAAACACTTTTCAAACGTTTTACGTTGTTTTCTTAGAAAATAATCCCAGGCGTGTACTCTCTTTTGTACATGAACATATTTACATCCAGTCGCGACATAGCCTGACTATACTATTGTAACTGGGGTTTTGAATTCACTATGTACTCAAGATTATGTTAGAGGGCCAGTACCTGTCTCCCGGATAGGGCAGATCCAGGCCTGTCATACGGACATCCGGGCAGGCAGCAAACATGGAGAGGCCGCACACCAACACGAACAGGTAAAGGCCGGTGGTCACTCTCTCCATCCCTAGCAAGTCCAGTTTGAAGGTCTTGATCAAATACCCGGCCAATATGTAGCCGCTGGACGCAACTATAGCCTTGGCACCTGGAACATATACTCAAATGTCTGCGTATGCTTTGAACATTGCGCCTGTTTTTCGGCCACCTCACTGTTGCGATCCGTGGCACCCGGATCCAATTATCAACCCTCATTTATCCACAGTATGATACTTTTTACAGGATAAATACCCAGGGCCCATAATTTAACATCGTGCCTGAACTGACGTCGTGTCTCTTAGCACAATATCAAACCCATCAAAATGACCATTCTGTATATGCAATATTTTCATATATTTGCATAAAACATGGCGGATCAGACATGCGAGCTCATGGATTCTTCCAAAATGGACATGAGAAGTAAGAAAGATTTAAGTCATTTTGCTGAACAAGGTTGTTCTTGGATATATTTAATGAAGGGGCCATTCGATATCTTGGCATCTGGGGTCGTTTTTAGACCTTAAGGCACATGAAAGTTTATGTCAAGATAAAATATGTGCCAAGGCACCGCGGTTAATTCCTGCATTAATGTACCATATAACTTTACAGCTCCTTGATCAATTAACCAGAATGCAACGACCCTGCCCTCCTGTGCTTGGACAGCTGTGGTTGTGACTCCAGTTAAACTATACCATACCTATGATGTACCCTGCTGTTTCATAGTCCATGTCGAATTCGTGACTGGTGTACTTGAAGATGAATATTGACATCCCAGCTATGGCCACACCTTCTATAGACGACCCAATACTGATAAACACAAACTCCAAGTCGAATATCTGAAACAGGAGAATATTTATCCCCATAGTGATTGAACTGAAACATATTCAAAGGTGAACGCTTACCACTGTGATTGTGGACCCCCCTTAACGAGCAAAAGAGCAGTTGAATTTAAAGAGTATCGTTGTCAGCGCTGTTATAACGTATAATTCATTTGTAGAGCGCGTAATGTCATTTTCAAAGATGCTCAGTGGCGCTAAGGACAAAACGCTGATATTATTATATTACCCCGGTTAACCCAAGCGCCTCTCACCGGTACCCATTCACTGCTGGGTGAACAGAGGCAATTCTGAACACATTCATCGACTAATATGAGACCACATGTGTAACGTGCGCTTCGTAGTGGGGCAGGACGGAAGTCCTAGAAACTCTCAAGCGTCAAACTGCCAAACACAGTCACCAATCCAAGGACAACCTACGTTGCTTAGCTTCAACTGGTTTGTGACCACACACCACATATCAAACACCACCACCGATGTATAAGAAAGTTAGGAATGATACTTACAAGCTTAAAGAGAGCCTTCAGAAAATCGGTTATCGTTTTCTTGAGGAATTGAAATATGTTTTGAGGAACCTCGTCCACTTTTTTGTGCTTCCAGTTTCTTTGGTTTAGGACTGTCTGAAATGGTGGTCAGTCAGTGAGTTACATACATAGTTACCAATGTTTGTAGGTTTCTTGTTTAACGCTGTAATTATCCTGCAACCAACAAGCCAGTCCATTCAGTTTCCTTGCACAGCCGAAGGTCTATTTGAATCTATTTAACAGTATTTCAGTCTGTATCACGTCATGTGATCTTACAGTCAGGAGCACACTAGTATTGTTACATGGTCCGCATGGTCAGGAGAATTATTGTTTAAACCTTTATGATTCTTAACCAAAGGAATACTAACTAGAATATAACAGACTCTGACTCACTTGGGAACCGTTTAGGATATCCTGAAATGACAAGGGAGAAGACCATAGTGATGATACCACACACGATAAAGCCGAACCACCACGCCCCAATCCAACGCTGGTCTCCAGGTTCGAAAGGCAAACTGTGATGCAAAGACAAGGTATGACTGAAGAGCTGAATTTGGACGGGGAAGTCAGGCACAAACAATCGGCTGTGTGCTACCGTGGCGGGGCTTCCAGTATCTGGATTGCCTGATCCAGATTGGATTAATTACAGATTGCTGTGTATAGTGTTGGTAATAGTGAGTTTTCAGAAAGCAAAGACGTTGTTCAATAACCAATGAGGACCAATACAGGAAATGAATGAACTATTATAAACAAAGTAAAGGCATGCAATACATACAAATATTGAGAAATGTCCACTCGATGTTTTAAAATCAGAGTCTCAGTGACACTTACACGATCCTGCTTTATTAAGAACCAAGTGGGATTGGAAAAATCAAGTAAAGCAAAACATGCTGGACAGAGGACATTCCATCCCAAAGAATACATTTGGGTTCATCCTCATCAGTATGACGAGGATGAAACTGATCATCCTGCAAGAAGCACCTGCTGACGCACCTGTCAGTGTCCACCCTATCAAAGTCCACGTACAGGTAGAGGATCATCCTTCCACCGACTAGAGCGCTCATAGCAGCACCCACTGTAGTCATTGTGTTGATAATTCCTGAAAAATATGTGGCTCACGAATAAGTTAAAATCCATGAAATCAAGCACCCTATCGCCAGCCAAGATGACGATTATATGACTGACTCTGGACGTGTGGGTTCGAATCTGTACTTTACTGAGAAAGCGTAATCCACAATATACTGAACCACATAAGAAATGTCGCGGTTCGTTAAAGCACACACTTTAATATATTCTAATGAACAATCAAAACAGACGATTGAGTTCAAACTTGACAGTTATGGTTAACACATTTTCGGGAATCACATTTAGAGTTCACACAAACAAAATCACCAAAAATGGTACCATTAAGATACCCCAAAGTCAGTATCGTGTGTGGCCTCTATAGGGCATCGATGGAATCGTTGCATCGTCTGTACATGGAATGAATTAGCAGGTCGATGAAGGCCATAGGCACTTTTGTCCATACTCTGCGAAATGACTGATAGAGTCCAGCCGCCGTTGTCGGCCTTGGTTGGAGGCCATTCAGTCTTCTTTGAATCTCGTCCTAAAGATGTTCTATTGGACTTAAATTCGGACTTAGTGCAAGCTATTGTAGGGTTTTGAATGCCTTGTTGTCTTAGGAAGTCCAATGTTGCTCTGGCAGTGTGGGCACGACCGTTGTCTTGCTGGAAGATGTGATTTCTGTAACGTCCAAAATGTGGTACAACGTGGGGTGTTATGACTTAATCAATATAGCGAGCAGCTGTCACGTCATTTCCTCATCCTGGACCAAGATTCTGGAACACCACGGTGTCAACTAACTGGTTCAGACCATTGCACCACACACTATGATGCTTGGACCACCCCATGAGTCTCTTTCAACAATACACTCATTGGAAAACATTTCACCACGCCTTCGCCATACTCTCACTCTGCCATCGACTGTCGAAACACAATATCGGCTTTCATGGGATAACAGCACAGTTCTCCATTGTCGATAACGCCAATTTCGATGCTGAGTTGCCCATTGCAGTGGGTTTGGGCGGTGATGAGCGGTGAGGACAGGACCACGATAGGGTATCCGACAGCAGAGGTTTCTTCCGCGGAAACGTCGACGCACTGTATCGGCACTGATGGGTCTGTTGTTAGTCCCAATAGTCTGGCATGCTGTTTCCGTCGCTCTGGGGAAGCGATCCTGCAGATGGTGGCGCAAAATCTGTCGGTCTTGACGTTGCGATGTTACTGAATGTCGCCCACTGCGTGGACGGTGTTGGAGGCTGTTACTGACCTGATACCACTCCTGCAGTCAGTAGATTGTCCTAACATGAACAACAAGATGATTGCCTACCCTCCGTGCAGTCTTTACAACTTGCAATAGTCCCAAGACTTGGTTCCTCTGATCTCTCGTAAGACGTGGCATGGTGGTTGTGTCAAAACGAAAATGATTTCAGTCGAGTTTGGGACTCGCTTTCATTGGTAGGGTTGTCACGACATGCACGGGCATTTTCATTTTCACGAATGTCATACGGAACCTTTTACCATGTATACTTCTTTCGGTGCGTTTGGTCGATATGCGTTTTGAACAGAAAACACACTGATGTTGGTAATAACTGTCAATTTGGATTGAAAAACATGTTAAGAAAACGGTACAATTATAATAAAACACCACCTTGCAAGAACAAAATTTTGCATTTGGTTTTGAAAAACGACGTTTCTTTTGTGGTTCAGTATATAACACATGTTAAGTTGAAACCGTTAAAAACGATTCTCTCTTAAACGTTTGTGGTTAAACGTAAACGGATGGATTTTCTTGAGGGGTAAACGTCACACATTCATTTTGAGTGTGAGTGTAGTTTGTAAATACAAGCTCCAAAACCCTTTCCAAAGCCATGTGAATATATTGTTTGCTTCCCGTATCATGAGCATGTGTTTATGAGTCACTATAAAATGGGGATGATACAAGGACCTGTCACGAACGCATGTAAACAATACGGGAACAAGTCAAAATTGGTTAATGCCAAAACGAAAGTGAACGAATGAGTGTGAATGAGGATGCTTTTCCCCTCGCGGCAACATTGCGAAGGGGTACACTGTGCATGTGTTGGGTGTTGAGCCGCTGGTAATTCTCACTCGACCCTCTATATCGGTATCATTACAGTAGTGTATTATAATATTACGTCTCCAAAAAGTGAGAACACAGCTTATTAGTGGCATCGTATTTCGCAATACAGAGTTGCGTCCCACAGATGTGCAAGGATCCGCTGATAGTTCTTTGGAATTCTCAGTCCATCATCTAAATTGTTCGTGGTCACTGAAAGCCTGCGTCTCTCTGCTTTCTTCTTAACCATCTAACTAAAATAATACAGTGACTCACCGATAAAAACAGCTGACTTAGCAACCGGTGCATTATTGTCAATGTAGGCGACTCCCAGCGTGTAGAAAGTTGTACTCCCGATACCCGAGAGCACTTGACCCGCCAGCATCATCGGGAAGTAGCTCATGTGACCTTCACCTTGGTCAGCTCCACCCAAGCTGCTGTTCACAGAAGATGACGAGTTGGTAGCGCAGATTGTAGACTGTTCGTGTGATCTGTTCACGGCTAAAAACATTACTTTTAATAACGTCGTTGTACTTTTGTCTCCAACGTAGGACTCCATCGGTTTTAGGACTATATATGGATTTCTAATAAGACTGATATTGCATGGCCTTGACTCAGATTAATCTATTTCGGACATATCAAACTTTGGTTAAAACTCCACGACGGATCCAGGATTTTGGTATCCTATTTTGATATTTAAATTACTTTAGTAGTTGTGTTATACACCCAGTCGCCGTTGTGTCGAGTGAGTGAGTGAGTTAAGTTTTACGCCGCACTCAGCAATATTCCAGCTATATGGCGGCGGTCTGTAAATAATCGAGTCTGGACCAGACAATCCAGTGATCAACAGCATGAGCATAGATCTGCGCAATTAGGAACCGATGACATGTGTCTACCAAGTCAGCGAGCCTGACCACCCGATGCCGTTAGTCGCCTCTTACGACAAGCATAATAGCCTTTTGTGGCAAGCATGGGTTGCTGAAGATCTATTCTACCCGGATCTTCACGGGCCTCGTTGTGTAGAAGTTGAAGGGACCTGCACAAATGGTTCGAGTTATCCGAGGTTCAAAACAACCTTAAATTTAATGTCAGGAACCAAGCTTTTGATTCGAGACAATCGTAAATTCGACACAACCCCGTTTTACTGAATTGATCAAGTGTCATTAATACCTATAGGTACTCACCATGGCCAGAAGCTGTGTATGGCTCCAACAGATAATGAGGAAGCGAATTGAGAGTCAGGCCAACACCAAACAGGAACATGCCCAACGAAAGTCCTTTAGCCTTGTTGAACTTGCTGCCGATGTAGCCGACAAACGCCACACTGCAGGAGTTGCCCAGGTCTGAGGACGTCGCCAGCGTGGCACTGATGGTACTTGGCAGGTGGAACTGCTTCTCAATCTGCTCCAAGGCAGTTCCCACCCAGCCAGATGCAAAACCCATGGTGAAGTATAAGATGATAACACAAGGCATGAAACAACCCAGGCTGTTGAACCACTGCAAGAACCTGAAAACCACAATACAATGACAGACTAAGAGTCTACATTGACCCATATAGAAACGTTCGTAGCGCTACGACATTCGTAAGCCTATGACAAACTATAGGTCATAATGTTACGAATGCTTTGTGGATCGGGACCCTGGACGTTAACGGACACTCCTGCCTCGTTAAGATCATTTTGTGTATACACAGTGACATTCATTAAAATCATTACATACCTCACAGAAGCAAGCTGGTACATTATATCAGGCTGTTTATAAAGGCAAGGTATCAAAATTGGTAAATTCACCTATCGGTTTTAGTCTTTCTGTTCAATGTGAAGAGTCGAGCACAGTTTAAACAATATTTTATACGTTCATAAACGTGCAAGTCATATTCAGTGGAGGGAAAATCTGTTCATTCTGTTCAGTAGGACATGATAGTTTACATCAATTCATTTTGCTAACTAACCAAACGATTTCTTAATGCTTAACAACATTACACGAGTATAAAGACTCCTATCTCGATCACGCATCCAGATCAAGTTGGAATCAGTAACCAGATAGTGGAAAGCAGTTGCAAGATGGTAGTCTAGACACAGACCTAATATGTACCTGAAAGCTCATGCTCTTGTTGAACGGTTTATATAAATAATTACTTATCTATAGATTTGAAAACATGATTACTCAAGGTAGATATGCTCAAGCTTGACTTTTATGACCATGCATTTCTTGAAAATGTAAAATTTTCGAGGGACAAAATAAACATTGACTGTAATAATTCAACTTCCTGAATCAACAAGTCCGTTTGATCAGACGTAAGCTCCTGTACTAACGGTCTCCATATATTACTGGGTTGTTTGCTGATAGCGGGCCTACTCACTTCTACCATCATCCATCACCCCACTGTAGGTACAGTTCTTACCCCCTGAATGATAAACCCATCAAATACCCCTGAAGATTGCCAATCTACACCCAGTTTGTGACCTGATTATAAAGCTGTTCGGTCGTACCAAAAACATGCTGCCGGCTGTAGTGTTCATAACACCATATCCCAGATTAAACATAATCTTCACGTGTGTGAAACCATACCCCGGCTGGTAGGAATGGTTGTTCGACTCGCTAGCCATATCCGAAGGTGTTTTTCACGGTCATCGTCCTAGCTGTTAGCGAGGTTTAATGGACTCTTTACAAGACCTCTATTATCACCTTTCTTCAATCACGGCTATTTACCCTTGGTCCCTGCCTGGCGCTCGGCATTAATGGGTTTAACAAACTGGACTGGTCGGCTCGAGTCCCTATAATGTGTTGAGTTGGGGTATTCGTGCTGCGGCATGGTATCTCAGTGGGCTGTTTACGCTTTATAAAACCAGCTTAAGTCTGGGCTCCCGTCACATAAGCGAAATTTCTCCACGACGTAAAACCCAATACCTGGACTCTTAACAAGACCTCTATCCCTTCACCTTTCTTTAATCACGGCTATTTACCCTGGTCCATCTGTCCCAACCAGTTACCCAACTGTGTAGTCCCTGTTGGTTACCCTGGTCTATCTGACCCAACCAGTTACCCGACTGTGTAGTCCCTGTTGGTTACCATGGTTTAACTGTTGCCCAACTAGTTACCCGACTGTGGTAGTCCCTGTTGGTTACCATGGTTTAACTGTGCCCAACTAGTTACCCGACTGTGTAGTCCCTGTTGGTTACCATGGTTTAACTGTGCCCAACTAGTTACCCGACTGTGTAGTCCCTGTTGGTTACCTTGGTTTAACTGTGCCCAACTAGTTACCCGACTGTGTAGTCCCTGTTGGTTATGGTTTAACTGTGCCCAACTAGTTACCTTGATGGTTTAACTGTGCCCAACTAGTTACCCTGCTGTGTAGTCCCTGTTGGTTACCATGGTTTAACTGTGCCCAACTAGTTACCCGACTGTGTAGTCCCTGTTGGTTACCATGGTTTAACTGTGCCCAACTAGTTACCCTACTGTGTAGTCCCTGTTGGTTACCATGGTTTAACTGTGCCCAACTAGTTACCCGACTGTGTAGTCCCTGTTGGTTACCTTGGTTTAACTGTGCCCAACTAGTTACCCGACTGTGTAGTCCCTGTTGGTTACCATGGTTTAACTGTGCCCAACTAGTTACCCTACTGTGTAGTCCCTGTTGGTTACCATGGTTTAACTGTGCCCAACTAGTTACCCTGACTGTGTAGTCCCTGTTGGTTACCATGGTTTAACTGTGCCCAACTAGTTACCCGACTGTGTAGTCCCTGTTGGTTACCATGGTTTAACTGTGCCCAACTAGTTACCCGACTGTGTAGTCCCTGTTGGTTACCATGGTTTAACTGTGCCCAACTAGTTACTATGTTTAACCCTTACCCTACTGTGTAGTCCCTGTTGGTTACCATGGTTTAACTGTGCCCAACTAGTTACCCGACTGTGTAGTCCCTGTTGGTTACCATGGTTTAACTGTGCCCAACTAGTTACCCTACTGTGTAGTCCCTGTTGGTTACCATGGTTTAACTGTGCCCAACTAGTTACCCTACTGTGTAGTCCCTGTTGGTTACCATGGTTTAACTGTGCCCAACTAGTTACCCGACTGTGTAGTCCCTGTTGGTTACCATGGTTTAACTGTGCCCAACTAGTTACCCTACTGTGTAGTCCCTGTTGGTTACCATGGTTTAACTGTGCCCAACTAGTTACCCGACTGTGTAGTCCCTGTTGGTTACCATGGTTTAACTGTGCCCAACTAGTTACCCGACTGTGTAGTCCCTGTTGGTTACCATGGTTTAACTGTGCCCAACTAGTTACCCGACTGTGTAGTCCCTGTTGGTTACCATGGTTTAACTGTGCCCAACTAGTTACCCGACTGTGTAGTCCCTGTTGGTTACCATGGTTTAACTGTGCCCAACTAGTTACCCGACTGTGTAGTCCCTGTTGGTTACCATGGTTTAACTGTGCCCAACTAGTTACCTGACTGTGTAGTCCCTGTTGGTTACCATGGTTTAACTGTGCCCAACTAGTTACCCGACTGTGTAGTCCCTGTTGGTTACCATGGTTTAACTGTGCCCAACTAGTTACCCGACTGTGTAGTCCCTGTTGGTTACCATGGTTTAACTGTGCCCAACTAGTTACCCGACTGTGTAGTCCCTGTTGGTTACCATGGTTTAACTGTGCCCAACTAGTTACCCGACTGTGTAGTCCCTGTTGGTTACCATGGTTTAACTGTGCCCAACTAGTTACCCGACTGTGTAGTCCCTGTTGGTTACCATTGGTTTTAACTGTGCCCAACTAGTTACCCGACTGTGTAGTCCCTGTTGGTTACCATGGTTTAACTGTGCCCAACTAGTTACCCGACTGTGTAGTCCCTGTTGGTTACCTTGGTTTAACTGTGCCCAACTAGTTACCCGACTGTGTAGTCCCTGTTGGTTACCTTGGTTTAACTGTGCCCAACTAGTTACCCGACTGTGTAGTCCCTGTTGGTTACCTTGGTTTAACCTAGTGGTTTTAACCCCTGTTGGTTACCTTGGTTTAACCCCAACTGTGTACCCGACTGTGTAGCCCCTGTTGGTTACCTTGGTTTAACTGTGCCCAACTAGTTACCCGACTGTGTAGTCCCTGTTGGTTACCTTGGTTTAACTGTGCCCAACTAGTTACCCGACTGTGTAGTCCCTGTTGGTTACCTTGGTTTAACTGTGCCCAACTAGTTACCCGACTGTGTAGTCCCTGTTGGTTACCTTGGTTTAACTGTGCCCAACTAGTTACCCGACTGTGTAGTCCCTGTTGGTTACCTTGGTTTAACTGTGCCCAACTAGTTACCCGACTGTGTAGTCCCTGTTGGTTACCTTGGTTTAACAGGGCCCAACTAGTTTACCCGACTGTGTAGTCCCTGTTGGTTACCTTGGTTTAACTGTGCCCAACTAGTTACCCGACTGTGTAGTCCCTGTTGGTTACCTTGGTTTAACTGTGCCCAACAAGTTACCCGACTGTGTAGCCCTGTTGGTTACCTTGGTTTAACAGGGCCCAACTAGTTACCCGACTGTGTAGCCCCTGTTGGTTACCTTGGTTTAACAGGGCCCAACTAGTTACCCGACTGTGTAGTCCCTGTTGGTTACCTTGGTTTAACAGGGCCCAACTAGTGTGTAGCCCCCTGTTGGTTACCTTGGTTTAACTGTGCCCAACTAGTTACCCGACTGTGTAGCCCCTGTTGGTTACCTTGGTTTAACTGTGCCCAACTAGTTACCCGACTGTGTAGTCCCTGTTGGTTACCTTGGTTTAACTGTGCCCAACTAGTTACCCGACTGTGTAGCCCTGTTGGTTACCTTGGTTTAACAGGGCCCCAGCCATACCATAGCTCCCGACTTTCACCGTCTTTGTCTTCTTTATCAGTTCTCTGAAATAAAGGGATTTTGTTCTGCATCCTGAATTAAAGCATTATAATAAACAGTCTTTTTATGAGTATATATCCCAAGAATATATACCTTTACACTTGAAACAATCGATGTAGGGTACACATTTGATGTCCTTATCACTGGAGTTATGAGGCTAGACGTATATATGTTATTTAACAACATGCTGCTGAGTATGGTATTTAATGTTTTGAATTCTTGTTACCCGTTTCTGTGATGTCTATCCGTCCTCCTGCTTGTACTATAGAATGAGAAACCGGTTTTATAGTGCTAACCCACTGAGAAACCATGCCGCAGTGAAGCTCTCTCCCTCTACTCTCACTCAGACACTCTCTCTCTCTGACTCCGAGCCGACCAGTCCTTGGTGTACCCATTAATGCCGAGCGCCACTCAGCTTTGACTTGAACGACACCGATGTTCTATATTAGATTGCATATATTATATACTGAACAGAAATTAATCATAGCATCAGTATTTACAATGGAACCACCAAAGACGTTGTCATTACTTTAGACTTACCATTCTGTAGCATGAAATGAGACAAGGGCCTCAAGAAGTCGGTCAGTTTCTACACGCCTTGACCCTAGCTCCGTGGCCTCAGCACTGTGTCACCCATCCAGGCCAGACCATAGAAGTGCCTGCAGCAGCTACGCATTTAGTAAACAGAGCACCACAAGACGGGGAGACAATAAGGCTTGTTAAAGTTAAAGTTCTGTTTTACATTACGGATCTGCCGCAAAATGTCGCTGCCTCCAGTATCGTTTTCATTTCTCTACTCTTTGGAAACCCACTTTTTAAAACTCAAATTACATTTGGGCTCCGGATTCCATTGTTCCATTGTTCCACATACGTCACTCAGATTTGTAGAAAATTCTTTACATGGTCAGTTTGGCTTTGAACCCGTCCGATCATACTTAAACCCGAAAGTTGTGTGGTTAAGTGCATGAGCTAGATCAGAATCAATTATATTTTATAAATATATATGAAAATCTAGCTCATACAGTTTCCAAGAAAGGTATGAAAAACAATACTATTTTTATCAGGTCCTTGATAGCCCAGGGACTGACTGCTGGGTCTGTACCCAGTGCCTACCTGTTCTAAGATGTCCGTAGCCTAGATACTACGGCATTGTGTCCCTGATGGCAACTCTGTATAGGTAATACAGCTGCTTTATAGATACTGGTACACTATCAGCGCTTTGTGGTTTAACACCTCAGTCTGTAGCTATTCTGATATTGATCACGTCTCGAGCTGACAAACGAGTGGATGATGAAATGAGCAACGTCCAATGCCTGCCGTCATCGATTGCTGGGTGCCCTTCTCCAACATATATTTCAACTTGTGGACCTGGTCTGCTTGATAATGAAAATGCAAAAAACAGCGAATGTGTGATATACCCTTGAAGATCCGGGTTGGAATGCTTGTCGTAAGAGGCGACTAACGGGATCGGGTTGTCAGGCTCGCTGATTTCTTGACACATGTCAGCGTATCCAAATTGAGTAGATCGATGCTCATGCTGTTGATCACTGGATTGTCTGGTCCAGACTCGATCATCTACCACCGCCATATAGCTGAAATAGTGCTGAGTACGGCGTAAAATTAAACTCACTCACTTATAAAGTGTGAGCAGGTGTCTAGATGGGTGTCCCTAAACACCCACTGTTAGAGCTGAAGGGTGTTTATTGCCTGGTCAGTCTCAGTTACAAACCGTGTTATGAAATCACTAAAGCAGATAGTTTTTGTATCATTATCATTGATTAAACACACACACACACACACGCACGCATGCATGCACGCACACACACACACACGCACTCAAACCGAAACATGAGTCTCATTAACCAATTCAGACAATGTCCTACTTTTCAGCCGATCCGAACTATGGTTAAACGAAAGTTCAATTCCTTGTTTCAAAAGAAAATGGTATTTACAAATGAATTTTAATTTTAAACTTCAAAATATCGTATTTCTATATTTTATGGCAAGGTTTCGGCAGCATGACGTTAACTAAGACGTCACAGACTGCCCCTGTTTGATGAGGTCGTAAAATTATTCACAATTCATCTGGCTCACTGGTTACACCTGTTATGTGTTCTTTGCGCTTATCAAGTGTATTTTCGTAACGTACAATATGATTCACATAGTATCAAGGCCGTAAAGGACCGCCTAAAGTATTATCAAATAATACTGATTAATAATTATATATCAATTTGAATGAGTTGGTCTCAAAATTCTAGACTGGTTATTGTACTAAGTTGCGCAATAGGATGGAACCCAGTCAGCAGGAAACGCGACTACTGAGAATCAATGTTTTGACTTGACTCCCCCACCTCGCTCACTTGTCCCAAAAGTCATCAAAACACTATGTACCCTTGATCAAACTGGTCACCCTCTGAGTAACCATTTCATGTTTGTTTCATGTATTATCCACCGTTAAAACAGTTCGTCCAAATGCATATCTTGCAAACTTGGCACAAACTTAAGCATAGGAAAGCACTTAGCGTGCATATTTCTTTCTGACCGCATTTGAGGATTTGCATTGTAAGTAAATTAAGGCATCTATAAATGGAGGATGATAGATAAAATGGCGGACAAAACATTCTATTTCTGTATAGTTCTTCATAACCATGATATGGAATGGAGAATTACAAAAGTTCAATGTGGAGCACAACTTTCAGTTAACCTTGAAAAATCCGTGACATTTCGATATCCCATGTGACCAAATAGTGGACGCCTTATTTGGTGACACTGTCTATGTTTCTAGGCAACCAGCTACCCACAACACAAACACACACTGTCTTCACGACATCCAGGTCCTGGGTTATCATCCTTGTAAACAATCACGTGCCGCCCCTCTTTCTGACCTACTGGTGCTTCTGTTTAAGATTTATTGTTGTCCGCTGTCATCCTCGTCACTGAGTTCACTATTCGGAGGGTACGATATTTTTTTAATGAAACTCTGTGAATAAAGCTTTAACGGACGGCCAGAGAAGAAATTCTGTCTTCTGTTTCCATAGTGCAAATGGTAAGTCTTGACAATTTAACTTTCTCAGAGATGAACTATGAAGTTTTAATTCAATGCTACTTCTGTAATTAGGGTCCAAACTTTTCATTTTATTTTGTGAATGAAGGAGCAGAGATATTTCACTGTTTGTGTTTTACAACGATCACACATTTGGGCGCAAAACGTGAGAAGTGTATAGTAATAGTGCGCACTAAAACATCCGTCCCTACGTCAGCACTTTATAGTCGGTCCCTTGGTCAGCACTTTAATGTCGGTCCCTACGTCAGCACTTTATAGTCCACCCCTTGGTCAGCACTTTATAGTCAGTCCCTTGCTCAGCACTTTATAGTCTGTCTCTTGCTCAGCACTTTATGGGCGGTCCGTACGTCAGCACTTTATAGTTGTTTCCTTCGTCAGCACTTTATGGGCGGTCCGTACGTCAGCACTTTATAGTCGGTCCCTTGGTCAGCACTTTATAGTCGGTCCCTTGGTCAGCACTTTATAGTCGGTCCCTTGGTCAGCACTTTATGGGCGGTCCGTACGTCAGCACTTTATAGTCGGTCCCTTGATCAGCACTTTATAGTCGGTCCCTTGATCAGCACTTTATAGTCGGTCCCTTGGTCAGCACTTTATAGTCGGTCCCTTGATCAGCACTTTATAGTCGGTCCCACCGTCAGCACTTTATAGTCCGTCCGTACGTCAGCACTTTATAGTCGTTCCCACCGTCAGCACTTTATAGTCGGTCCCTTGGTCAGCACTTTATAGTCGGGCCCTTGATCAGCACTTTATAGTCGGTCCCTTGGTCAGCACTTTATAGTCGGTCTCTTGGTCAGCACTTTATAGTCGGTCCGTACGTCAGCACTTTATAGTCGGTCCCTTGGTCAGCACTTTATAGTCGGTCCCTTGGTCAGCACTTTATAGTCGGTCCCTTGATCAGCACTTTATAGTCGTTCCCTTGGTCAGCACTTTATAGTCGGTCCCTTGATCAGCACTTTGTAGTCGGTCCCTTGATCAGCACTTTATAGTCGGTCCCTTGATCAGCACTGTATAGTCGGTCCCTTGGTCAGCACTTTATAGTCGGTTCCTTGATCAGCACTTTATAGTCGGTTCGTACGTCAGCACTTTATAGTCGGTCCCACCGTCAGCACTTTATAGTCGGTCCCTTGGTCAGCACTTTATAGTCGGTCCCTTGGTCAGCACTTTATAGTCCACCCTTGGTCAGCACTTTATAGTCGGTCCCTTGATCAGCACTTTATAGTCGGTCCCTTGGTCAGCACTTTATAGTCGGTCCCTACGTCAGCACTTTATAGTCGGTCCGTACGTCAGCACTTTATAGTCGGTCCCTTGATCAGCACTTTATAGTCGTTCCCTTGGTCAGCACTTTATAGTCGGTCCCTTGATCAGCACTTTATAGTCGGTCCCTTGATCAGCACTTTATAGTCGGTCCCTTGATCAGCACTTTATAGTCTGTCTCTTGGTCAGCACTTTATAGTCGGTTCCTTGATCAGCACTTTATAGTTGGTCCCTTGATCAGCACTTTATAGTCGGTCCGTACGTCAGCACTTTATAGTCGTTCCCACCGTCAGCACTTTATAGTCGGTCACTTGGTCAGCACTTTATAGTCGTTCCCTTGGTCAGCACTTTATAGTCGATCCCTTGGTCAGCACTTTATAGTCGGTCCCTTGATCAGCACTTTATAGTCGGTCCCTTGATCAGCACTTTATAGTCATTCCCTTGATCAGCACTTTATAGTCGTTTCCTACGTCAGCACCTTATACTCGGTCCCTTGGTCAGCACTTTATAGTCGGTCCCTTGGTCAGCACTTTATAGTCCGTCCCTTGGTCAGCACTTTATAGTCCGTCCCTTGATCAGCACTTGATAGTCATTCCCTTGATCAGCACTTTATAGTCGTTTCCTACGTCAGCACCTCATACTCGGTCCCTTGGTCAGCACTTTATAGTCCGTCCCTTGATCAGCACTTTATAGTCATTCCCTTGATCAGCACTTTATAGTCGTTTCCTACGTCAGCACCTCATACTCGGTCCCTTGGTCAGCACTTTATAGTCGGTCCCTACGTCAGCACTTTATAGTCGCTCCCTTCGTCAGCACTTTATAGTCATTCCCTTGGTCAGCACTTTATAGTCAGTCCCTTGGTCAGCACTTTATAGTCGGTCCCTTTGATCAGCACTTTATAGTCATTCCCTTGGTCAGCACTTTATAGTCAGTCCCTTGGTCAGCACTTTATAGTCGGTCTCTTGGTCAGCACTTTATAGTCCGTCCCTTGGTCAGCACTTTATAGTCATTCCCTTGGTCAGCACTTTATAGTCGGTCCCTTGATCAGCACTTTATAGTCATTCCCTTGGTCAGCACTTTATAGTCGGTCCCTTGGTCAGCACTTTATAGTCGGTCTCTTGGTCAGCACTTTATAGTCGGTCCCTTGGTCAGCACTTTATAGTCATTCCCTTGGTCAGCACTTTATAGTCGGTCCCTTGGTCAGCACTTTATAGTCGGTCCCTTGGTCAGCACTTTATAGTCGGTCCCTTGGTCAGCACTTTATAGTCATTCCCTTGGTCAGCACTTTATAGTCGGTCATCAGTGTGACTGGCCACCATGTTGTTGGTGTCGTGTTTGTATATAATATAAAGCAAGAGACCAAAACGAAAAGTCACTGATATCCGTAAGTTCGTTAGAGGCATGTTCGTTATAAACCTAGTATATATTGTACCTAATTGTATGTAGAATCAATGGGTTGTTTTCCATATTTTGGTACTAATTGTTTGGTCTGTGTACAGGGTGATGACAAGGAATGCAAGAAGGAAGAAGACCGAGTGACGCATTACGGCTGGGGGCCCTTTAAACCCAGGTAACATGTACGGGTACAACTTACGATATAGATCAGAATCTAGCATATAAAACACCGAGATAACAAACACACCCTGGTGTGTGCTTAAATATACATGTACAAAGATCTGGGCCCATGAGAGAGACATTTATGAGTATTTTTATTTATATCTGTTTTTCTGTGATACTGAAGGAAAAGAGCAGCTCCCTCGGAACAGTGCAAACATACATCAGTGGATTACGTCATTTTCAAATTAGTTGCAACAAATGTTCAAATGACATCATGTTCCTTAGGGATTCCCTGCAAACAATAAAAAAATGGAACAATACATTTAAGTCTATATGTAGTAAAAATACCTTTCCGAGAGAATAACAGAAAATGATGTGATCTACACCCGTGTCCCTATTGTGACTGCTGCTCAACAACCTGTCACGTATATCCCAGCTGAGGGAGCCAATGAAGGTTCGGGTTAAAATTGGTCTTCAGTAACCCATGCTTGTGGGCGACTAACGGGATCGGGTGGTCATGCTCGCTGACTTGATTGACACTTGATTGTATCCCAATTCAGTAGATTGATGCTTGTGACGTCAATCACTGGATTGTCTGGTCCAAACTCGATTATTGCTTGATTATTCCCATGTACAGTACGTTGGTGTATTTTATTCCAGGTTCCTGCAATGGTTCAACACCATGGGGAGTTTCATGTTCTGTATTATCCTCGTGTATGTGGCCATGGGGTTTGCATCAGGTTGGGGAGGAACATCCCTGGAACAGATAGAGAAACAGTTCCACTTGCGGAGCACCGTCATCGCCACGCTAGGCACAGCCAACAGCCTCAGCAGCACCTGCGCCATAGCCTTCGTCAGCTACATCGGCAGCAAGTACAACAAGGTCAAGGCGTTAGCCTTCTCCACGTTTCTGTACGGGGTTGGTCTGGCCCTGAATTCTCTGCCACATTATCTGCTGGAGCCCTACAAGGCCTCCAGTCAAGGTGAGTGTACGACCCTCCTTGGGTGAGCTGAGAGTATTTCATTTACATTATGTGCATCTGTGACATTTAAAGAAGTAAGTGATGTGTGTGAATTAAATGTACCTCTTTTGGTACGCAGTATAATTTAGAGATTTTATCACCTTGTCATGATTTGAACCCTCTGGCTGAGTTTTGACACACGGTGAGTGCACAGCGAAAAGGGAGAGACACTGACTTGAAAATGGAAATCCCAGGTGTGTTTAAGGGAGTGAAGAAGTACACCTGTTTGACTTTAGGAGGCAATCCTGTGTGCCGTTGTACAAAACAACTTTAGCGCTAAGACTGACGTAAGTCTTTGTTAAGGTATGGTTGTTTTGAACAACGGCACCCTGTACAACAGGGTTCTCTCTCGATGTCCTGCACTCAATGGCGGTGGGGTAGCCCAGTGCTTCAAGCGCTTGTTCAATACGCCGAAGCCCCGGGTTCGATTCCCCAATAGAAGTACAGTGCCCATTACAGAGCCCATTTCTAGTGATATTGATGGAATATTGCTAAAAGCGGCGTGAGACCATAATATTCATTCACTCCTGCACTCAATGAATGTCTTACATGGATATAGTGTGGCACAGCGATTAAAGGCTCGCTCGTCCAATCCTAGTGTCCTCCCGCTATAATCACTTACCCTGAATAGAGTGTACCCTCGTCTCATCGGATTCTGATGATAGCACGTGTCTATTTCAAACGAGGTCTTATTTAGCATTTCTATTGACGTAATAGAAATAGGTTTGTTATTATTTAGGAAGCCCGTGAAGATCCCTAATGGGATTTATGCTATTACCTATATCTGCAGGACTTTCTATCCACTAGCAAATGTCTTTGTTGTCTTCAGTAATGAACAGAACGGAAGGGGCATCCATCTGCCCGACCAACGTTTCCTCTGCCTCTAATCACAGCTCCGTTCAAGCAGCACAAGGTGAAGGTCACATGGCCTATTTTCCCATCCTGCTTGTGGGTCACATACTGACGGGTATCGGCAGTTCGCCTATCTTCACGCTGGGGTTCGCCTATATTGACAATAATGCATCTGTTGCCATGGCAGCAATTCTTATAGGTGAGTTTGGCCTACACTTAAAACACCAAACGTTTGTAACAGGTCACATGGACTTGGGGATCTAAGAAGGGGATCTTATCAGAACAGAACCCTTGTGCCAAATGTTTGCATAAGAACGCAATGAACGAACAACTGGGTGGTAGGGCTCTACTGATCGTGTCACTCCTTGGCTTTTCTGACACACAGTTGATCAGCAGCAGCGTGTCATGAGATCGCGGTAGCATCTTTGTCCCTCAGCATTCTGGGCCTAGATTTTCGAAGCTCTCTTAGCGCTAACATAGTCGTAAGTGCCATACATTAACATTAACTTACGACTATCTTAGCGCTAAGAGAGCTTCGAAAATCTAGGCCCAGGATCATTATACAGTTAACTAGGTTATAACGAACATCTTAATACAATACAGCAGATGACATCCATAAAGTAGCCTACCTTTCTTATAATGAACTCGCTTATGACGAGTTGGCGAAATAACAAACTGGCCTTTTTCCGGCATGTGATGTATATTTAGGCGAAATACATAATATCGAAATATTATAACGAACTAAAAGCTGTGGTCCCTTCGTGTAACCGTAGTTTACTGTGCTTGGTCGACCAAATGAAACTTGTTAGGACTCGCCAGGTCTCTTAGATCTGTTCGTTAACACCAGGTACCACCACTATTTCAGAAATTCATATTCACATGCTCGTTATAATGTCGGAATCGTAGAGTAGTCCCTACTGTTAAGCAGAGATTTCATAGAATTTGGGATATGGGTTTGTCACTTTTATTGACACATCTACTGTTAATTATAAGGGTCTGACAATTAATATTTTCCTGTTTTGGTGGGGTCTTCAAATTGTATTTTGATAATACTTGTTTGCTTTTCATACTTGAAATATGTTTTTTTAAATCCGGCTACATCTTTCATATCATTAAACAGTGGACCCTTATTGGTGGATATGTGTTTGTGCTTTGGAAACTGTTTCCTTTTGTAGGAGCATTGAACACCGTGGGAGTCGTTGGTGCAGCGTTGAGCGCCCTGGTTGGTGGGAGCATCATCGAGTACCTGTATGTGGACTTTGACAGAGTGGATACAGACAGGTCGGTGTAGTTCATCATCTGGTTACAGAAAGCTAACATGATGCCACAGGTTACCATATCTACATATGTCTTGATTGCATATTAGATTGTGTAGCCAGAAAAATGTATCAAATTTATGAAATCAAAAACATACGAAGCTAATAATCTGTTTATGATAATAACTTGAAAATATTCAAAGTTTAACCCATACTGCTATTCACTATAGTAATTTAGTAATTGCGTAGGAATATGTAAAGTGAGTGAACCGCCCTATATAGAGGTGTTCAATGACTTGCAACTATGTAAATTTGCATAAACGTTTAAGACAGGAAAATACTTTCAAATAATTTAGGTGACTTTGTACAGTTGTATCTGAGCAACTAAAGACCCACATCGACGTACAGAGCTTACTGAAGTAGTTCCGGCATATTCATCGGACCAGAGGCTCCTTTCACGAAGTAACCTTTACTAAGGTTATAGTACGTTTGGCTATCTAATTGCAATCTAACTCGAAAACTACTAAACATATCCTCAGCAGCAAAAAAACGTCAGTACGAATTCAAAATTAGATAGGCACTGTAATCAAATCATTACAGAAATGAACATAATAAGCGGATCAAAAACATTTTTGTGTACATCTTGACACATCAATGAATAACTCAGCACAATTTCAAGACATTACGTGAACGTTTGCAGTCCATTCAGACTCTTGACTTCAGTATCTAGTGTGACCACCACGAGTGGCAATAACTGCAGCACAGCGTCTATGCATGGAGTGCACCAATCAATTGATAAAGGTCATTGGCACCTGGCACCGTATTGCTGTAGGAAGTCCCGTGTAGCTCTGGCAGTATGGGCCCGGGGGGTTATCATGCTGGAAAATGTTGTTCCGGTGACTGGCGAAATGTGGTATGACGTTGGGTCTGAGAGCTTGTGATGCCGCCTCCTCTCCCTGGACCAAGGTTCTGGAACACCACAGGGCCCACTCTCTTGTTCAGGCCTATTCCACCCCATACCATGATGCTTGCACCTCCCCATGAGTCTCTTTCCATAACACATTGGCCTGAGTAACGCTGGCCACGACGTCGCCATATTCTTGTTCTGCCATCTGTGAACAGAACAGTTCTCCATTGCCTGTATCGCCAGTTTTGGTGTTGTAGGGCAAACTGTAGACGTTCACGCCGATGACGAGGGGCGAGGATAGGTCCACGGTAAGGTCTACGGCAATGGAGGTTCCCGCTGTTAAGACGTCGGCGTAGTGTATCAGTACTGATTGGTCTTCCATGTGTTCCCACTGTCTGGCGTGCTGTTTCGGATGCTTGCATGAAGGGATTCTGTACATGCTGTCGCACAACATGGCGGTCTTGTCGTCTTGTGGTCACCCTTGGTCTGCCAGTACAGGGGCGATCATTTGTGGTGTTGGTGGCCAGGAAACGTTGCTGCAGCCTGTAGATGGTCCGAACGTTGACCTGGAAGTGATTGGCAACGGCTTGTGCAGTGTGGCCAGCTTCAAGTCTCCCTAGCGCCTGGTTCCTCTGAGCCGTCGTGAGTCGCGGCATCCGGCTGACGTTGTAATGTGAATGTTTCAACCAGGTTTGGGGGTGCATTTTAAAGGGCTGGTCCTTGTGAACAGCACGTGCAGCATGAGTTGCATGAAAAACATGGAGAACATCGTACCATCTCCGAGGTCAGGTTGCGTTTTTGATACCATTTCCTGGGTTCCATTCTGAGTTTGGGAAGGAATGTGTTTGCTCAGGTAAAGTTGGAGATGTTGTCAAAAATATACAATGAAAACATTAAATGAGTTTACAGTTATCCGTTTCTGCGAAGGGAAATTCCAAACTGACGTTTCTTTTGCTACTTAGTATATAATGCTCAATGAAACACTGATCATAATCAAAACATCAGACCAACATCTGTGATATTTTTTTTGCAGAATTTATGTCCTAAATATAAAAATGTTGTTTAACAAACTATCATTAAAATTTTGACACAGTTCACTAATTGTTACGAGGGAGGACTGCAAAGAGACGAACAGCCAGGTGTACGCCGAGCACAAAGTTATTGAATCATTTACCTGTGCTGTGCTAAATCCATCCTTTCTCGCACACCCGACTCTCTTTGTACCCTTCTTTCGTAACAAATAGTGAACTGTGTCAAAAAATTAATGATAGTTTGTTAAACAACATTTTCATATTTAGGACATAAATTCTACAAAAAAATATCACAGATGTTGGTCTGATGTTTTGATTATGATCAGTGTTTCATTGAGTATTATTATGTTTAGTAGTTTTCGAGTTAGATTGCAATTCATCGGTCCGATTTTGAGCCAAACGGACTATAACCTTAACTCCCATTCTTTAACATTGCACTAAGGATACCTTAATGACTTACGATCACCTTATAGTGCTTTGTGAAAGGGGGCCCAGGATACAAAGTCTCTTGGGTGGGTAAAGTGCATCGATGTCACTAACAGTGACTGAAATAGACCGATCCAGTCCGGGCCGATAAGCCCCGCCCACTTCGTTTTTGACGTTAGGGGGGACAACCACTGACAAATCACAATGGCGTCACCGCCGGCTAAACGTTAGTGATTGCGAGCGTTGTTGATGAATTCTGCTTGTGATACTTTGGTGTCCGTCGTTTGTGAATGTTATTTAAAGAGGCAAGTTATACGTATGTGATTTTTAATGTATTTTAGCTGGCAGATTGCAAATGGCGAGTGAAAATGAGTTACATGCCCGATGAACAATCGCCTCGACTAGCTGCTGAGACTGTAGGAAGCGTAATTTCTTTCGAATCAATTAATCTATCTGGCAATTCACCTTCGTCACAGATATTAGCAGGAGAAAGGTAACTGAATTTTGTTGTTTGGGTTTATAATTTTATAAAACTCGGGAACACAACCACATGTTCATGTTGCAGATCGTTTCGGTATCTATAAATAGATTATCAACACTGCGCGGGGCGCCTTTACTTATCCGTTGGCGTTGTTCAAATTTAGTTCAATAATCTGAAAACATGGGTTTCTATCTTTTAATGAATGAAGAGAATGGTAAATAAAAAGCAAAAAATATTTCCCGTCTACTACTTCATGCATCTTATTTGTCTGTATATTATTAATGTAAACAAATCAATCACATCATAACCTATTTGATCTTTTTTGGAAATCTGGAAAAGATAATTGGGCTTGTAAACAGTATGTTTCCATGGACGTGTCTGGACATACCCAGAAGTAAATATTCAACAGCTGATCTGCAGCAACTCTCAGTAAAGTTTCTCTCTTCAAAATCTTTACACCATGATAAAATGACACTGAATATAAGGAAATCATATTTGTAATCATCATTTCCATTTTATTTTTCTATATGTACTTTGTTGTGGAATCCTAATTTACATACAAACTTCCACAATACTAGACTTCATGAACTGCCATCGTTTATGTACAGGTATGTCACAGCACCAGAACACAAAGAAGATCCAAGATACAGTCTGCACCTGTACACTAGCTAAGCCATCTTCCAGAAATAGGAAACATGTGATGCAAAATCTTGGAACAGAGGATCGATCCATAGTTATCCGAACAATTAACTAGCATTGAAATAGAATGTTACACAAATGTAGATCTATTGTTTCTTCATCAGAGATGTTTAACTGCTAACTACCAGTGTAAATAAGGTGCAAAGAAACTATCCTATGTTCAAAGCTTTTTGTCAATACAATTACATATTGACATTATTGCTTCTTAAACAATGATAATCTTTGTTTCATTAGATCTGAGACCATATCCCTAGACATAACACTGATTTTGATCTATTTCCTTTTCTGAGATACTTACTGGTGCCATAAAAATTATAGTAAAGTTGATTCAAAATTTGGTAAAAGTCATAACAAAGGTTTAGGAAAACAGACATGAAAATGTCCTGAAGCCTTCACCTCCTACAAACCAGTGTGCAATTTAATATGAAGCTCATCTTCCAAATAACCATCAACAAACCTTGAACAATTTGTCCAAATCCATCATCTTAATAAACACTAACTTTTGCTAAGAATCAAATATTAGTAACCTCCTAAAACACTGATGATTTATCAGAAGAATTACATCAAATATGGGTTAAATATATGTTTCAATATTTATTCCCTTACATGAAAAGTCAACTGAGACTTTTGTAAGTTATTCTGTACCAGGACTGGATAATGCCTGACCAGGATGTGACCAAAACGTAGCCTTTTCTTTTTCAAATTCTCTGGATGTTGAAAAAACTTTAATGAGTTATGATACTAGCAATCACTTTCAGAATTATCTTCTTAGGTAAATGTAGTATTTAAAAAACCCATCTAAAAGCAGGAGCCAAGAAACTAAATTAATACCAAGTGATTGTCCTGCCATGATATGTATGGTGTTTGTTTGCCTAGTTCTGTCTTAAAATCATAAGAATATGTCAATCAATTAAATAATTATTTATTATTGATTAGATTTTTATTAATTTTATTACCCTTCCACGTTTACTAAAAAAAGCAAGATGTTAAAACATACCTTGCTATCACTTCCAGTGAATTTATCAAAATTACAGTTGTAATATTACTCCTAAAATGTACCAATATATGTGAATAATTTATGTGGTAACAAAACTTCAAATAATGTTCTCATATTTAAGATATACACTTTTTTTCACTCCGTCCAATACTCCAGAAAGTCACTGTTCTTCTCACATAGTTTTCGTATTCGATCAACCTGGAGGAAGGTTATTCAGTTCAAAGTCCCATGCAACTCTTTATAAAAAAATCTGAAATATTTAAAGCATGGTTTTATAGGCACTCATATGAATTAATTTTGATACTTGGATATGGCATGATAGGCAACTGCTGACACTGACAATATTTCCGTTTGAATATAAAATATTACTCCTCGAATATTTCGCTCTGTTAACAAGATACTGTAGGCCTTCGGATTGTGCTTATGAAACTTAAAAACATCCTAAAATGTGTGACAAATTGAAGAATATCTAAGAGCGAACGGGACAATATCCGCCACATTGTTCTTTCATGTAACAAGTTTGATATTTCGGTTGACCCTAACCGAAATGAGGATTTATTTACATTGTGTCACGGCTTTCTCGCCTGTCTCATTTGAGCCTTATGGCGTACCAACTCAATGCCTAGTAGTGACTAAAAACGTTAAGCAAAAACATTTTTGTAGTTACAAGAATTGTCCGTGTTTATAACACTTGCAAAGTCTTAAACTGCTATTTGTTGTCATCAATTGGTAATGATTTTGACCATGTGCAAAAGTGTGGAAATTCGTGCAAATTCTCATCAGCAGGCAGACGTAGGTTTCCTGAACGATGGTGCAGACATTTAACTGATCGTCAGGCCTATCGCGTTTCTTGATCCGCCTCCATTTTTGTTGTCTTGACCGTAATGGTTTGGTTAAGGTACACATCAAATCGCAGCAATATGTAATAAATATAGCGAGTGTAAGTGGCATAATTCGAAGCACATCGCTTCGGATGCATCGTTTGACCCGGAAATAAGTCTGACAAATCCACACAGCGCGCCCGGCCTGCTGATTGGCCAAAATTGACGCATGCGCCAGTTTTGATTGACAGACTGGATCGGTCTATTTAGAGAATATATAAACACAATATTGGAACAAAAGTATATGTGCATATTTGAGCACACAACCCCAAAGAGTATTTACATAAATAACTTTAATTATATAACCCAAAAGAATCGTCACACCCCTCCTATCAGAGGATTTACATAGGGCCCCACCTGAGGTGAGGTGAAAGTCACATTAACTTTAAGGGCCAATGGGAAATATAAAAAATACATATATATACACAAAGTGGGGCAAAATTTATACCCAACACATTTGGAATATATGAAAACCGGTTTGATTAATATAAACAATAGCCACGACGGGACACCTGGCCTGTACGACACATGTGGCTAAGGGAAATGGGGTATGACTGCCTGTTGGATGATCATACTAGTCAATATGAGGCTAGCTCCAACAGAACGTCAATACACCCAGTAGGTACACCACTTGGGGCTACCCAGAATAAACACCTAATTATAGTAAATAAATTGATAATATGTAATAACGGATATTACATGATTTATATTACTACAATTTGTAGGTATATTATTGGCCATATAATATAATACGTTATATTATTATTGAATAAACTGTGACTTCACTTTCACATCAAGTGGGGAAAACATACTAAAACATGATTGATGTAACAACATGTAGAAATATTACGTTTGATGATACGCGTAACGCCAGACGCGAAGAGAACGAGAAAATAATCTTGTTCAGAAAATAAACAATATTCAAATGCTGAATATGCTATTACCCATCAGAAGCACTTTACAGATATACTTGATAAAGTGACATGAGATGATGGTAGGCTTTTGCTATGTTAGAATAAACATGAAGCAGACGACGGACCCTAGGTTTGTTTACATCCGGTGCAGCCATTTTGTAATGGAGCCGGACGGGAGCCGGAGAATGCCGAGGAGAGCCGAGGACAGCCCAGGCTGTGTGCTGCTCAGTGGAGAGGTCAGCACTGGTCAGTGAGCATGACCGCCACAAATTGGTTCCAGCTGATACCGTGATACTCTAACTGAGCACATGGTTTGGAAACCGGGACAGTGATACAGCCACTTTTTAATTTAGAATAAAATGGCAAAAGAGTTCTGTTGTTAACAGCAACAAGTTGTAAATAAATGGAATTTTGAATTTAGCAATGAGCTAGAGACAATTTTGACTGGCAGGTCAACTAAGCAAATTAATGCTAAACACACAAAGTACTTTACTAAAATGAATTTCTAGATGAAAATATATTACAATGAGTACATGTCATTTATTCTTGCCATCGAGTGCACGTTTGGACAGTCACAGATGAATGACCTTTCGCCAGTTTGGCACAGCAAGAATAATTGATGACAGTGACCCAACACTTGTTTTAATTGTGATTTATCAAATTAAATAATGCATTAATCTAAAAGCCGCAGATAATTACTTATCCTGCTAACAACATAACTATGCATTGGAATTTTATAAAGAAGACCCAGTTGCAATATGGAAGCAAACTGAGGTTCTTACCTAAAAAACAAGCTGGCTTGTTGTCACCTCGACAGTGCAGGCAGAAAGAGGAAGATTTCAGGCTTGGGGGTCCCACGCTCCCTCTTGCCCCTGTCATGTGACATCATAGCCCCTGGGGATTGGCTAAAAAACTGTTTCTATGGAGACCATGGCACCAGTGCCTTGAGCCCCAGAACCCTATCAGATAGCTGGTAAAGGGCAGGATATTGGGCTACTTGTGCAAAAGACTAGGACAAAATATCCAGCCTTTACATAACCAGGGGGAAATGACTTTTTGTTCCAAACACCATTGGCATATGGCATTATATCCAGTTTGGCATTAAAACCAGGGTATTATATAAGCAGGAAATCCGTTCTGGCAAAAACATGGCATTATATCCAGGGTTGACTGAATCTGTCCATACAAGTTTCTATCACACATTTATTTTCTTTTGTTTCTCATGGTCATAGCTTGCCGTTTGACGCCCGGGATCAACGGTGGGTGGGAGCGTGGTGGATTGGATACATCATCACTGGAATCATCATCACCGTCATCTCACTCCCCCTCTCAGGATTCCCCAAATACTTCTCCAGTGAGTCATGCCCGTGCATATTAGTTGGTAGAGAGAGTGAGTGAATAACCAGAGTATCACGTCACATCTAGCAGTATACTAGCCATATCACCAGCGAGGGACAAGGCTTCACACATCGTGCGTAGCTGGAGGATCGAACCCGGGCCTCAGGGATGACGAGCAAACGCTTTCACTACTAGGCTGCCGTACCTCCTATATATTCTAAAGCATACACTTTGATGTTATATAACTGATAAATGAAATGATTTTGTGTTTCAAAATGCTATATACCAGTTCTTTCCTTCCCTCGTATGTACATAGTAAACAAGTAACATATCTTCCAACCCTGATGCTTTACAAGTGCTTCAGGTTAGCCCGTGTCGTTACATGCTGTAGTTCCCGGTATTACCACTGTCACTCCAGGGTTCATTGAATGAGAAAGCTTGAATAACTGGTATATCAGATAAAGTTCAGTTGTCAATAAATTGACGAACAAAAGAATATTTACTATAGTTTAAAGTCAATTTCGTTTAAAAACACAAAAGAATGAAGAAATATTTTTGAAAAAAAACCCCAACAATTCTCAATGAAATCAACAATAAATAGTCATACATTAACTGATGTAGGTGACAGGTGCACGAATTAAGGTGCCGTTGCAAAAACAAGCTTTTACTGTACTGGACCATGGGCATACACAACTATATTGCTCCCGATCATTGATGTGTCACATTTATTGCATGTATGACCATCACCTAATCATATCCAAATGCGTGGTGCTTTATTAATGGTCATGTGTATATATGTGAATAAGCTCAACGCCTAGTGTTCGGGAAGCAAGGGAAATAATCGACTTTACCCGTCAGTTTATTTTGTTTACTTACAGTGAATGAGTGAGTTTAGTTTTGCGCAGCTTTTAGCAAGATACCAGCAAAATTACGGCGGGGGACACCAGAAAGGAGCTTCACACATTGTACCATGTGGGGAATCGAACCCGTGTCTTCGAAGTGGCCAGCTGCCCGTTTACTGAGAGAGATGATACAGAGCTGATTTATTGACATTTCAGACAGTCCTCATCGAGATGAATTGGAAAAAAGCGCTCAGGAGAAGGTCCCTAAAAACCTGTTGTCCTATCTCAAGAAAGCTGTCACAGACTTTTTCAAGGCATTCTTTAAACTTGTAAGTACATCTATTGGTCGGTAACCGGTACGGATTTGTGTATCTCATGTTTGTCAAGTATACGAAGGGCATGTCCTTCGTGGCATTTCATGACTACTGCATATTCAAAACGATCTTCCAGTCATCATTATACTCAATACACAGCTTACTTACCCAATTTGACCCGTGAAGATTCGAGTTATAGTTGGTCTTCAGCAACCCATGTTTGTCCAAGAAGAGACTCTACTTGTCGAAAGAGCCAACAACCGGAATCGGGTCCACTGACCTACCTGGTTGAGGTAGGTTGTTTCGCATGTTAGTGAGTGTGATGTTCATGATTGAGTGAGTGAGTGGGTAAGTATGGTTTTACGCCGCTTTTAGCAATATTCAAGCAATATGACGGCGGGAGGGGAACACCAGAAATGTGCATCACACATTGCACCCATCTGGGGAATCAAACCTGGGTCTTCGGCGTGACGAGCGAACGCTTTTGCCACTAAGCTAGCCCACTGGCCCTAACACTCCTGCTGTCTTCTCCAGACTCGATCATTTACAGAGCACCGGCTTTAAAGTAGAATATTTTCTTTGTTGATTGCTTAACGCCCACTCAGCAATATTCCAGCTATATGGCGACGGTATGTAAATAATGGAGCCAGACAATCCAGTGACCAACAGTTTGAGCATCGATCTAAGCAATTGGGATACGATGGCAGCTTACTTTACGTTCGTTCATGATTGGAGTTGTATAAGGGAGTGTTTGATTTCTTTGCTTGTCATTTCACGCCGCACTCAGCAATATTCCAGCTACATGTATATGACGGCGGCCTAGACCAGACAATCCAGTGATTGACATCATGAGCATCGATCTACGCAATTGGGATACCATGACATGCGTCAACCAAGTCAGCGAACCTGACAACCCGATCCAGTTAGTCGCCTCTTACGAGAAGCATGGGTTACTGAAGATCAATTCCAACCTGACTTTTCGCGGGTACAGAAATACAGACGAATGTAGCCTTAAACCAAACAAATGTATTGTGTGTTGGAAAAGACTGTGGTTTTATTTCAGGTGTTCGATTTGGAATTCATGTTCATCAGTGTGGCCGGAGCAATAGAAGGTGTGGCTGTGAACGGAATGGCAATGTTTGCCTTCAAGTTTATAAACCATGAATATGGTATGGACTATGAAACAGTCGGATATATTGTAGGTAAGACATATTCCCAGTGAATGGGTTAGTGAGTGGGTGAGTGTTTTGATGAGTGAGGGGTAAGTGTCCTTGTGTGAGGGGCATTTCTGGGTAAACGAGTGAGTGGAGCTCTGACGGTCCGCATATCCCGTTAATGCTTTAACGCAGTCACGTCCGTAGGCATAAAACATTCGAATTTTGAATAATTATAAATGTGTCTGTTTCAAACAGGTACAAAGGCCATCGTTGGGTCAGTTGGTTACGTCCTGGCCGGGTACCTGATAAAGTGGTTCAAGCTCGACTTGCTAGGGATGGAAAGAATGGTCACCGGTCTGTTCGTGCTTGCCACAGTGTTAGGCCTCTGTCTCTTTGCTGCATGTCCTGATATCCAGATGATTGGTCTTGATCTGCCCTATCCTGGAGACAGGTAGGGTCATTAAAGAGGGAGGGGGATTACAGGATATGTTGCTCAGCTGGTTGAACATTGCGATAAATGTCAAGAGGAACTTGGAACAACAACAGGGATGTTTATAGTCTGTCTCACAGTCCCTGAACCACATTACTGTCCCTACTGCCAAGCCCTATCTGCAGTGCTAATGCCCTAAATGCCCTAAGCAAGATTAGATTTCCTCAGGTTCAGGAATCTGACTCTCTGGTCTCCCTGGGGCCCCCTTTTCAATTCAAATTGGCTTGTTTGTTACTATCAATATTACATATATTCAGAGACTAAGCGTTAGTCTAGGATGTTTATCACTGTGTTCGCAAGTGCTACAACACACATTTGAACTCATAGCGAATCAGTGTAAAGACGGGATTCATGATCACTATCTCAACAAGGTCATTCTGCCTTTCTGTTTACTAATTTACCCTTTACTAATTTACCGTTCCTGTTCCGTCAAGCCTGGCTGATGGATGGACCGATTCTCTTCATTTCTGAATGTCTCCTTGCGTTCTCTTTCCTGGAGCTGACTAAAACTACACTAATAGATTACAATAGTAAATCTAAATATTTTAATGATTTTCCGACTTTCAATCAGTCAATTTCATCCTGTAACTCTTTGAGGCAGTCTAGACAGCATTAGAGATACAGTTGTAATGGTAAGGATCATGTCATTTGACCCTCTCGTTCCAGCGATGTGTCAGGCTTCCTCGCGTCCTGTCAAGGTCAGTGCCAGTGTGAAGGTCAGACGTTCAGTCCTGTTTGTAGCAGCAACGGCCTCGTCTACTTCTCCCCCTGCCACGCAGGTTGTCTGGGCAGCAGCAGCGATGGGGATGTCATGGTAGGAGCATTTCTAGTTATGTACGTTCGTGTGTGTTGTTGGGGAAATGGTATTAACCTGGGCCTAGATTTTCGAAGCTCTCTTATCGCTAAGATAGTCGTAAGTGCCATACATTAACATTAACTTACGACTATCTTAGCGCTAAGAGAGCTTCGAAAATCTAGGCCCAGGATTAGGAAGTTGTGTGGACATGTTTGCACTCTCTGAAGTATTCCGGATTAAGTAATTGTGAAGAGATGTGTCCTCTAACTTTTACCCTGAAATATGTAGTTATGCAGAGATGTACTCACTAACTGGTATCCCGGATGATGTAGTTGTGTAGAGATGTTTGCACTATCATGTTCCTGCTGGAGAAGCTGCTACTAAGTCGACCTTGTATTGCAGACTTACACCAACTGCAGCTGTATAGCAGCTGGGCTCAATACAACTGTGACAGATGCTCTGGCCACCGCCACCGCGGGTAAATGTACCACCGACTGCTGGCAAGTGTACCTCGTCATGCCCTGCTTGTTCCTGGTCTACATCATCATCATCACTTGCGCCACTTTCTCTACTTTTACAACACTCAGGTAGGTGCAGCATCATGCTTCTGTCACTTGTATCATTAAAACAAACACGGTATCTTCTTGAGTTGGTATAACCTTTCTGAAACTGAGCACACATGGGATGGAGCAATCTTCTCTCCCTCTTCTCTAGTGTCTGTAACTTGAGTAAACTTAGGTTGCAGTCAATCTCTACCTCTTCTCTAGTGTCTGTAACTAAGTACACTTAGGTGCAGTCCTGTCTCCCTCTTCTCTAGTGTCTGTAACTAAGTACACTTAGGTGCAGTCCTGTCTCCCCTCTTCTCTAGTGTCTGTAACTAAGTGCACTTAGGTGCAGTCCTGTCTCCCTCTTCTCTAGTGTCTGTAACTAAGTACACTTAGGTGCAGTCCTGTCTCCCTCTTCTCTAGTGTCTGTAACTAAGTACACTTAGGTGCAGTCCTGTCTCCCTCTTCTCTAGTGTCTGTAACTAAGTACACTTAGGTGCAGTCCTGTCTCCCTCTCTCTAGTGTCTGTAACTAAGTACACTTAGGTGCAGTCCTGTCTCCCTTTTCTCTAGTGTCTGTAACTAAGTACACTTAGGTGCAGTCCTGTCTCCCTCTTCTCTAGTGTCTGTAACTAAGTACACTTAGGTGCAGTCCTGTCTCCCTCTTCTCTAGTGTCTGTAACTAAGTGCACTTAGGTGCAGTCCTGTCTCCCTCTTCTCTAGTGTCTGTAACTAAGTACACTTAGGTGCAGTCCTGTCTCCCTCTTCTCTAGTGTCTGTAACTAAGTACACTTAGGTGCAGTCCTGTCTCCCTCTATAATTATGTGTATTATATGTATGTTGCCACGTTTTTCGTGTGTACAGAGTTTACCTATGGTGTATATTTCAGGGCGCTCTATTGTTAATAATTGTTGAAATGTAACGTTTTGTCGCCTAAAGTGACGGATCAGTATAAGATGTGTTCATTTGCTGTGATATATATTTAGTGTTTGACAATCTTGGCAATGGTAATAACTCATTTATCTGAAATTCGTCAACTTTTTTTTCTTATTGCACAGGTGTGTGGAACAAGATCTCCAGGCATTTGCTCTTAGTATAAAAATGATATTAATGGCGGTAATAGGTAAGGGTTTTTTAAATAGATCTTTTATGCTGATCTTTTAACACTGAAATCATGATGCAAGAAATGTGAGTGAGTATGGTTTTACGCCGCTGTTAGCAATATTCCAGCAATATCACGGCGGTGGACACCAGAAATGGGCTGCACACATTGTACCCATGTGGGCAATCGAACCCGACCTTCGGCGTGACGAGCAAACGCTTTAACCACAAGCCTACCCCACCGCCCCAAGAAATGGAGAATGAACTATAAACGAGTTATATATACTGACGTACATAGGAAAGTATTGGGATTATTTTTTAAACAACGTACATGTTTTGACTTACCAGGCACAAACATTGTGTATGTATTGCAAAAAAAACACAATTAAAACACCATTCAAAATGCTAACGTTGTTTTTTGGAAATACAATGTAGTCTTAAAAAATCTGGTGTGTGCTTTCTTCTGTGCGTCAGTTTAGATGCTACACACTAACTGATCCCTTTCAGGAGAAAGAGTTCCACGTTTATTGATCAAACAGGCTTGCATCATTCATATAAGGCCGTAAGGCAAATATTCTCGTTTCTCATTACCACCCGACCCTAAGATTTTGTTTTGATTTTTTACACTAGAGAAAATGCAACTTTGACTCTCAAAATGTGCATGCATTATTCACACTTCTAAGTTTTGATTTTCTATCGAGGAAAAGGTGTAAATTTCCTCAGAAATGAATGTAAAAAAAAATCCTCCCGCCGGACCCATATGTTTTTTAAAAAGTGATGAGAAACAATAATATTTTGTTCGATTTTTTTCGAATTATTTGTCGCTTATTTTTTAACATTCTTCTAACTATTTCTGATGACAAGAAAAGGGTACTTCCGGAACAGGTGCCGCAGGTGCCCCGTCTTTTGATTGGTCAAAGCGAGTCACGTGATATGTAAATAGATAAAAGTAAGGACCCTCGATTCTGATTGGTCAGTGGATGTGACGTCACATCATTCAAACGATGTGAACAAACGGGCACCATAGACAAGTTATCATAATAGTTCATCTAGATAAGATCAATATGTGTCATTTATGGTATTGATTAGTTAAGATACATGTTGTAACACGTCAATCTAGAAGTGTGAGAGAGCGTTCTATCGACACCTAAATAGATGATGATGATGGTGATGATGTGTGAATGCAATGATGAATGTCAACTATCTAAATACAACCATCGCCTAAATAGCAGTTGTAATGTCACACATCGGCAAGTTGGTTTTAACTCCGTCATGTTTCACTTCCGCAAATTTAAACCAATTCAAACAGTTTTAAAACCAACAACGTTGGGATATTTTAAAAGAAAGAAAGAAAACAAGGATAGCTATATTCAGGGTAAAAATATGTTTATTCTGAATCCTGAAACAGGGTTGTTCTTCATCAGAGTCTTTTTCTATAATCCTCCTTCTCTTGGGGTATTTTCGGGGGTATAAAGGCACTGATCTCTTCTTTGCCATGATTTCACTCCCCACGTCCGTCTGTACCCCGACGTTTTCAATTTACGTCAATTTTAATTACAATTTACGTTTTTTTACATTTTACGTCGTAACACACTTGTTTCTATACTTTCAGGGAGCATCCCCGCCTCTGTGGTAGTGGGCGTGGTGGTCGACTCGGCCTGTGAGCTGTGGGGAGGGGCGGAGGGGGCTCAGTTCTGTCAGCTTTACAACAAGGAGGCTTTAGCTGTGGGAATCGCCACCATGTGGCTCAGCGTCGGCATCATCGCTTGCACCTTCATGTTCCTGGCATCACTTGTCAACCTGTGGAAGAAGAAGAAGAGGGCGAACAAGGAGAGTACCGAGATGAACGATGCTGGTGGTTGTGATGAGAAACATAACGGAGCAGTGGAGGGTGATGTTCACGTAAGTTCACCAGAATGATCAAGTCGATATATTTAATCGTCCGATATGAACGAACCTTCTGTGATATTGATGGACAGTAAACAATACAAAGATCCTGAATACAAGAATGTACAATAACTAACCATAATACAAATATGGAAGAAATAACTGACAGTTGCGGAAAACTACTGCAAAAAGACACTGGGGATGAACACAAACGAGAACTTGATCTACCTTTACAGACATACATGTCATTTCAACAGCAATTGCGCCTATGATTAACGGATATTTCAGTTGCCTGTCCAATGATGGCTAGGTATATGGCCAAATAAAAACTGCTTTTCATCTTACGTTTAATAGAAATTGTAGAAAGACCAAATTATTATAATTACGAAAACCATTATCAACAGAACAGAGAGGTTGGTCGCCTTGAAACCAAAGGACGACATTTGATAACAAGCTACCCAAGAACAGCCACAAGCCCTTGTGTCTTTGCGGGGATTACAAAAGGTCATGATGTATTGTACTGCACGAAGGATTTCGAATCGGGGGTCATCTCAAAAATAATATTAAATATTGTTTTAGTCTTTAATCCTCGCAAAGGCACGAGGGCCTGTGAGAACAACCGGTGAAGATCAGGGTTAGAATTGGTCTCCAGCAACCAGCAACCAGCAACCAATGCGTGTCGTAAGAGGCGACTAACGGGATCGATTGATCAGGCCCGCTGACTTGTGTATATTGCGTATATTGATGCTCATGCCGTTGATCATTTGGTTGTCTGGTCCAAAATTGATTATTTACAGAACGTTGCCATATAGCGGGAATACTGCTGAGTTCGGCGTTATACAGCAAACAAACAAACGAAAACCCATGAACGGAAGCGTGAGTCAAATGTAATTGGTGGGTAATCGACACTATAAAATATATAAATATTCTCCAGGTCTGCTTCTTAGGTTTTTTTTGTTGTTGTTTTGTTTGTTTTTGTTTTGTTTTGTTTGGTTTTTTGTTTTGTTTTGTTTTTTGGGTTTTTTTGTTTGTTTTTGTTTGTTTGTTGTTGTTGTTGTTTTGGGGGTGTTTGGTTTGTTTTGGGGCGGGGGTTTGGGGGTGTTTGTTGTTTGTTTTTTGCTGTTTTGCTTCTTTTGTTTTGTTTAGTTTGGTTGTTTTGGGTTGTTTGTTTTGGGGGTTAGGGGGTATTTTCTTGGGCGGGGGAGGAGGGTGTTCGTTCAGTTTGTTTTTTGTATGTAGTTTTGGTTTGTTTTATAGCATTACATGTGATGTGCAGGGACATTACACTGCATTAAAATTGAATAAATGCGCCGTTTGTGTCTTTATAAATGGCACGTTACAATTTGGGCCTCTAAGTTGTGAAGAGTACATATTTGACCACTACAAACTTTCACCGCAACTTACCATTTTCTTTACGATTATGGCTGTAAAAGGCATATTTAATGGTACATTTTGCAAACATATACTTGTATCATTTACGTCAATTTTATTACAATTGTGACACTACGATTAAGTTTTTAAACGTTTCGACAAAATACATTCACAGTGGTGTCGTAACACCCTTGTTTCTATACTTTCAGGTAGCATCCCCGCCTCTGTGGTAGTGGGCGTGGTGGTCGACTCGGCCTGTGAGCTGTGGGGAGGGGCGGAGGGGGCTCAGTTCTGTCAGCTTTACAACAAGGAGGCTTTAGCTGTGGGAATCGCCACCATGTGGCTCAGCGTCGGCATCATCGCTTGCACCTTCATGTTCCTGGCATCACTTGTCAACCTGTGGAAGAAGAAGAAGAGGGCGAACAAGGAGAGTACCGAGATGAACGATGCTGGTGGTTGTGATGAGAAACATAACGGAACAGTGGAGAGTGATGTTCACGAAAGTTCACCAGAATGATCAAGTCGTGGGTCAATACAAGACTTTACATTCAATTGTCCATCAGATATGAACGATTTCATGTGACCTTCTGTGATATTGATGGACAGTAAACAATACAAAGATCCTGAATACAAGAATGTACAATAACTAGAAATAATACAAATATGGAAGAAATAACTGACAGTTGCTGAAAACTTCTGCAAACTGACACTTGGGATGTACACAAACGAGAACTTGATCTACTTTTACAGACATACATGTCATTTCAACAGCAATTGCGCCTATGATTAACGGATATTTCATTTGCCTGTCCAATGATGGCTAGGTATCTAGCCAAATAAAAACTGCTTTTCATCTTAGGTTTAATAGAAATTGTAGAAAGGCCGAATTATTATGAAGACCATTATCAACAGATCAGAGAGGTTGGTCGCCTTGAAACCAAAGGACGACATTTGATAACAAGCTACCCTAGAACAACCGGTGAAGATCCGGGTTAGAATTGGTCTTAGCAACCAGTGCGTGTCGTAAAAGGTGACTAACGGCATCGATTGGTCAGGCCCGCTGACTTGGTTGATACATGTCATCGTATTCCCATTGCGTATATTGATGCTTATGCTGTTGATCACTGGGTTGTCTGGTCCAGAATCGATTATTTATAGAACGCCGCCATATAGCTGGAATATTGCTGAGTTTGGGTTAACAACAAACAAACGAAAACCTATATGAGTGAACAGTAATTGGTGCGTAATCGACACTAAATATACAAATATTCTCCAGGTCTTCTGCCAGCATGTAGATATAATCTCTCGTTGGTTTTACCAAGTAGTAAACACCGGTATATAGATATTCATAATGTCTAAAAGTGAGACTGACCAATAAGAGGTCAAAACGACTAACCCATATGAGCCAGTGTACCGTCAGTAAGTATCCAAGATGGTTATTACTGATATGAGTCTTTACACCGTCAGACATCTGGGATATTTAACACCCACTTCACATGTTCCACTGAACATTCTGGCTGAGTACACTGTTTGTTTTTTTGGTTTCTTTGGTTTGTTTGTTTTTGTTTTTTGTTTTTGCTGTTTTGCTTGTTTTTTGTTTGTTTGGTTTGGGGTTTTTTGTTTATTTTGTTGTTGTTGTTTTTGTTTTGTTTTGTTTTTAGGTGGGGGGAGTATGTTCTGGGCGGGGGTCGTTCAGTTTGTTTTTTTATGTATTTTTGGTTTGTTTTCATAGCATTAACTGTGATGTGCAGGGACATTAAACTGCATTACAATTGAATAATTGCGACGTTTGTGTCTATATAAATTGGCACGTTACAATTTGGGCCTCTAAGTTGTGAAGAGTAGTCTCCCTTTGACCACTGACAAACTTTCAGAAGTCCAGTTCAGCTTACCGTATTTGTAACACCATTTTCTTTAGCAGCCTAAAAATATGGCTGTACAAAGGCTTGCATATTTGTAATGGTTCTGTCATTTATACTGGTAGTATCGCAAACATATGTACTTGTCTTATCATTTATGGCGGTTTGTGAAGTTTTCATTGTGACATGACATCTACGATTAAGATACAGCTTGTGTAAACCTTTCGACAGTGGTGAAGTTAGTCTCGTACACGGCAAATTTACATTGGGTAATCAGAAACATAAATTACAATACCGATACGTCGCATTAATAGAATAAAAGATGTTGTCATCCTTAGAATATCTTTCTTTTACCGTTACACTCCAATTTCCTAAATTCACAAACAGTTCGCAGATAACCAATTGGTTATGTCATTTAATGCAACCTTCCCGTTTTGACTATGGGCCCTTTTACCTATGTATGCAACCCTGGTAAATATAGTTCGCATTTACAAAAAGAGTGAGTGGGTATGGTTTAAGCAAAATTCCACCAATATCACGACGGGGGTCACCAGAAATAGGCTTCACACATTGTACCTATGTGGAAAATCGAACCCGGGTCTTCGGCGTGACAAGCGAACGCTTAACCACTAGGGTATACCTCACCGCTCCGCAAAAACAACTGTCATCTCTGGTGTGAGATAGCAATAGATTTAGCATAACGGGGTTTACAGAATAAATAGTTTATATTCAATCTGTCTCACACCAAAATTATGAATATGTATGAACCTGTTTATTGGTCGCATACAATGTGTAGATTTTCGGATTATTAACAATTTCGTTCACAATATCCATATAATAATGTAGGTGATGAAGGAAAATTGATTTGATCGTTATTAAAATGAACATATTAAAGTGGGTATTCATATTTTATATATGAATAGAAATGGGTGTAAAGGAGCATAAGGCAGTTATCCAAGGGCGACACCGTGTGGTTACAGGTCGAATCCTAATCCAATAATGATATCAACGAAACAATGGCTTGTGTATCTTATGTTACAGTCTGAATAATATATGCACTGTAATTTACAATCTGCACAACAGAATGAGTTAAATGCGTAGTTTTAATATGTGACAGCTATATATTTCATTAGGTGCCAGTCTGGGATTGCTAGAGATAACACGTTCTATTGAGAACGTCTGTAAACGTCATTCAATTTACCTGATCCGTTTCCGAATATTAAACCAATTCCACATTTTGTACAAAATATACATCAGCCTTCATTTTTGATAAGGTCGCGAAACTGCGCTGGGCTCTGTCTCTTCATAAATACTACATAACGATGCGCAGGCAGAGCCGTGGACCAGCTTACACCAAGAACGTGACATACAGCGAGAAAGCGATGCGTCGCCTCGATATAATGCTTTGAGTGTCTATTGAACGCAGTTAACCGGCGTTCATAGGAATGCTGTAAGCGGGTCCTGTGCTCGGCCACATTTGTGCATAGTCATGGCGAACTGACAATATCAGATACAATGTTGGGACGGAGAGGACTCGAACTTTTCCGACACACGATCTGCCGAGATGGTGCAGAAAACCTCCTTCAGGTGTATCGACACTCTTGTTCACTAACGAAGGCGAACGTCAGCGAGGCGGTGAATGAAAAGGTATCAAGGCTGATAAAAAAGAATTAATTAGAAAACGTATGTCGAAACACCCAATCATCAGATGATCATGTTGTCATTGTTGAGTTTGTTGGCAATTTGTGTTCAACGTATTCAAAACATTCATGTCAGTACAAGTTTTAGAGTCTGTCAGTGTCAGGCAGCGGAGGCAGTCCTCCTTCCTTTTAGAAAATAATTTACGAAATTCGAGATTTCCCCTGTCTCTTACCATGTTTTACTGCATAATCTGTTAACTTTTAAATGATATGTTTTAATGTTTTTTGTTGAAGCATTTTATTATTTTTTTAATGTTTCAGTGTTTTTTACACAAAAGTTATTTTGTTTTTTGGCACAATTGTGTACATTATTTGATCGCTTGACGCTGTTAGACCATCATAAGCATGTGGTCATTGTGTTACTCATTGGAATCATTTTAAAGTGTAGACTTTGAAGATGTACAATACATCTATTATAAATATTGACAAAATGTTCTTGTGTTTCCACATTACATGATAATGTTCTTGGAAAAGTCTGAATCTAGTGTTGTTAAAAAAAACATCTTAATCTTGTCTCCACCTGAATGTCTCCACGTAATCTTAGCTAAGAGTGATTTATCTATGAAACATAATTTATACTTGACTGGAACAGTTCCAAACAGGAGACGATGTTGTATTTACCATCACCTCTGTTACAAGGTGACTAAGTCATATTTTATTTGATTCTAAAGGTCCAAGTACTCACTTGTTGGTCGTGCCATGATTCGTGAGTTCAAAAGTAGTGACCAGAATGCAAAACTTCTGTATGTATTCACAAGTGATGAGAAACGTAGTACTAGAAGTATATAATATATGGAAACACATGAAGTATAAACTCTTTGTCTTCAGCCATGCTATTTGTTCTGCAATGTTCAACTTGATGCTGTGATTCACAATACTTACAGTGCAGAATTTCACTCACTCAATATCATGTACACTTATAATCCCCATTTTCTGTTCTCAGGTAGAGTCTCCTGCTTTGAAACCAAAGCAGAAATCAAATCCCTCGTTCTCCGACTTCCTCACCGATACATTTGGACGTCAACACACGTACCTGCGTATTTCCCTGACAGAGCGCTGCAACCTCCGATGCCAGTACTGCATGCCCCAGGACGGGGTGCAGCTCACCCCCAAGCAGATGCTGCTAAGTACAGACGAGATCCTAGCACTGTCCCAGATGTTTGTCAAGGAGGGGATCACCAAGATCAGACTGACAGGGGGAGAGCCCACGGTCAGGAAGGACCTGGTTGATATCCTCAGTGAGTTAGTTGTCATACCTGTCATTCATTCAAAGATACTTTATGTCTCCTTCTTAAATGAGCGAGTGAGTCAGTTTAGTTTTACGCCGCACTCAGCAATATTCGAGCTGTATGGCAGCAGTCTGTAAATAATCGAGTCTGGACCATACAATCCAGTGATCAACAGCTTGAACATTTTGATTGGGATACAATGACATATGTCAACTAGTGCTGGTATTGGCATACAACCTGCGATACGATACATCACGATACTAAAATTTTAGTCACGACGATATATTGCCAAAGTATTGTGCACTGAAGCTGTGATACGATACGAATCCCAATATAAGGGTCGCGATACGATACGTATCACGATACTAAAATCTTTAATTCCAACACCAACTATAAAACACCTTAATACCAAAACAAACCATTTTAAAGTATTTCGTTAAGTTTATACACAGACTTTGTGAATGTTAATAACATGCTAGAGCTATGTCTTGACATACCGTATACCGGGAAATTTTCAAGGTACTAAAATTTCGAGGTTTGAGACCCCCAGAGCTTTCGAGGTGATATAAATTTCGAGGTTTGGGGGCCTAAAATATATAAATATTTTAGACAATTTTAATTTCGAGGTTTAATAGAAGAAAGTGGCCAGAAACATGACGTACCGGACCAATACTCACTGAACTATCGGCAAAACTAGTATCCAGTGATAACTGCCGTCTGACTGTTATAACTACTGGTATACCAGTCCATGGCAGAAATAATAGTAATGAAAACAACCCTTTGATCCTTTGTTGTGATAAATGACCCATGAAACACTCTGTCGGCGAAGTTCAAACATGAGGCCATTTTTTCTCAGACGATATTGTTTTTTTAACAACTAACTATAAGCATGTATGCATGGGTCTCTGCTGAAACTATGTTGTTGTTAGAAAGCTGACAAGTTGACCTCTTTAGCGAAACTGACCAACTGCACGGATGCCTTACAGCTCCAGGATGTTTGTGTAAACAAGCCCCTTAAAGACGCGCATTCATCAAACCTGGCATCGCCGATGCAGTCCGTTTGGCCAGAGAGTGACACCGAGTGTATTGACAGTTGGTTTGACTTTACATGTAAGACACTGACTGAATTACATATTTTTGGTAATGCATGTTATTCTGGACCAACAATTACAACACAATTAAATAGTCTCGACACCGTATTTCTGTTGTTTGTTTATTCAGGCCGTTCAGGGTCACTGAACGTTAAGATTAGTTGTAGACAGGCATTACAGAGTTACTGCTCATGTCAGGAAGTCATTGGTTGCCCGCAGATGAAATGCTTATCGATAGGAAATCCAACCCAAAGGTTTGAAGTTCAGAAAAATTCATGGATATAATGTTTTCGAGGTTGCGTTGAAAAAACCTCGAAAATTATATACCTTGAAAATTTCCCGGTATACAGTAGTTCTTGACACAAGAATTTCCGAGAAAACGTCTACTTATGAAGGGAATATAAGTAAGCATATATTTCAATCATCAAACAAGAGTGAGTCTTTTTTCTTGACAGATATTGCGATTCAGCAATATTCGAGTTAAACATCGATGTATCGTGGCCCATTTGAAGTATCGTATCTGGATATACGAAAATGTAAACGTTTGTATCGATTCACTGTGTCGGCGGCCCATGGATCGATGCATCGATGCATATCAATCGTCACACCACTAATGTCAACTAAGTCAGCGAGCCTGACCACCCGATCCCATTAGTTTCCTCTAACGACAAGCATGGGTTACTAGTGATCAACTCTTTCCTTCAAAACAGACCAGGTTGTTATTTTTGTCCTTCATTTAGAGGAGCCTTATGACTCCTTAAAGGTGGTTCTTGCATTCCAAATAGGCCTTATATGCTTAAACAACTTATATTCTCCCCAGGAGCTGAGAATGAGTGGATAATTTAGTACTCTGATCCATTGGCCAGGGTAATTTAGTGATCTGAAAACACTTTAGGCAATTAGATTTGTGTATGACACGTTTAGGGGCGGTGGGGTAGCCTAATGGTTAAAGCGTTTACTCGTCACCGGAAGACCCGGGTTCGAATCCCCACATGGGTACAATGTGTGAAGCCCATTTCTGGTGTCCCCCGCCGTGATGTTGCTGGAATATTGCTAAAAGCGGCGTAAAACCAAACTCAGTCAGTCAGTATGACACGTTTAATAATGCAAATCATCATCATCTTCAAAACCCAACTCAACTCATCCATATTTGATATCACTGTCATTCTATAGGTAGGAGGTTCCACCAGGAGAAACCTTGTCTATGATTTTGTGATATTTCCTAAAATTGGGCAGTGTTTTATTCCTTAGCTGAGACAGTTAGTTGTTGATTACCTGACTGGGCTGTGCTTCCATGAAGACTTGGTCAAGACTGTACTAATACAACTTACAAGTTATGGAGTTTTTTCATGTTACTTATTCTACTTCTTAAGGCGAAAGGGCGGTGGGTAGCCTAAAACTTACATCAAGATGTTTCTTTTCACGAGGGCCCATTTCTTGTCCCCTTTATTGCTGGAATATTGTTAAACTCAGTCAGTCAGTCTTAAGGCGAAAACTTACTCAAGATGTTTCTTTTCAGAGGGGCTTGACAGTTTACGATCTGAAGGTCTGAAGTCCATTGCCATGACAACCAATGCAATCACGTTATCCCGAAGACTACCTCTGTACCAGGATGCAGGCCTGGACCAGCTAAACATCAGTCTCGATACTCTAGTACCCCCAAAGTTTGAATTCATCACTCGACGGAAAGGTTTTGACAAAGTCCTAGAGGGCATCGACAAGGCACTGGAGTTGGGATATGATCCAGTGAAGGTAGGAGCATGCTTCGTATGCTTTACAATAGACATGATAGTGGAAATGGTGGGGAGAGGTAAAATGGGGTTTAAGTTCACAATTACTGCATGCATACTTTAGTTGTTTTAGAGCCCACTAAGATACTTTGCCACAGTTTTCATATGAACACCTCACTCACCCACACTGATTCTCAATCAGAGCAAGCCAGTCATTGTTTTATCCTTTGATGCTGAGCACCAGATAATTTGTAAAAAGTAGTACAAGTCAATTAGGAAGTTTAACAAGTTAAAAACCCTCAAATGGGGGTATCATGGGGATAAATATACTGGAGTCATATCATGTTTTTAGTAGTATTACATAGTAGTATGTAGTTTCTCCAGAACCTACAAAGAATCCAAAATTCCGCTGCCAGATGTATCACCCACATTCATCGTCATGACCATATCACCCCAGTACTACAGTCTCTACACTGGCTCCCCATCTCTGCAAGAATTACCTTCAAAATCCTCATTCTGACTCATGACTGCCTCTACGATAACTTTCCCGACTATCTCAAACATCTCATCTCTGTGTATGTACCTCAGCGAAGTCTCCGATCCTCCTCTGACTCTCTCCTCACCCAACACAGATCTCCACACCAACTATCTGACCGAGCCTTCTCCTTTGCCTCCCCTCAACTGTGGAACTCTCTTCCAAAGGAAATCAGGAACACTTCATCGAAAGAAACTTTTAAATCTCTGCTAAAGACCCATCTTTTCACTGCTGCCTTTCTGTAAAAGTTATATGATCTATCTCCTTCCCCAATATTGTCACAGCGCCACTGAGCATCTCTATGGTGGATATTAGGTGCTTTTATAAATACATTATTATTATTATTTATTATTAGTAGTATATGAAGTATCTCAAATTTCACATGACCATGATTAGAGCCTGGTTGAAGACATGAATGCTGTACACATTTAGGATTTGTTGTAGAACACATTATTGACTACTCTCATTTACTGAGGAAGGTGGTAGCGTGTAGACAAGACTTTCTGCAGGCAGTTTTACATTTCAGGTGAACTGTGTTGTGATGAGGGGCCTGAATGAGGAGGAGATCGTGGACTTCGTGGAGTTCACACAACACAAGGTAGGTGTAGACAATGGGATTCACAGGGATTTACCTCTATCCATCGTCACAGGCTAGTTTATCTCATTTGAAACATGTGACATGTCAATTTGGGGAATCAGAATGAAATGTTTACCTTATCAATTATAAACTGAAAAGTTAATTTTTACTGAGATTACGAGACTGTTGGTATCATTTCTTTATTTAGTGTTTGAACAAAAATAATGTGTTGTTGCTAGGTGTCGTCCTGTTGCTAGGTGTCATCTTGTTGCCAGGTGTCGTCCTGTTGCTAGGTGTCATCTTGTTGCCAGGTGTCAGGTCCTGTTGCCAGGTGTCGCGGTGTCGTCCTGTTGCCAGGTGTCGTCTTGTTGCTATGTCGTCCTGTTTCAGGTGTCCTGTTTCCATAGGTCTGTATGTTGTTGCCAGGTGTCATCTTGTTGCCACCTGTTGCTAGAAAGTGGACATGTCGCGTTGCCAGGTGTCGCCCTGTTGCCAGGTGCCGTTTCGTTGCCATGCATGTATATCTGTATGTTTGATCCACAGAAAGTGGACATCCGCTTCATTGAGTACATGCCCTTTGGAGGCAACAAGTGGAACTTCAACAAGTTAGTGTCCTACCAGCAGATGCTGGACATCATCAGGTCACGATGGCCAGACTTTGACCGGCTCTCTGACCATCCCAATGATACATCTAAAGTGAGTGCCTTGCATCATGACCTGAAAGGAATTTATTTAGACAAATTTTCTTACACATTATTGTACACTAATTTAACACAGTTAAAGATGAAATGCGGCTCATCACTGTGTTCAAGATAGTGTCAACATTGAACCCATTGCAAGTCCAGTGGTTTTTTCTGTCAAGCTTTGTATATCACACTGTAGGTGTCCAGTTGACTTTCCAATGTTAATTATGTTGTTTATTTAAAAAATCAACAAGAAAACGGCTGCATGATCTAGTGACCACTGTACCGAGTAGCAATTTTAAAGTTATTTCCATGGAGTGTTTATGGATTGCTGGCACGATCTAGTACTAGTAGTAGATGGAGTGTTTGCGTTAAGAGTGGAAGGCTGAGAGTGGAAGGCTGTTAGTTGATACTCAGCCAAGTCATACAAAAATGTGAAAAAATAAAACAACTTGTTACCCTGCCAGGACCTTTGCTTCAACGTGATTGTGAGGATATAACATGGACTGGCTGGACCAGAGTCAAAGTGGAGCGTCAGTTGAATGAGGTATGGCATCTCAGTGGGCTGGCACTCTAAAACTGACATTTGTATGGACTACATCACTGGATTAGTGCAAGAATCTTGACTGCGACATTGAGCCCCATTTTACCAGACGTCACCGTTCACAATAAATAGGTTTTTAGTCAGTGCTTTAAAATCAAAGTGTTTAATTGTTTTGTTATTTCTGTTACCATGGTTTCAGGCCTACCAAGTCCCAGGATTTGCAGGACAGGTTGGGTTCATCACGTCAATGAGCGAACATTTCTGTGGCACCTGTAACAGACTCAGGATGACAGCTGATGGCAACCTCAAAGTGAGTCATCATTTCTATACCAATTCACAGAACCCTGATCACGATATAACCCTGTGGCACAACCTTTGGGTTATTAATAGTCTGCATTTTTGACATCAGTGATGCCATTTCAGCCACCAGGGCATCAATCCACAAAGTGATTGTTTTCAGTCCCCTATTTCCATTAAGGAATAAACAACTAGTGTTTTATGAGGCACAGTAAAATAGTGCTGAGAGAGTTACCTTTGAGGGGCACAGCCCTGAGAGCTGAATCCCTCTGTCAGTTGGTCATACATATACCAGAATCCACTGGTCACAAGTAGAATTCTGATCCTGACTTGTCACCACCTGCAAGCAACCCATTTCACCTAAGCAGTAGTTGCCTGAAACCTGTACTTGTGCTTTTCATCTGTTCTTGGTGCAGTTTGCCTTGCAGAGTTCCCTCCCTTAGGAACCTATTATTATGGGTTTGCATTTCGATGTACCCCAAATATGTTTCATGATGGTGGGAGCAGGCAGTCAGAGGTTTTACTGCATTAAATGTACTTGAAATAATGACAGCTCCTTAATGCTTGTCCTATTTTTAGATGATACTCCCATATCTTTGTACATGTTTTTCATAACCCTGACGGGGCGTTGGGGAAGCCTTGTGGTTAAAGCGTTTGCTTGTCACGCTGAAGGCCCAGGTTCGATTCCCCACATGTGTACAATGTGTGAAGCCCATTTCTGGGGTCCTCCATGATATTGCTGGAATATTGCTAAAAGCAACGTAAAACTAAATTCACTCACTCACTCATAACCCTGACAAAATGTAAAAGCACCTCCCCTTGTCAATGCTTATATGTATAAAATGTTTCTGTATGATTCTCCTATTTCCATCTGTTTTCCTCTCATCCTTGTAATAAATGAACGGCCCCTGACTGGAATACTGTTAAAACCTGTGTTACCCAACTCACTACCTGTTTCCTTAACCCCATGGTTGTAGGTGTGCCTCCATGGAGAGGCGGAAGTGTCTTTGCGAGATGCTCTGAGGAACAACACACCGCAGGAGGAGATGCTGGAGATTATTGGGGCTGCAGTCAAGAGGAAGAAGAAACAGCATGCAGGTGCACAGAATCAGGGAGATATTTGTGGGGAATTATGAGTCAGGTTGTGGGGAGTTATCAGTTCCGGTTCAGTGATATGTGTTGAGTTACAGATTTGATGATGTTATGCGAGTACATGGCGTAAATAAGAGCAGAAACTCAGGAAATGAGCAGATGTCTTTGGTATTGGTAGAGCAGACTTCTTGTGGAGAGAGCTTCATGGGAAGCTGATGTCTTGCGGATCAGACATTGTGTAGAGCAATCATCTCATAGAGCAGACATGTTGTCAGGCAGATTTCCTGCAGAGCAGACATGTCAAGCTACTATTCTGTAGAGCAGATATCATGTAGGGCAGACATCTTGTAGATCAGACATATTGTAGAACAGACATGTCAAGCTACTATTCTGTAGAGCAGATGTCATTTAGGGCAGACATCTTGTAGATCAGACATATTGTAGAGCAGACATCTTGTCAAGCAACTATTCTGTAGAGCAGATGTCATGTAGGGCAGACATCTTGTGGATCAGACATTGTAGAGCAGACGTCTTGTCAAGCAACTGTTCTGTAGAGCAGACGTCTTGTGGATCAGACATATTGTAGAGCAGATGTCTTGTAAATCAGTCTTTGTCAAGCAGTTGTTCTGCAGAGTATATGTCTTTTAGAGTGGATATCTATTGCAGATGTCATTTACATCAGACATCTTGTCAAGCAGATGTCCTGCAGAACAGACATCTGGAAGTACAGACATGATGTAGAGCAGATGTCCTGTTGTGTCCGTATCTTGTAGAAATTTATGCATGTGTTATAGAATAAAGACTTTGTCGAGTGATCCAATAGACATATTGTCTTGTAGACTCAGTTCAATGCATTGTAGACTCAGTTCAATGCATAACATTGTATCTTTTCAGGAATGCTGAATTTATCCAAGATGAAAAATCGGCCGATGATACTGATTGGTGGGTGACGATGGTTCTTTTGTTCACGTATGTACATCATTATGTGACACACATATACACAACTCCAAAACTTTCACCTTCGTCCAGATCATCATGCTTAGTTTTACACAGATAACTGACTGGTAATAGCGTTTAAAGCTTACACTTCTGAAATATAAGATCTGACCAATTTTTGTTAATAACATGTATGTGACTGGGATGTATTTAGAAATTAAATAAATTACAAGTTTGTTATATGTGTCAGTTTGTTATGAGCATGTTACACTCCAAAACTTTACAAGTCAAATTTAATATGCAAATATTCTTCTGAACATACCTGTTATTATGGAAGAAAAGATGAATTATTTGCAATAAGTGAAGTTTGGTAAGGACGTGCAGGAACCTTAACCTGCAACAACTAGAGGCCGCAAGAGTCACATAAGCCATCACTGGATTGAAACCTCTAGTTATGAATCTTTCCACCTGACGGCTGCATACTGCCACCACCAAGTTACCATGTTCTTGTTGTTAAATACATACATATTGCACCATAGGCAGGTTGCACATTTGTTATACACTGTCAAATTATCATTGGATTAAAAGACTTGGTTGTGTGTGTCATCCTTCCAAAACAGGATAGGACGTCACTCACTCACTCACTCACTCACTCACTCACTCACTCACTGAAGTGGTATAGACGGCCAGGTCGTCTAAGATGCAATAGTTCGCTGTGCAGAGTTGTGTCCCTTATGTGTTCACAAAACCTAGGATTTTTGGTTTGAATCAGGGTTCGAGGTTGCTAGGTTTGCCTGCCCACGCTCATGAGTGATGAATGTATATGAACTGGGTCGCTTTCTGCTTTCAACATACTTTTAACCAACACACCATCATTTAACTACAATATGGTTCAAAGTTATGTAAAACCAAACACACTAACTTTAACTTTGTATGTTGTTATATTTCAGATCACCTAGCCAAGACTGATCATTTTAACCACCTAGACATACAGTCAGCAGCTTCATCTGTGATACGGCCCATATATAGTAGAAAATGGTCTTATAAACATAAACCTGCCAGTGTTTGTCTTTCAAGAGATATTTTAAGTGTTGCCATGGGAGCCGGGTCTCCCTCCACTAATCACATCAGACTATTTAGTGCCTTTCATAAGTCATATTCTTCATATGGTGATGACAAGATGAGATACTGGGAGGCTGACTTCAAAGAACGCAATAAGGATTTGGAGGAGGACGACATCGACCTTGAGCCAAGTTCTAGAAACCAGCCTCAGTTAACGCACACTGATGAGAAGGGGAGAGCAATGATGGTGGACGTTGGGTCTAAACCAGAAACTGAACGGATTGCTACAGCAGAAGGGAGAATAGTTTTAGGAAAGGAGGTGTTTGATCTTGTAAAGGAAAATGGAATTAAGAAAGGTGATGTTTTGACAGTTTCGCAAATTGCAGGCATAATGGCGGCAAAGAAAACTGCCGACTTCATTCCTCTTTGCCATAATATTCCTATTTCGAAAGTTGAGCTGACATTTACTCTCGAGGAAGAGGAATATAGTATTCGTATCAGGTCGTCTGTGAAGACTAGAGGTCAGACAGGAGTGGAAATGGAGGCCCTGACGGCCGTTTCCATGGCAGCGCTAACCATCTACGATATGTGTAAAGCCGTCACACACAACATGGTGATCAGTGACATCAGGCTGCATATCAAAACAGGAGGACAAAGGGGGGATTATTTCAGGGGATAAATTTTAAAATTTGTTTCCAGTCAGCCCAGTAGGGCCATTGGCCTACCTCATCTTTGTGAAAGTTGATAAGAAGTATGTTACAATGCTTTATAATCGAGATCAAAACAGGACTAATGGTTTCAAACAAGATATGTTATCCTGATTTGTCATGATTAAAATCACACTATGGCATTCATCAAGAACCTCAGCATGTCAACAGCGATTTCATTCTTTTGAGTTCCAATATCAAACATTTTGGGCATTATTCCCACATAAACTGCTGTAAAATTTCCAAGGCCCATAAAGGGATTCAAACCATGGACCTTCTAATCCAAGTTCAGGCACCTTGTCCATATGACCAAGAGCTTAACCCTTTAACAAATTGACAAGTAAGAATACTCTGTGAATCTATGTCTTGCTTCACTGACAGAATAAGATATCACCGAATTTCTGTTCAAGCAGAGTTGAACCATACTCACTCACTCAGTCATCCATTATGTTTTCCATACTTGCACCAGAGTGATTCAATGTGCTGACTTTCATGTTTAGGCAGAGAGATTTCCTTAAGCTAATGGTTCCTGTGTGGAGCATAAGCAGAATTATGAATACTCACCTAAATATACTCCAAAAAATTAAGGACCACCCCAATTTTCAATATTAAAGTATTTAATAGTTCATATTACGATCCATATAATACTTAAATATTGAATATTGGGGTGGTCCTTAACTTTTTTTGTTGAGTATATGCATTAATGCAATAGTAAAGGTCATACATTATTCAGATATTTGAAGTTGAGTTAATGTGTCTTAATGTGTAACTTGTCATCAAGTCTTAAGCCTGTCACATGAGTGTGTCCCACCATTATAACACTGAAATATTTCTACAAATGGTGTAAAACTGCTCTCACTTACTCTCGGTGTCAAATTATTCCAAACTTCAAGACATACACCGACTGTAGACAACATGTCTTCGGAAATATTCCTTTGACTGGTTTAAATCAATGGCTAGTATTATATTACCCATACTTGAATATTAGTGTATATTAGTGGTGGTCCAATTAATTGAAATAATCGAAGATTGGTCGCAGTGGCTAAACGACCAAGCAATCGAACATGTTTTCTCATAATCGAACGCAACCAATCTTGGAACACTTGTTTGCATTAACAATATTTTTCACAAGGTTGGTTTTGTCTGTGTCAATTAAATTTACATTTCATAAGCACTACAAGCTCGTTCCAAGTCATGATTGAATTTATCTTAAAGAATCCAGGAAATCTGTGTTCCTAACATACTAATAATCATCCTTTAAATATGCGAAATTTGCAAATGAATTTTGTGCAATTTGCAAAAACCCATGGTTTTTTCTATATATTTTTGTGTGCATTAACAAAGATAACAGGAACATTTGATAAATGATGCTAACCAATTATTTTCGATGATTGATCGGTTGTAATGGACCAATCATCAATTATTAGATTTTAACCAATTCCCAACACTAGTGTATATCAATTAGTTTATTATGTCTGGTATATCAAAATCCGTAAATCAAAATCTGTGATCTTAACATGTTTGATTAGCCCATATATTGTACATATTTAAATATCAGAAAATGATGGAAGGCTATGTACTATTGATGTATTTAAATATCTAAGGTGTATTTTAAATTTATGTCTTTGTACCCACAGTTTTTAATTAACGAAATCTGTACAAACCTAGCTTTTTATTAAGAGTTTTAAATTCATACACACCTTTATTGTAGTTCTATATGAACTAATGGTAACAGAAGCTTAATGCCAGCCAATGTATTACATGAGAATAATATTAACATAGTGACAATAGGGTGGTGGAGTAGTCACGTGGATAGTGTGTTAAGGCATCAGGGACCCAGGTTCAAGTCCCAACATTTCTGGATTTCCCACCCAGATACTGTTTCGCTTGACTGATGTCAGTCACTGATTTGCCTGGCTCACTTGGTATAGATGTGTTCCACTGAAGCCGGTTTCTGTTGGAAGAGGCAAATGTAAATGATCCGGTGGTCATACTCAATAACTTGATTCATAGATGGTCATTGTTTCGATTGTGATTTTTGCATAATATCAATCACTGGATTGTCTGGTTCAGACTTGATTATTAACAGGCTGCTGTCGTATGGTTAGAGAAGTGCAGTATTTTATCAGCAAAGAATTAAAACTAATGAGAGATATTCTGATTAGGATTTAAGGAGATGGACACTCATGGATGAAATGTTTTCCATTTCTCAAATTGTTTTATTTTTTAAACATTTATGTATCTCGGTGTATTTGTTAACCAGATGGTGATGATTTGTTGATGAAGAAGATGAATAAACAGTTTCCATTTGACTCCCCTGTTTTTGTTTTGATCTCCCCCTGAATGACTTACTCAGGTGTCAGGTGACGTGTATTGGGGTTTAACGTTGTGTTCAAGATTGTTCCACTTTCAAAAGACGTTAAAATATGGTACTTGTTGGTGCCTGCCTAGCGCTCGGCAATTAATGGGTATAGCTAAGATACATAGCGTTCACTATTCATGTCAGTGAACGCTATGTATCTTAGCTATATGTATCTTAGCTATAATGGGTACATCAAGGACTGGTCGGCTCGGAGTCAGTATAATGTGTCTGAGTGAGGTATTCATGCTTCACTGCGGCATGGTATCTCAGTGGGCTAGCACTATAAAACCAGCTTCAGTCTGGGCTAGTACAAGCAGCCGCACATACACATACACACGCATGGACGTCGTCATATGAGCGAAATATTCTCAAGCACGACGTTAAACCCAATTTCACCTCACCTCACCACTTTCATATACCCGTGAAGGTCCGGATTAGAATATTGATCTTCAGTAACCCATGCTTGTCGTAAGAGGCGACTAACGGGATCGGGTGGTCAGGCTCGCTGACTTGGTTGACACATGTCATCGGTTCCCAATTGCGCAGATCGATGCTCATATTGATCACTGGATTGTCTGGTCCAGACTCGATTTTTTACAGACCGCCGCCGTATAGCTGGAATATTGCTGAGTGCGGCGTAAAAATAAAATCACTCACAAATTTCATATGTACTGACCCGTGAAGATCGGGTTTGAATTGGCCTCCAGCAACCCATGATTGTCGTAAGTGGCGACTAACGAGATCAGGTGGACAGCATCGCTGACTTGGTTCACACATTCCATCGTATCCCAATAGCGCATATCGATGATGCTAATCACTTGATTTTCTGGACTACATTATTTACAGACCGCCACCATATAGCTTGAATATTGATGAGTATGTTTATCTCCTGTACATGTTTATTGCTTGAACCCACGTGTTTTTTGCTTGAACCCACGTGTTTAGGGTAAGTATGTCCTTTTGTCCTTTACGAACAAGCGCAAGTTTGGTGTTGCTATTAGAACGGTGTAGGGGAGACAACTCTTGACACGTTCTTGTCCCATGTCAATTCTAGTCTGTACGATATTGAAGTTGAAAATTCTCCAAGTAATACCACTTGTGTTTGAACAGGTTTTGGTAATTATGCCGGATTAGGCTGAGAGGGAATAACATGAACAGTGTTTGAAATATTTTAGAGTTTCAGTCGCACGTTATTCTCCTCCTCCATTGAGTTACTGTCTTAGGGCATCCTGGATTCGCTAGGAGCAAGTTAGACAGTGCTGGATCCTCGATTCTATGTTACCACTCTGGCGGTTTACTGACTTGACGTGAATGTGCGTTTATCTTTGAATACGTATACAGATATTTCCACTGTAGTCAGTATGAAGAGATCAGCGGACTCGAACTCGAAATCTTTGTTTCCCTCATCATGAAACCACTCTATGAAAAGGGAAGAGTTACTTCCCTTCCACCTCATACGTGAAACATGAAAGAACACCTTACTATACATTAGATTAGTACATGGAATTTGCTTATTCTATAAGGAAAATGATAATCAGAAAAGTAATGTTATCTTTTGAAGATAGTCAGAATAATCAAAGGACCAATTCCGTTGCCAAATAAACTTAATTGTGTTCTGTAATGTCTTGAATTATTTAACAGAGTGACAAAAAGACACTTTCTTCTCAAATTAGCATTTTATTCCACATTTGGGAAATGTTTGGTCGGCGGATCCGTAAGCGACGTAATAAAATTAAACCGCTGAACATTGCGGCTAAATATGGTGTTAAATACAAACCGCCCACTTAAATTAGCCTACGCTGGGCCTGTACTCGTGTCGTGCAAGGAAGACGAAATGACTATCTATAGACAGTTATTAATCCTGGTTTTAGTGCCGTATTAAGTTTCGAGGATAACCATGCGCCTTTGACTGTCTATATAACCCACTCCCATGCATGGTCTCGTGGACATTGATACAACATTGTTTTGACGTGGCGACTCGAGCTGGTTATCAGATCATGAAGGTTACACAAAACCAAATGTTTTCATAGTAACGTAATGATGTCTGGAAAAATCACCAGATAGTAATTGATATGGCGTAGTATAATCTGTATGGCTATGTGGTAAATATGTTGCCGGACTCAAGAAAGCTTGAACTTTCGCAAAAACGGGTTTCAGAGTCGCCGACTTCAGGTCCAAAGCAAAACGACGAGACCCGTATCATGTACATAATCATCGAATACCATTTGTTTCATTTAGCCACCATCGACACTAAGTTTTATTTACGAAAAAAATGGAAATTTATCGTTTTTGTGTTTAAACAAAAGAAACGTTGCAATGGTATTGACAATTCTATTGCAGATCAAGGTAGATCCAGAAATCTTTAGATTGGATAGGGGGCTCGATTTTTTTGATTTTTTTTTAATTAGACAAGAATGTATTTTGGCGACTGTCGAGGCACCCTTTTCGGGGACGAATCGAAAATACCCAATACTCCGTGGATTTGGTGAGGTGAGGTGAAATTGGGTTTAAACGTCGTGCTTTAATATTTCGCTCATATGACGACGTGCATGCGTGTGTATGTGTATGTGCGGTTGCTTGTACTAGCCCAGACTTAAGCTGGTTTTATAGTGCTAGCCCACTGAGATACCATGCCGCAGTGAAGCATGAATACCCCACTCAGACACATTATACTGACTCCGAGCCGACCAGTCCTTGTTGTACCCATTAATGCCGAGCGCCAGGCAGGGACCAACAAGTACCATATTTTAACGTCTTTTGGTATGACGCGGTCGGGGATCGAACCCGCGACCTTCCGCTCTCCGGGCGAACGCTCTAACCACTACACCACGGAGACGGTCTCGTGGATTTGGTGGACACAGTGCTTGACCGGACTGGTTTTGAGTCTGACGACTGGATCGTTACAAAATGTTTTGGATAAAGCTCAGGCCTACCATTAAAACAGTGAAAACGGCAACAAAAGACTATGAAACTGCAACATTTTTGTATCAGCGAACTTTGACCTCTACTGCCCATGCGCATTACTATCCGCGCTTCTTTCAAATATCCGAGCAGCCTTGAATCGCCTCGCGTAGAAAAAGTATTGAATATTCGAAATAATTGCTGTCAATCATTTCATACGAATGGAAAGTAAACTAAACAAGTGTGCACACAAGCTAGAAAATGTCAACATGCGGTCAAGACTTCCTCTTCCATGTGCGCATGCGCATATATCGAAGTTGCCGGCTCATGGGAAGACGTTCAAGATGGTTATATGACCTGGCACTATACTTGTAGGGGATGAAACAAGGTCTTGTCGGCTCAGGGTCAACATGACGTGTCTTAGTTGGGAATCCGTGTTCAATCTGTTGCATGGTGTCTCGGTGGACAAGCACTGTATATATACGGGGAATGTCCGAACTATAGACATGGCACTCTCCGTGAATTGTCTTCATCAACCCATGCTTGTCGTAAGAGGCGTCTATGATCTAACGGGATCGGGTGGTAGGACTGGCTGATTTGGTTAACACATGTCATCGTGTCCAAATTGCGTAGATCGATGCTCATACAGTTGATCACTGGGTTGTCTTGTCCATGCAGACTCGATTATTTACAGACCGCTGGCATATAGCTGGAATATTGCTGAGTGCGGCGTTATACAACACACCCACCAACCAACAGGCATGTCACTTTCTAAGATGCCTAGCGGTTAGAACAATCGCAAAAAACAAACATTATCAGACATTCTAATTCAACTTAGTATGTAACACGAGTTCTGATTGGTCAATGCTATAAATTTCCGACCGTATAATCAGCATATACGGTCGCAATTTGAAAACCGATTCACCGAAACCTTTGAAAGTATCCCTACACTATTGGGGTAATGCTGTTTCTCAGGACATTGTCATTTGCAGAAGCCATTGGTCAATTAACTCCCCTATCCAGCTAAAATGGGTGGAATTTGTGTTAAAAAAGACAAAACAGTATCATAAATTTAATTTTAAGTTCAAACAACTTACTCGCAACGGGCTGTTGACCCAACACTGTTAGATCATGAAACAAGGTTTATGACGTCATTATGGAGCGTGACGTCACCTGCTATGACGTCATTTGACAACAACTGATAATGGCCCGTAGTTGAGGAATCAGCGGGCCGCTCATTTCTGTAACTAGAGGGCGGTTTCATCATAATACCGTCCATTTTATCTATAATACTATGATCTATTCATCATTGTCAAATTTAGTCTGTGTGCACATAATAAACGTGTGTAGTTAGAAAAGGGAACTACTTTCTCTGGCGATGGTGTAAGTTGAAGGAGTGATATGATTAACCTTTGACCTAGAGGAACTTTGACCTGGTTTAAATAATGAATTTCTTTCACGAAAAAACAGCGTAAAACGAGTTGAATTAGAATGGGGATAACTGTACTGTGTTTGACGAATTAGCCGCAAATTTAACGTTATATCGGCTCCGCTTACGCGTCTCCGATATAACTAAATTTGCGGCTATATAACCACCGGTATACGTCCCCAATTCGTCAAACACAGTACAGTTATCCCCTAAATAAAGGTATAGTTCTTTGATGACGTAACAATTGAATGACGTTAGCCCGTCACTGCGCCATTCTAGTGTGCCCCCTTGTAATCGAACCATTTTTACATTACGTCACAATGTAAGCGACGTCACGATGCATGTCAGTTGTCATCGCCTCGTACGGCCTCCTACAGTAAACTACTCCGTTGCATCCCGTTTCTTGGTTTGCAGTTGCTTCACGCAGCTAACATCACTGGTGGAAACATTACGTTTATGTTTTACGACGGTTAAAATGTGTCAATTCGACTCACAAGTTTTCAGCGACACGGTAACGTTCACAATGTTTACATTCCCACAATGCAATCGTGGAATGTCGCTTGACTACTCAGCTGGATGTACTGATCTAAACTTACGTTGGTAGTAGAAATGCGACGTTCATATTGCCCCATATGGTTTACGTTAATGACAGATGTAATTAAAATAATTCAGAGAAGATATTTAATCCGAACGTAAACCGTCATCAAACTGTTATCATTTGTTTTTTTCTGGTAACGTTCGTCTTAACGTAGGGGGCAGACACATCAATAGAACAGCGCACCAGTTAGCCCTGTGCGAGGATTTTTAATTTAGGTCACCGACACCGTCGTTTGTTTTCTGCCTTAAATTAATCGTAATTATGCTTAGAAAGTATTAAATTTGGCATCTTAGATAAGAAATACAGTTCGCTCTACCACCATGTATAGTGTAATAAAGCACACTTTCGCCCTGAACTATTATAACGTTAAAGCACTCGGACGCAAGCGTCCTCGCACTTTAACTATAATAGTTCAGGGCGAAAGTGTGTTTTATTACACTATACATGGTGGTAGAGCGAACTGTATTTCTTAAATAGAAGTGGAGTAATCTTCAGCCTGACGTTAAACCTAATTTCCTCTAGCCTATAAAGGTGAACCAGGAGCCCAGACCCGATTGCTGGAATGTAGTTGGGGTATTGCTTACAACGGCGTAAAACGACATTCACTCCGTCATTTGCTGTTTTGATCGCATTTCAGTGATCTGCCACATTCAATCACTCGTTAGGGAGGGCTGTGGATTACAAAATCAAATCTTATTTGCTTTCATATAGTGTTTATCGTATGATCAATATTACCCATAGTGTTAGTGTTCAGTTTACAGTTAGCTTAGATCTCCTTCACTTACTGTCCTTGCAAAAACTCCTGAAAATGGACACTATACGAAATCCACTGGGATATCCTTTTAGTGGCTGAAAGAGGTGAAGCAGATGAGACTTACTCATCTATAAAACATGGCAGGGCCAGTGTTTAGTCAGGTTAGCATTGCTGAGTCACTGATTACCAATGGCATATAGTCAATATTTCATCGTAACATATGACCAACTTTATTTACAGAATATTGTTAACATGTTATATATTTGTACAACAGCCATTCACAAAAACGGGCGTTTCCAGAATCGTGTGAGCAGCATTCAGTTAAAACAAGCTATGCGCCGCTCAACTTGTACCAAAAGCATCATAGATTTCGGATTAGTATCAAATGTAGTACCCGAAATGAAATTATATATATACGGTCAAATTTCTAGACAAGGACCATCATGTCTCTTAAAAGGAGAGTAGTAAGGACGCTACAGTTGAGGTGATGAGAATGGTAGGGGTGATATTTGAAATTCAGAAATATGCTTTAGGGTAGGGTGTTAATAATGGATATATACTCCATGTAGATGTCGGATAGGACAAGGGGAGCGGTACATTGTTACGGTTTCACAGCTGGTGACACGTCATCACGCACATAAACATCACGTCAAAATGTGGTATAAACACAGATATCACAGGTAACTGACCCACCAGTACTTGGGGAAGACCACAATGTGTCTAATCACAGTATATTTGGTCACGCATGAAATATTATTTATCACAGGATGTTTCCTAAATTTATCACAGAATGTTTCCTAAATTTATCACAGGAATGTTTCCTAAATTTATCCCGACATGTTTCCTAAATTGTCCTCCTTTAAGCGACACTACCCCTAAACCGACTTCTTGTTCAATGTTTTGACAGCTTTATGTGCTCTTGTTACGATTAGCATATATCTGTCACATATTCTCAAATTTTCACTTGCTAACGAGAAACAAGACCTCACATCTTGTGCATACTGATGGAAAAATCTGCATCGCATAGCTAATTATAGTTGTTTGATGCAAATGCTCTTATCATCTATTTATATTTATTTTTAAATAGCACTGACTGTTAAGTTACCGTGTGACGTGTTCCTTACATTGCCAAAGTATACATCGTTTTCTTAGGAGTTATTACGTAATGTTACACCAAGTATTACACTAATCATTTAACTGTTCCCATTTCTTTCTTTATCGGTATATATCCAACTTGAAGCATCTTTTCAAACAAAGCCAAAAACACGTGACCCGTCCTAATGGGAATCCATATCTGCAGTGAAACCTTGAGTGTAATAAAACCGTGACTCGAGAAACGCAAAACAGCAACGTGGTCGTAAAATAAGCAGCATCTGAAATGAGACGACTACCTTTAATCATCACTACCCCGTATGAATGGACCAATAATGTCCATAGTAAACAGTTGTAATGTACATTTCACCAGTTTTATCTCCCTGAAACATTCAATGTTATCACAGCGAGTCAGGTCAAACGTTACGCATCCGTCAGTCACACATCCGCGTTTTTCGCCGATGCGCCTGAGTAATTGGTTTCAGGAAATGACGTCACCACAGCACCCATTTGTTACAGATGTACTTGTCGAGGAAGGTGAAGCTCGTATTGTGTACGGGGATGCTGAGGCGACAGAGTTCCACGTTGGTGAAGTTGCCAGGAGGAAGGGAGAACGTCTCGTGCCATCGCCGTGAATGTGAGTCGTACATGGCAACCCGGGAAACATGACTGGCTGCAGAGTGACTGAAACCCCCGAATACCCAGATGTTCTTCCCTGAAAATAAACGTCCACAACTTAATATAGTTTGTTTGTTTGTTGTTTAACGCCGCACTCAGCAATATTCCAGCTATATGACGGCGGTATGTAAATAATCGAGTCGGAACCAGACAATTCAGTGATCAACAGCATGAGCATCGATCTACGCAATTGGGATACGATGACATTATTTTTGACAACTTAAATAGAGTGATGTTTTAATGAATGTATGCAGTATATCCAATGTGTCAAATCCGCTAAACAAACCCAGTGAGGTAGATCAGGTATATATTTGTACATGAGCGTTTCCGGTTTTCAAACATGAAATGGGAAAAGATTACACGAGTTGTGAGTTCCCGAGCGTTCACAGTTTTATATTCACCATCATCATAGGATCCCTAGCCAATAGATGAGAAAGTGAATATAAATTAAAAGCCATCCGTATTCTATAGAAACTAAAACAAATCTACAAAAGGAAAGTATATACAGTCATGATTGAAGGTGGATAAAACTAACACAAGCAAGATAGGGTCACTTGATCATGTTGAGGGTTGGTGTTATCACATCTAAAAGGATCGTGACTCACATACTTTCATACTGACTTACGAAAGTTTCAAAAACTGGTGTAGTTTTAAAGAGCAGTCCTTGCACTACGGCTTTTGACTAACTCTATACGATGTCCGTGCGTGCGTGCGTGAGTCACTCTACCTAAGTGCATATTCCTTACCAAGCGCTACGGCTCCAGCGTACGTCCTGGTGTGAGGGAGAGGGGCGTGGCTGAGCTCCCAGGGTGGTCCCCGGCGTGCATCGGGTTCCTGCATCAGGCTGTATTGGCAGACCGAGCCCTCGTCCTTCTCCATAAACGTCTCATGGTCGAAACTACGTCCTGGAATAGGAACTCAGACTAGGACCATAGCATAACGCTGCAGTTTGAACAGTTCACCTGTATCACATCACCAGAACATCAGAAACAGGGAGACCGGTGGTTGATAGTGTGAGCATCCATGTATTCTCACAAAACGTTCATTCATTGCATTGTAATCGCATCGGGTCGGTGGGGTAGCCTAGTCGTTAAAGCGTTCGCTCGTCACGCCGAAGATACGGGTTCTATTCCCCACATGGGTACAGTGTGAAGCCCATTTATGGTGTCCCCCGCCGCGATATTGCTGGAATATTGCTAAAAGCGGCGTAAAACCATACTTGCTCACTCACTGTAATCACATCGTTCTACGCTCAATAGAAAGCATACACCTCATTTAGCGCGTCGTAACCAGTGGTGTTCATTCGACATATCAGAAGATGTATATTACTTAAACTACGTTTATAACGAATTGGCGGATTTATTTAACTGTTTTCCCCGACAACTTACTGTCAGCTTCAGCCGAAATGCATAAACCGAACTATGGTTAAAACTAACATTATCGGCCCCTTCGAGTTCGTTATAACCGTATAATCGCATCTGTGTGACACTTCCAATGTCGCGATCCCCCTACCTCCAAGTATGAAGATCGCGGAACCATTGACCGGCACCATGTTATGTTTCTCTCTCTCCTTGGGCATAGCGAGACCCTCCGACACCTCCGACCAAACGTCGTCATCAGAGTTGTACATCCTACAACATATACAAGACAATGTTTGTTAGGGTCAGGGTTGTACAACCTTCAACATATACAGGATAATACTTCTGTTAGACTGAGTCTCATCCGGGATTCGAACCCCCACTCTAAGAGTAAAGCACTTAATCGCCAGCACACAAAGTCAGCGATCTAACGCACTCAGCCTCCGTGGCTTCTTTTGTGGCTGGGTGGGTTAGAGCGCTGACTTTGTGTGCTGGCGATAAAAGTACTGTCTCGAATTTGTAATTTTATGAGAAAGTGTATTCCCAAAGATAACATGTCACATTTGACCACTTTCTAAATGGCATTGTGTATTCATATATTGTCAGGGTCGTACATCCTACAATTAACATATACAGGACAATGTTTTTTAGGGATATTGTCGTATGCCCCAAAACTACAAGCCAAAGTTTGTAAGGGGATTAATAGAAATATATTTCGTTTCAACTCAACCAAATTCGCTATGATAGCGTTTGGATTCATGTGCTTGGGCAGGGCCCCGTTGTACAAAGCGATCTTAGCGCTTCAATTGCCGCAGCGTAAGTAGGTGAGTTACGATCATCTTAGGAGCGCTCTTTGGAACGGGACCCAGACCAAACATGTACGTTGTTCGTGAGAGTCGACAAAGGAAGACCGTGAGCTGACTAAGTGTCGACAAGCAGATGACATTGTCATCGCACCTCAAAGTAATCGTAGTGTGCTATCATCTATGAGTGAACTTCGACTGCAATCACCATTTGTTAATTACTATTTGAATCATAATTCGCGGACTGTTCCATGCAACAGGACCAAATTGAGACCCTGCAAATACGTCTTCAACTGTCTCGCATGCAGAAGACTCGGCTTCGATTCCCCACATGGGTATTATGTGTGAAGCCCATTTTTGCTGTCCGCCGCCGTCATATTGCTGGAATTTTGCTAAAAGCGGCGCAAAACAAAATTCACTCACTCACTCACTTAGACATACCGTTGCGGTGGTATGGAAATTACCAATACATGTCAGCTTCTCGAGGAAACATTTTGGTTACGACAAGGTTTTACACAGAGATGAATAAAGTCTTCAGCGGAAAATCCCAGGAAGGTCGGTCTAAACATGAATTTCCTTTCCAAGTTGTTGGCAGTTCCACGGCCGCTTTTTGATGTTTGAAAGTGTATTTGATTTGTCCACTTCTTAGCTGTCAAATATCCGCACTGTATTACTCGCCGCCTGAGATGAGCCAGATATCAGTCATTGATCATAACTACATTAACTTAAAAGCGAACGGTTAAAACGAAATATAGCGTTAGAGAACACAACTCCTAATAAACGCAAGGAAATCGGTGCGTGTCGGGAAGTATCATCTGTTGACAGTTCAGAACTGGATTGAAAGAGACAAATTAAACTCCTTCCCTGGCCAAACACGACATCATTAGTTACGTATGAGATATGTGGAGAAGAGGTATGACTCACGCCCGGCCCTGTCACGGAGCTTTGAAGTGACATGGTCCTCATTGCACAGAAGTCCTCCCTTTCATAACGGCTTATGCCGGATTACTGTGATTTTTTACAAACTAAGAGTGACTCTCCCCAAAGCCCGTTGGCCTTAAAGATGAATGCGTTTTGTGCCCGTATTGTAGTGTCGTTGAAGTGCATGTATTACTCTGACTGATAAATGTCGAGTTTCCTTGGCTGCCGACATTTCTCAGCACCGATCCATCGATTCCTGGCACTACAGGTGGTTGTTTAATAGCTCCAACATCGGCATTGAAGGATTCTTCTGTCCGGTCTCATGCTGAAATGAGCCCTACAGTCATAGCCTTAATAGGAATATCGATCTGTCAGAAAAATCGATGACAAAGTGCTTTCCAATAGCCCGTTGGTTTTTCGAGTTTTCTATTAGTCTTATCATTGGGTTACGGGTCGTATTGAGGTTTGGCAGTCCTATTTAGTAGAAGGCAATGATTTGTCCGTCAGTCGAATTATCTGAAGATAAGGCACGTGGCATTTATGCCTGGGTTTGGCTTTAATTCCCCGGATTACTTTGATGAAGACCCTCTTGGAGAGAAATGAGTAATAAATTCTTTGTATAAACAGTCTTGAGGAAATGTTGGCAATAAGACCTCTTGCTATCAGACGCCAGCATGCTTGGGGATCCAGCGCGGATCAAATGGCTGTCATCCCGGAGTAAAGACTCTGAAATACCCCTTTCCTGTAGGGTTAGATCTACACTATATTGTACGGATAAAAAGTATTTACATAGTATTAAGAGGTACAAGCTGAATGACAACGTAGGGAACCTAGAAGTGTGACACTGCTTAAAGATTCATGTAGGGCATCTTGAGTGAGTGAGTCAGTCAGTCGGTGAGTGAGTGAACGTATGTCGAGCTCAATTCCTTGCATAAATCAATAGACGTATAGATAGTCAGGTACAAATCGATACAGTTTGGAGTCTAAGTACTAAGTACTGGGGGGACAAGGCTCCATTTGTGATTGAAATTATTTATTTTATCATTTTTTGTTGATGGATGATTTTCCACAAAGAATCTTTGTTTTAGAGTTTTTATATATAAAGTTAGATTTAGAAGCATATTTTTAAAAAGCATATGTCAATATGTCTTTTGAAGACGTGAACTTATCGGTGCCAGTCCGTGGACTCGTAGCTAACAGCGTCAAAATTACTGATGCGGCATTAAGCAATATTAGTCACTCTTTACGTGTACTAACCTAAGAAAGACGTACACTGAGCTACTGTCGGTACGTATACTGACCTTAGATAGGCGTAACTTGTATTGACCAAAGACAAACGTGCACTTTGGACGTAAAATTAAGTAAGGGTTTCTTGAGTTGAACTAAGATGTACACTAAGCGAACTTTCGTCGACCAAGAACACGTGTATATTAGCAGGCTGAGAGTACTTTCATCGTTAGTCCGCTGTGAGTACTTTTATCGTAAGGTAGTCCGCTGTGAGTACTTTTATTGTAAGGTAGCGCGCAGTGAGTACTTTTATTGTAAGGTAGCGCGCAGTGAGTACTTTTATCGTAAGGTAGCGCGCTGTGAGTACTTTTATCGTAAGGTAGTCCGCTGTGAGTACTTTTATCGTAAGGTAGTCCGCTGTGAGTACCGTAAGGTAGTCCTGTGAGTACTGTGAGTACTTTTTATCGTAAGGTAGTCCGCTGTGAGTACTTTTATCGTAAGGTCGCGCGCTAGTCCGCTGTGAGTACTTTTATCGTAATCTTAAGGTTTAGTCCGCTGTGAGTACTTTTATTGTCGTAAGGTAGTCCGCTGTGACTTGTATCGTAAGGTAGCGAGCTGTGAGCTTTTATCGTAAGGTAGCGCGCTGTGAGTACCTTTATCGTGGTAGCGCGCTGTGAGTTCTTTTATCGTAAGGTTCCGCCGTGAGTGCTTTTATCGTAAGGTAGTCCGCCGTGAGTACTTTTATAAGGTTGTGAGTACTTTTATCGTAAGCTAGTCCGCTGTGAGTACTTTTATCGTAAGGTAGTCCGCTGTGAGTACTTTTATCTTAAGGTATACTTTTATCGTAAGGTAGTCCGCTGTGAGTACTTTTATCGTAAGGTAGTCCGCCGTGAGTACTTTTATCGTAAGGTTGCGCGCTGTGAGTACTTTTATCGTAAGGTAGCGCGCTGTGAGTACTTTTATCGTAAGATAGTCCGCCGTGAGTACTTTTATCGTAAGGTAGCGCGCTGTGAGTACTTTTATCGTAAGGTAGCGCGCTGTGAGTACTTTTATCGTAAGGTCGGCGCTGTGAGTACTTTTATCGTAAGGTAGTCGCGCTGTGAGTACTTTTATCGTAAGGTAGCGCGCTGTGAGTACTTGTATCGTAAGGTAGCACGCTGTGAGTACTTTTATCGTAAGATAGTCCGCTGTGAGTACTTTTATCGTGAGGTAGTATGCTGTGAGTACTTTTATTGTAAGGTAGTCCGCCGTGAGTACCTTTATCGTAAGGTTGCGCGCTGTGAGTACTTTTATCGTAAGGTAGTCCGCTGTGAGTACTTTTATCGTAAGGTAGTCCGCTGTGAGTACTTTTATCGTAAGGTAGTGCGCTGTGAGTACTTTTATTGTAAGGTAGCGCGCTGTGAGTACTTTTATCGTAAGGTAGTCCGCTGTGAGTACCTTTATCGTGAGTACTTTTTATCGTAAGGTAGCGCGCTGTGAGTACTTTTATCGTAAGGTAGTGCGCTGTGAGTACTTTTATCGTAAGGTAGTCCGCTGTGAGTACTTTTATCGTAAGGTAGTCCGCTGTGAGTACTTTTATCGTAAGGTAGCGCGCTGTGAGTACTTTTATCGTAAGGTAGTCCGCGCTGTGAGTACTTTTATCGTAAGGTAGCGCGCTGTGAGTACTTTTATCGTAAGGTAGTCCACTGTGAGTACTTTTATCGTAAGGTAGTGTGCTGTGAGTACTTGTATCGTAAGGTAGTCCGCTGTGAGTACCTTTATCGTAAGGTTGCGCGCTGTGAGTACTTTTATCGTAAGGTAGCGCGCTGTGAGTACTTTTATCGTAAGGTAGTCCGCTGTGAGTACTTTTATCGTAAGGTAGTCCGCTGTGAGTACTTTTATCGTAAGGTAGTCCACTGTGAGTACTTTTATCGTAAGGTAGCGCGCTGTGGCGTACTGTAAGTAATTTCGTCGTAAAGTACTCGGCTATGAGTACGTTTAACGTAAGATACTCCGCTGTGAGTACCGTCATTGTAAGGTAGCGCGTGAGGTCAGGGCGTTGTGCGCTGGGAAATAGGTTGACAATAATACATGTTGAGAGAACATTCTAGGCTGACCTTGAGTGCTTGACGACGGCGGCGACGGCTGCGATGACGACGACGACGATGACACTAGCACAATTGATATGATAAAGATGATAGTGAGGCATGTAAAGCTCTGTATATAAATTCATGCAATAACAGACATTTTCATTAATTACGTGTTTGTTACACAAAATGGTGTATTTTTTAAACCCTTGACTTCTGTATAGTTCAAGACTTCCCCCTTCTACAGCTCCTGACG